GCCGATGTGTCATTTATGGCATTTTTTCTTAAATTTGTCTACTGTTCGGTGAAGAGGGATGGTAACTGCCGATTTTCTTCCCTGGTAATTACACTTCTGATGTCAAAAGGCGAGGAAGGCGGACAATAATAGAGAGGAGGACAAAAGGCACTCCACTGTATGAGGAGAGACATGGAGTCGCTGAGATGGGATGTGAGCTTCTTTAAAGCTTTGACACGACTGACAAGAGATACTTGATTAGAGAGAGATCTTAATGAAAAGAAATGGTAACTTAATGAAATAGCTTAAGATTTATTATCAAGTATGGATGCTCGTGTAATCTATGTTATGAATTCGTTGAATCAAAATAATGTTTAGTACTGCACAAGACGTGACAATTGCCGCCTTGTTGTGATCGGTTGTGACCATTTTCCCCTTCCCATTATGTATGATTTTGCCCAAGGAGTTAATTTCAGTTCAGATTAAAACAACAGACGGACATGTCATCAAAAATGATCGGGAAGAAAACAATGTCGTCCAACACAAGGACATTCTTTATGGTTCGTGGTAGTTGTGAGTTTTTCCATTCATGTAGGTCTTCACATTGCCAAATAGATGGAGTAGAGTTTAACTTAATAATAAATATTCATGTCTCCGAGAATGTGTAGGAAAATATCAAGATTCGATAATTAAGTTATCCACGCTACACAATTGTAATCTAAGAAAACAAGCTTTACTTTGGACCTATAAGAATACCGCCAATTTGGCAGCTCGTTTCAAGTCCAAGTTTTCACCAGTGGGTCCAAATTTTCCCCAGAGGCATGTTTATATGAATATAAACATCACGTTTAATATCGTCTGTTTCGTTCGAAGCATATTTTACAAAGTCTTTTGTTATTATTTTTTGTAATTATTTAGTCGGCAAAGACAAAATCAAGAAACAGTGAATAAAAACAAATAACAGTGTTATTTGAAGTGAGTCACATGGATGAAGGGGGAAAAAATAAAGATTAACCAAATAAGTATAACCCGAAGGTCTTCTTCTCCAATCCATGTAACTTTACATAATATATATACAAAACAGAATCGCAAGATTCTATATACCAACCCTCTCACATTCTTACTTTCGAACCCCTCCCACCAATTATCTCCCACCCCTTCTAACTCCCATCCTCCCCCTGCCATGCGCAAACTATCAATCACATGCATGCCAAAGGCAGGGCTGTAACTTTTGAAAACTCTTTTTTGTGTTGGCTCCTTGAAAGAAAAGTGGTCTCTATTATCCTCGTCATTGTGTACCCCTCGACTAGGCCGATTACCAGAAGGTGGCCAGGAAAACTGGAAAAGACTAACGAAGGGTCTAATTATTGTTTAGAATAAAATGGACTTGTTACGGCTGAGAGCCTTCCTCGAATCTTCAACGACCCCACACGCCCTGTTGTGTACCTCTTATTTTCTATTTACTTGTCATTGCGTTAACTTGGAGAGGGTATAACCATTTTGTTGGATTAAAAGGTTGTTTTGATGCGGATATGAATAAAAGAATGTTGGAGAGTGAAAGACGGGTGCTCCATCCCACACACGATACGGGACGGTGGCGTCGTGTCGCCAGGGAGCTAGCGGGGGTCTGCTGCCAAGCAATGCTTTCGTGCCTCCTGCCAAATTCGTATTCAATCGAGCAAACGGATTAACCTCGTTGAACAATAATTGTTTACGTTTCTAACGTCAGAACCTGCTGTTCCTGACGTTGTTGTTGTTGTGATCATAGGTTTTTGTTGGGGGCGACATCTAAGCTCGAGTATTTACCGCAAATGAGATCATGGATTAAATTCTTTGTCCTTTTGTTTTGCTTTCACAAATGGCGGCAAAACCCATACATGATGCCACCGTGTGGGCGTTTTCTAATAAATTGCATTGCCCATTTGATACTTAGATTTTTAAAGAGGAAAAAAAAACTCTAATTTGATTCTCACGTGCTCCTACGTTTGCCTTATAGGAATAAAATTACAATCCGAAATACTAAAATTTCACTGACAAATTACCAATCAGTTACGAAGTAAAGTAAAGTAAAAAATATGTCCCTTTCTCTAAATTAACACCAAAAAGGGGGGGACAACAGAAAAAATTTAATGCACCAGACTCTATCAATTTGGAAAAATGCACAAGGATTTTAAAACACTGCTAATATTAAAGGCATTGTGAAAACTGCGCACATTGTTTCACGTTTGTAAGATATTATCATCTGTTCATCTAATAGTCGAAGATTAGATATGGAAATATCAAATTTGGATTAGTTTAAGCCCATTCGTAACAACTTCCTTTCTTTCAAACAAAATGTGCCTATCACCGCCCAGTGCCGCGTTTGAAAAGAAAAAAATTCCATCCAATAGTAAACCACGGCCTTTCCAAAAAAGAAAGTACATGTACCCCTCCTTGCTGAATTATATGGATCGACCGGATGTGTTTTGAGCTCGACCCCCCCCCCCCCTCCTTCTGAAGCCAAGGACTAGAAAATACATATAATAGACAGGAATTAATAACAAAATCACACAAGTTCATATTAAAATAGGCACCATCATTGCATCAAATTTATTTTTGAAATAGAAAAGGAAAATAGGTCAAACGATGTTAACCACATAAATATCTTCTACATTGAGTTTAATACCATGATAGTATTAGTATGTACATGTATTCTATACACTTCATATAACAAAAATCATATTTTAATAACCCTGTCCACAGTGTCCAGTGTCAAAACAATTCACTATTCATGTAAAATGTAATAAAAATAATAAAAAAGACGTTAGGTTTTAAAAAAAAACCTATCTAACGTGTGGGTAAATTATGTGTCTGACGAACATTGAGGCAATTACATGCCCAACTTAATTTTAAGTACAGTGTATATAAAAGACGATCGTGATAGGGAAGAAAGTATAACCCAAGTTTGGCATAAAATTGCAAAAATTGGTCGAACACCAATAGCCCTTACATTGACAAAAATTATCACCCAGTATTTTGAGTGTATATAATATTGCGATTATCATCACATAATAAGCATATGATAAAGGAAACTGAAAAGTCAAAGCTAATCAAAATAGTATCACTTCTCAAAAGTTTTTGCGATGTCGAGAGCTTTAGACTAAAACATTTATAATAACAATAACAAAATAAATCCATCACAAACATGGTTGCAAGGTTTTAAAAACTATAAAATCTCCATACCATACTTTGTTGCCTATAAACCTTTTATCAAAACAAAGCCTCAATTGAAGAGTTCTACTTCGGTATTACACCGGATCACTTATACAACTTTGAAAAAGGTTTGTAACTCGGTTATTTATTTATTTATTCATTTTCTCTTCTTTACAATGTCACTTTACTCTACATTTCTTTCTTGAGTTGTACATTATTACAATATAGATTACAAACAGGGTGATATGTAAAGACCAATGTATATGTTTGGCAAGATATGCAAAATAATAATTTTTAAATAGTTATATACACATTTTAAGGAATGTGATGAAAAAAGTACACATTCCAACATTTTTGTTGTTTTAACAGTGACATCTTCATAGAAAACCATAAATATCTTTGTGGTTTGAGAATTTTCTCAGGATTTTTTTGCCTGTCGAATTGAATTGAATTGGTTTGGCTTATTAAAAATCACATCAAACAAGCACCTCACAGGCTGAAAATGTTCAATTTACAAACAAGTTAAAAATATAGAGAGATATAAACATATACAAAACTATAAAAAAAATAATGTAAGTCAACTTTTGCAGATATTATTTAGCATTGGTAAGATGAAATCGAAATTGCAAAACAAAGTTTTAGAGGGTAAGTACAGTAGAAGGAATATAATAAGTAACTTTTCATACAAAAATTACACATTTTTTTCATCTGCCTTCAACAATGTAACTGAGTCCCTTTAAAAGGCACATTTTTAAAGAAACTTTTAAAGAAATTTGACAACTTCACGTATCGCGCAGAAAGAAGCTACCGGTACACTGTACAATAGAGGGCGCTAATGCACACACATATCTGTGCATGTTCAGAGTCTAACAATGCACTTCCCAACTCTTATTACTTCAACTTCACTAAATTGACCATGGTTTAAAATTGAGAATAGCGCCACCTGGTTGTTGATTAAATCAACATCAGATTCAGGTTATCTCCAAACACTAATTTTATGGCACACTGGAAACTTGGTCAAGAGAGTCTGAGTGTGTGACGTCATTCTATTACTGTTTATCAATTGCTATATTCTCAAAAATATATATAAACTACAGTATATTGTTTTTTTTAATATTGCTTTGATTTTTTGACAAGGTCATAAACATATCAATGATACTGCATTTATGTACTTTTATGAAGTAAATGTGTTTTCTGTTATAAATGAATAGCTTCCTATACTCGTTCACTTACATTTTCTAAGCCTTGAAGGTAAATAAACAATTATAACAATTCAGTGAATGAGCAGATTATATTCTAAAACCTGCTTTTTTCTTTCCTTATTCCTTGAACTAAAGAATGCCTTTAAAATGCCTTTTATTCAGTAATGCAAAAAATACTTAATGCCTTTATGGCTTGTTTTGTGAAATTTGTTTTTCAGTATTACATTTTCAACCAACATCTAAATCGTGCATAAATAATGTCTTTCAAAAACATTTCCATTCAAAATAAGAAATCATTCATTTTGTTGAAAATTGAATAATGCAACAGTTTGCAATTATAACATGTAAAAAGTACATACAAAAATTAAATATATTTAAAGGGTTCAGAGCCTATAATTTCAATAAAATACAGACATGTGTATTCAATACCCCGTTCAGATATGACACAGTACAGTATACCACATATAAACCTTTGCCTGCAAGTGAATGGCAAGATGATATTTATTCATTTATTCTTGGAAGGAGAGGGACAAACAAAAACATGGCTGTGTGTAAAAATGCACGTTATCAGTGATCTATTTGTTGTAAGATACGAAGTGCACAATGTTTCATCTCATATTCATTTATTATCCTATTTCTTGAAGTGGTTTACCATCTCGAGCCAGAATGGATATTCCTAATTTCAGCAGACTTGATCACACTTCTATTCTCGGATCCGATGGTTTTCCAAGTGTGATCAGTTTGTCCTCCTGTTTCCATTTAGGTTTCTCGGTCCTCGTGTGCCAGACCAGTACCTGGTAGAATGAAATAACGAGTGGAATTAATATTTCATAATTATAATAAGAAAAATAATATCCTAATCGATTCTTTTCTAAGGTATATGACATTATAAGAAACTAGATGGAATTTTGACTGCGCGCAGTCGAAAATGATGCCTCCGCCATAGAGCAATTTAAATAATAGTGAGGTCTCTTGCTTTGCGCAATTTCTCAAGACGCGTGCCAAATTTCGAGGCAATCGGCCCCTCCCCCCCCCCCCCCCCAGTCAGGGAGGTGCTCAAAATAGCCCAGTTAAGTACGGGTTAAGTAACGGAACATATTTCAAGTGGTTCTTGACATATCATGACAAGTCCTATACATGTAGTCTGAAATTTTCAAGTTGACCTCTATGACCTTTGACATACATGTACTCCAAAATCTAATCTGATCGTTTTCCTATGGTGATATATATACTATCCTTAAGTTTGAAGTTTAAATCTCCAGTGGTTCTTGAGATATTATGATAACAATCTCAATGTATGGAATTTCATAAGTTGACCTCTGTGACCCTTGACCTTTGACCTACGTGCTCCAAAATCTAATCAGATCGTCTTCCTATGGTGATACATACTATCCTTAAGTTTGAAGTTTAAATCTCAAATGGTTCTTGAGATATCATGATAACAATCTCAATGTATGGAATTTCATAAGTTGACCTCTGTGACCCTTGACCTTTGACCTACGTGCTCCAAAATCTAATCAGATTGTTTTCCTATAGTGATACACACTATCACTAAGTTTGAAGTTTAAATCTCCAGTGGTTCTTGAGATATCATGATAACAATCTCAATGTATGGAATTTCATAAGTTGACCTCTGTGACCCTTGACCTTTGACATACGTGCTCCAAAATCTAATCAGATTGTTTTCCTATAGTGATACACACTATCACTAAGTTTGAAGTTTAAATCTCCAGTGGTTCTTGAGATATCATGATAACAATCTCAATGTATGGAATTTCATAAGTTGACCTCTGTGACCCTTGACCTTTGACATACGTGCTCCAAAATCTAATCAGATCGTCTTCCTATGGTGATACATACTATCCTTAAGTTTGAAGTTTAAATCTCAAATGGTTCTTGAGATATCGCGCTAACAAACTCAATACAAGGAATTTCATAAGTTGACCTCTGTGACCTGTGACCTTTGACCTACGTACTCCAAAATCTAATCAGATCGTCTTCCTATGGTGATAAATACTATTCCCGAGTCTTAAGTTTAAATCTTAAATGGTTCTTGAGATATTGTGATAACGGTCAAACGGGACGGACGTACGGACGGACGGACGGACGGACGGACGGACGGACGTACGGACGGACGGACGTACGGACGGACGGACGGACGTACGGACGGACAACCCGAAAACATGATGCCTCCGGCACCACCTTCGGTGGCGGAGGCATAAAAATTCCTAAGTGCTTCCAAAGTGATTAAATTGTTATCCCTATTTAACCTTAAATCTCTGATCAGGCACTGAAACCTTCAAAAAAATCATTGTCATAGTGCCCATTTACGTCATCTGGGTCTAGGTTGACAATGCCTTGCAAGCAGACAGTCGAGCCATGGGAGGGATCTATACCCCTAACAGCCTAGCAACTTATCCGCTAGACATTAACATTTCTCACTTGAATGGGTATTTACAGCATCATGTCACTTGAGCGTCTAAACCTAATGTTCATTATTGTACCATCAACCTGAAATGTGCATCTTCTGATGGGTCCTACAAGTTTTTGCAGATTTTAATTTCAGAGCCTGTTAAAATAATCAGTTGAAATTTGGTTGTTCAGCTTGATTCTTTGACTGGACAGACTGCCTAGATTATAAGTGTTGGTAGACATGAAGACCAGTCAGTCATTATGTTAGGATTTTTATATAAGGACATTCACCACGACAGATAGATACCTTTGAACACTTCTCTGCAAGAGGCTCCAAGTCTTCCTTCCTAATCCCTAGCTGAACAAGAAGAGACGATTCCACGTAACCCCTCCTTGAGGTGATGTCAAACCTAGCATGTGGTTGCTGCCTGAAGAGTTTCAGACTCACTGCAAAGCCAGCCATGTCCATTGCAAAGGGTCGGTTGGGTTCCCACACTGTGTACCACGAGGACACCTTTCCTGCATCATTCAAGAGAGGGCGCTCAAAGCGAAGCCCGCCAACTAGTCCCACAGGCCATACACTCACCTTTTGAGTTGTTCTCATCTGCAATGAACATGAAAAGCATGGAAGTGGGTTCTGCAAATAAAACAGGGCTTTCATCCACCGTACATGCAGTCTCAATATCAGTAAGTTTGGATATTTTTACCTGCTGGACTTTTACATATTCATAGCAAGCAAAACAATTTTTTGCATGAAATTCATTCCTTTTTGCCTGCCTGGCATGTATCATGCTGTCATAAAAATGATTCCCCATGAGAACAAAAGCACACATAATGTCTCTCCCGCTGTAGTGAATATGTTATTATAGCTTACTTTCTCTTTGGGATACACTTTATATCTAAATCTAAACTCTTAATTCCTTCTGTAAATTAAGAGGTCATGATCTTAGTACCTTTACAATGACTGCTGTTATTGAATTTCTTCGGATATAAAGCTTACATTCTGCCCATATACACCCTATATGTATCAAGAAGTATATTACCATTTCATTCTAATAGGACTCAAGTAGGATCTGTTCTGCTACAGTACTACTTTGTTTAATTACCGGTAGCTATCAGAAATACTCTTATCTACCTCATCAAAAATCTGCAAGCTGTATGTGTTGTCATCATCTGCAAAGTAGACTACCCCTTCCTCAGCTTGAGGAACATTCTCTAGAATCCAGTCAACACCAATATTCCTCTGATCAACACCACGAGGTTTCCTCCAAGAAGCTTCATTCTCTTTTAATTTGTACTCGTCCGTTGTTTTGACATTCAGGTGAGTGTAGGGCAGGCCAGAGTTTGTCAAGAATCTTGACACAAGCTGGGTCTTCCTCTCGGAATCCTCCACCACAATCCAGTGAAAGTTGCTTACATGGAGAAAAGTCTGGGTCAACCTCACCAGCTCAGCCTTCTGGACCGGCCTGGTGTAGGTAGGTGTGATTGCATAGATGGTTGGAATCTGAGGGCTTTCAATGCCTAGTATCTCATTGACAGCATCGGCAGCTTTGGCATATTGCTTGTTCAAGGTTTGAGTGATAGTTCTAATTTTCTTTTCAGTTTGCCTCACGTTTGCTCTAGTCCTTTCTAGTTCATGTTTGTAATAATCTGCCATAGAGTCTCCTCCAACATGTTCCGTTGTGCATCCGGGTCCTTCAATAACAAATCATAAAAGAGAAAGAAAGAGTTTAGTAGCCAGGTACTTGATAGAGTAAAACACCAGTTAAGACCAAACCAGTTTTTTAAGACTAGTCATCATAATGTATATTCACCACTATGAGCATATTGGATTAGGAAAAGGTACCTTTAATGGTCATAGGGAAGAACTTCTAATACTACCAGCTATAATCTGGTCAAAATTATGTCCAAAGAGGAAGAAATCCCACCTGATTTTTTTTATTCTCACATGTTTTTTTTCCCAGTTTACACTTGGCCAATAAAAAAAATTGGCTACAAAAAACTTGGTCCATATCGAGCACACCAAAAAGCTAGACTTTTTTGTATGTTTGCAATAGGGACAGATGTTTTTTTGTCAAGTTATCTTACAGATTTGAGCGCTTGCCCAGTATACATTTCTCTCCGCCCCTATGTATTTCGAGATCCAGCGTTGCATTGGTCGCTACTATAGACAAGTTTACAATAACACGAAAGTGATTTGTCTTATTTTTTTATATTTTTAAGTATAGTATTTTGGCTTTGCTGCTATAGTGCGAGTATAGCTAGGTGCGCCATAAACTCATAATAGATGTTCGTAGACCTTACACTGACTGACACTCAGTGGCGTACCTGGGGTACTCCGTCAGGGGGGGCAAGCGACCGAAACAAACAAAAAAGGCGATGCTAATTTTCACTTCTGGCGAGCAAGCGAGCAAAAAAAAATCTTTAAGTAACGTTTGGTATATAAACTGGTATTGTTGCAAGTTGGGGGTGGGAACATTCACTTGTTAGCGACGTTAATTTCATTTTTTTGCAAAGGAGCGTAGCGAGCAAGAAAAAAAATCACTTCTTTTTTAATAATTGCCACTTAAACTTGGTTCAATTGTCCCATGCAGGGCGCGGGAACAATATTGTGTTTAGGGTGATTTTATACCCATTTTAGCTAGCGAGCCAAAGTACATCTTTCTCTCAATGAATTGCTATATAAAATTTGTTTCATTGTTGCAGGTCGGGGTTGGGCACAATCGTGTTTAAGACAATGTCAATCCCATTTTGGCGGGCAGGCAACCCTCTACATTTCTCTTTTTAATGACATTGTAGCAGGTTAGTGGTGGGCACATAATTCCACGAGCTAGCGAGCGTAGCGAGCGACCGAAAAAAAATCACTTCTCTTTTATAGGGAAAATATGGTACATAAAACTTGGGTTCATTGTTCCATGTCAGGGACGTGATTATTAAAAGCGGTGTTATTTCTAATTTGGCGAGCGAGCGTAGCGAGCGAGCGAAAAAAATCACTTCTCTTTTATAGGGAAAATATGGTACATAAACTTGGGTTCATTGTTCCATGTCAGGGACGTGATTATTAAAAGCGGTGTTATTTCTATTTTGGCGAGCGAGCGAGAAAAATTTTTGTAATGATAATTGGTTCATAAATTTCATATTTTCTTGTTGCAGGGCAGGGCTTACACAATCATGTCTAAGGTGATGTTAATTCCATTTTGGCGAGCACGAGCACACCAAAACTTCTTTGAATAACGTTTGGTACATAATTATTAACTGGTTGTTGCAGGTTGGGGGGGGGGCACGTTAGCGGTGTCAATTCCATTTTGGCGAGCGAGCATAGCGAGCAAGCAAAAAACAAAATTCTCTTTTAATAGAAATTAATAAATAAACTTGTTTTTATTGGTGCAGGTCAGGATGGACGCAATCGCGTTTAACGCGATTCAATTCCTTTTTGGCGAGAGGGCGAAAAAACTCTTCCATTTTTAATGATATTGTTGCAGGTCAAGGGTGGGCACAATTGTTTCCAAAGCAATATCTATTCATTTTATTCGCGAGCAAGTGTAGCGAGCGAGAAAAATGAATTACTCTCTTTTAGTAACATTTGGTACATACACTGTGTGTTATTGTTGCCATGGTTGCAGGTCGGGGCCCGTCGGGGCAGGCACAATTGTATTCTAGGCAATGCTAATCCTTTTCTTTTTTCAGGGGGACGAGCCAGTGAAAACATTTAATACAAAATAGGCTAGCAAGCAGTTCGCGCCAGCGAAGAGTTTCGAATTTGTTATATCACTTATATTTTCCTATTTTCATTTGTCTTAATTTTTCAGGGCCGTATGCGGAATATTTTTCTGGTGGGGGAGGGGGAAAGATGCGTTAAAAGTTTTTGAAGAATCTCAAAAGCAAAAGGAGTGAAGGGAGTTCGAGCGACCGAACTGGTCATGAGGGTACTTTTGCATTTTCAAAAGTAGAATTGAAGGATTTGGTATAGGCCTACACTACATTTTCAGGAAAAAAACTGTACGTTTTCAAAATATCTGGGGTCAACTGCCCCCCCCCCCTCCTGGTGCGTACGGCCATGGTCTTTTTTTTTTTAATTTCCCCCATTTTTTTCCTTTCCTTTTCTTTTCTCTTTTTCTTCCTTTTCTCTTCTTCTTCCTTTTTTCTTTCCTTTTTTTCTTTTTTCCTTTTTTCTTTTTTCCTTTTTTTCTTCCCTTTTCTTTTTTCCTTTTTTTCTTCCCTTTTCTTTTTTTCTTTTTCTTTCCTTTCCTTTCTTTTCTTTTCTTTCCCCTTTTTCTTTTTTCCCCTGGAGCCCGTCAGGGGGGGGGGGGGGACACTCTGCCCCCCCCCCCCCACATAGGTACGCCAGTGCTGACACTCAGTGATAGAGCTAGAGGCCAGAGACGAGAAATCTTACTAATATTCTTAGACTGCACAGATTTCAACACATGGGACAGTCTAAAAGTAAAACAAATTCATAAGTCCAACCGAAATATAACTTGCTTAAATGATACTTACCGCATGTTGATACTAACCATATTATGCTTCCCGTGGAAACTATGAAATAAGCTATAAATATGATTCTATTTCGTAATATTCGCCGCATTTCGAGTTCATTATTTTCCCAGCAGACGTCCTGAACATGTAAAGCTAGTTTTCACCACGTCAATAGGGAATGAAGTTAGCCCATTCAAAGTGCAGCGTGCAGTTTAGTAGCATCATATATCTCTATGAGTACTAGTAGCATGCAATGTGTGGAATTGCCAATTTGATAAGTGTACAGATCGTATTTTACACATACAACCATTGTATTATATACACAAGTCATGTACCCATTGTGTGTCGACAGTGTGAAATATCGTTATCAGGGCAGTTATTAAAAAGGAAAAAGGACACTAATCAAAAGTATCAAGGGGAACTTATAACATTTGAGAGGGGCACTTTTAATATCAAAGGTGATAAGGGCTATTTATAGGAAGGAAAAGGTGCAATTAAAGGGCACTTATTAGGAAGGGGAAAAGAAACACTTAACAGAAGGGGAAAATGCACTTATTAGAAAGAAAAATGGGCACTTATAAGAGGTCAAAAGTGGCACTTCTCTGCCTAAGAATTGGTACACATCAGCGATTGAAAGGGGCACCTATTAAAAGGGGACAGGTGCAATTATCACAAAGAAAAAAAGGCATTTGTCGAAGAAATTTTTGTATAAGGGTACTTATCAGAGGTGAAAACAAGACATTTATAAGATAGAGAAAGGAAATGGGACACTTATTTCAGGAGGGGCTCTTATCAGAAGGGTAAATGCCACTTACTAGAAAGGAAAAAGCAAGGGCATGTACCAAAATAGAAGGGCACTTATCAGAATTAACTGAAGGGACACTTATCGCACCTAAATAGGAGCACTCATGCATGAAAAGGGGCACTAATAAGAAGGGCAAAGGGGCATTTATGAAAAAGGAAAGGGGGCACTTGTTAAAGTGAAAGGGGCACCTATCAAATTTGAATAGGGGCAGGGGAATATAGCAGATTCATGGATATAAACAAAGCTTTTTATATATTACATATACTTTAGCCCCTAATATCGGAACAGTGCATGATTACAAATCGGGGACAATATCCCATTAATATGCATCATTGCATTGCACGTTTCTATTATGTGTTTCTAAATGCAGAACAGTAACACATTTAGCTGCTTAAAATAATTACAAACATGTTAATCTATATTTCTCTTTTTACTCAAAACTTAAAGGTATTACAAAGTTTTGGTATGGGGTCATGAATTTGGTTCAAATTAACATATTGGAAGCATATGCGTTCCTACGATATTCATTGATCGTTGTCCCGGTTGAAATCGAGTCTAAAGTTATGAAATTATAAATAATAAACTCTTTATGTTATATAGCTCCCTCTCAAGGTAAAGATATTAATTTAGCTATGAAACAATGTTTTTAACTAAAATCGACCGATTAGCTATTCCCGTTTGGAAATTATATATCACAACTACATATTCTGAGATTTTCAGGGTCGCAGCTACCATTGTACGGCCGTAGGCGCTATTTGAAATTTATCAAAATTTACCGGGAGCACCGGTAAATTTTTATATTCAATTTTTCTCGAAAACAGAAGTGTTTTAGGGATTAATTTTTTGGTGCTTATAATACATCCACAGGGGCATCCAAATATATCAAAATTGTAGAGAATCACTATCCACCCAATTTTCAAAATTTCCCAAAAACTTTGTATTACCTTTAACATCCCCCCTCTCTCCAACATTGCGTTGTTGCTCTAAACATCTAGTACTCCTTTCCCTTTTCTTATACAATGTATCAAGATCCCCCCGTCTCTTTCTCTCTCTCTCTCTCTCCCTCTCTCTTTCATGCACTAAATATTTCAACATTTTTACATTTCTCTGGTCCAAGGCATACATGTATGAGGTAAAGATACAGCCTTCTACATGTAAATATGGATTTATTTAAATGACAAACATCAGATCAAATGTTGTTCATAACATTCAAATTTTAATAAGGTTATTAAGCCCATGTGGTTATGAATAGAAGAACTGTAACACAAATATAAGCTAAGAAGATGGTCATGCATTAGTGTATGTTTAAATAAAGAGCAGAAAGTAGTGGTATAATAATTGAGTTTAACCAGATATTATTAAGTCTTTAAACAATTTATTATTAAGTCTTTAAACAATTTATAAAAGGATGAAAATTGTCTTGATATTACCTACTGAATAAAAGAACATCCTACTCTTATGCCTCTTTAATACACCATCCTGAATGGTTGCATCAATAACGCTAGGCAGTGAAACATGTTTTAAGAGATGGATATTTGAAGGCAATGCGCTTCACATGATAACAAATTCAAAGTTGATACATTGTATTTCCTTCATAGTTAACGGTAGTCCTTCATACAAGTCTCAGTTGTCAGCATAACACAACTTTTGTATGATAAGTATTTTCCCTTTGAAATTAAAAATAATCCAAAAGCATGACCTTGAAACATCCTCATATCAGAATTCTGAGAAAATAAACATAAGCATATGTATGTATTCCTAGTGAAGGACCAGCCTACAAACTATTTAAGGTGGTGTCATCTGTGACTAGTTTCATCCTTAAAAGAAATAGATCCCAAAGCAGGAGCTCCTCTGAAGATTATCTAGCAAATTTCGTTCCTATTCTCTTTGTTTCATTAGATTAAATAACAAGACACGGGGCCAATGACAAGATGTACACAGTTTACATTTAAGCTCTGGGAAAGGAGAACAAATAATCTGTGAGTACCTATTCTCATTTTTAAAATTCATATTAGAAGAAGATCATGGTAGAAATATCCAATGAAAAGGTAATTTTTCAAGAAATGGCTGAAAAGTTTGGACGAAACATTCACGCCCTGTTTTGTTCTTGTGTGTGGTGTGTTTTAGTGTGTGGTCCCATATTCACATGTCTGTATGCCGTGCATGTGGTTTTCAGCAAGCATGAGTAACTTTATTGATTTGACGAGTCCAAATCATTACTGCATACAACAATGTGTATATGTATGCACTTAATAATCAACCTTTCCCAATTGATTATGGTACATCTGTTTTGCAATGTAACCACCACATGACCAAAACTCAATTGTATCTTTAACAGACCAAAGTTTAGAGTTCTTAGTATGTACACACTGTTGTACACTGTATGCAGTAATGATTCAGACTCATCAAATCAATAAAGTTAAAATATCTCTTTTTTCCAAGTCAATAATCAATTGCCAATCTAGTTACTTGACCAGCCTGACTTTCCAATTATCAAACCTTTTTAATTGGCAATACACAAGAGAACAGACAGAGTTTCATGTCTTCTGATTAGTGTCTGACAGGTCAATCAGACGATGAAATAAGATGTTCAAATAAAATTCAAAACAATTAGAAAGCAGAATATAAGTCAATATACATGTATATGTATATTCTGCTTTGTGTTATGCTCGACACAAGGCTCAAAATAAGGCTCAAAATAACAGATTCCGGAGTAAATAACCCACTAAAAGTCACAAAGATTATAAGATATCACCCTCAATATGTGTAAAACCACTTATCATAAAAGTTAGTGTCTAGCCTTACTACATAATTGCAGTACATTCATGTGTCAGGTTTGTTTCAGTTTTGTCATAATAAATGAGGATATCATTATGCAAGTGTTGAGACCGTACTTGCCCTCAAACACCAAGCAAATAAGGAAAATGAATTATATGACATCAAAATAAAAACAAAACATCTCAAGAAGTTTCCAAACTCAAAAGCCTTTAGTATTTTCAATGCATTTCAAACTAGGAAAAAAAATGTATACTACATGTATGTAATTTCTTGAATGTTTCTCTAAATTTGTCAATTTATTTTAAAAACCACCTCAATTTAGAAGAAAAATAGAACAGAATTTTACACAAAAAAGAAAAAAGAAAGGATAGCTAACCAAACCAACATAAACTACATGAAACTATTCTCTTTACCTTAAATAATCTTAATAATTTGAATGAAAGAAACAAGTGCAAACATACACCACCACTTCAAACCCTGAACGTCCCTAGGTAGGTGAGAATGCACTGACATACAGTACAATGAAGCAAACATACTCTTGTAAAAAGAAGAGCACTTTTTACATTGATGAGTCAAGAAGTACTATTCAATCCCACTTACCACCCCCCCCCTCTCTCTCTCTCCCTCCAAAAAAAAATCTTTACCATTAGTATAGTGTTAAAACTGAATTGTTTCAATCATCTAAGATGTCCTCCAGCCATTCCTCAAGGTTTTCTTCTTCATCAGGTTTGGTCTGTAGCTCTGAAGCTGGCTCTGAAATGAGAAGAAATGGAACATGATAAAGAGAATATTAAAGAACCTTGATACAAGTCAATTTTGTGGATGATTTCAATCCAAATCATAATTCTTTTCAAGTACCGGTAGACATATACATTATAATATACCAGCCATGATGATGGCTAAACACATTTTGGAAACAAGCAATGTTAAAAATTCATACACCATCCCATAAATTGTTTGAAACTGTTATCATCAAATTCACAGAAAACCACAAGATCTAACTTCTTACCTTTAACATCAGCAGAGAGTGTAGACTTATTGCTGGGGGTTGCAAGTGATCCTGAAGTACTGCTTTGTGAATCAGGATGGCTACAGGAGCTATCACTTACTGTGGTCGCCCTATCATTACTGACTTGTGACTCTGTCTGTTCCATGTCTCTTGCACAATGTTCTCTATCACTACCAGTTCGTGATGCATCGTGACATATTTGTTCATTATTATCTTTAACTATCACCTCTTGCAGTCTGTCTATTTTACAACTATTATTAGAAGATGCACTTATTGTTGGCTCTGAAAGTCCTCTTGTTTGATTATCGGTAGTGTCTGATGAGGCAGGATTGTCCAGATCTTGAGCATTCTCAGCGTCCAAAGTTTCTTGATACCTCTTTGTATGCTCTGCTGCATCCTCATTTATTCTATTGAGTAAATCCTCCTGGAAATGCATAACAGAAAATCATGTTAACAAATCAAGATGATAGAGGGAATTCAGATTTTCAGGACCTCGAATTATAAAAGAGTGAGGGATTACAAATCATTTGCAATATCAATCACATCTCTGGACTACAGAGACAGGACCCATCTTATAAAAGAGATGTGATTGATTGCAAATAATTTGCAATTGATATTGATTGCATTTCTTTTCTAAGACCCTGATAATATTAAAGACATAAATATAACCTATCAATCCAAATTGTTCTGAATAGAAGGTAAACTAAATGAGAAACAAACATGATGTGATATTTTTTCGAATAAAAGGAAAATTGTATGCATCAATGTACAGCCATTTTATCTTAAAATTGATTGAGTCAATAACCCTCTTTATTATTGTGAAGCTTGAACCTTAACCTTTCCTCTCCCACCTTTTTCCCTAAGCACTTACAGAACAGATTTATATGAAATTAAACAAAGTGTACAACTTTAGTGACAGGAGGTTGTTTTTGCAAGGGTACAGAGAAGAAGTAAAGTTATCATTGTCAAGAGACATAACCTGTAGAAAAATTAGATTTCCTAAATTAACCAATACAATAGTCCTATAATTCACAAGTAGTCACAACTCTCAATTCCAGTCATAGACATTGATAGCTTGAAATCACCATGGCATCATTTCACGAAACCTTCATTAGTAAAACTTTACCGATATCCCATTAAATTTGATATACGGTATGCGTTTCAACGGTTGTTGATGAACTTGTACTAATAATGCTTTTGTGAAACGATGCCTTGGTCTTGACATTTTTTGGTATTTGAGTTTGTTGAGATCAGAACTGGACAATAACGGATTATATCTTTTTCCTTTAATTTGATTTTTTTAAAACTTTCCACGTTACATGTGTTTGTTTGTCTCAGATTTTTAAGGAATCCACTCACATCAAAATACTTGGTAGATATTCCCAGACGCTCATGGAGAGGAATACATTTTAGACGCCGTGCTAAATCCACATAGTCTACCTTGAACAGCTCTCCAATTTCCGTCTGAAAAATTGAAAACAATCAACACAGAAATATCAGTTTTAACTCTTGGACATTGTACATCTTATTTGCTACTCAAAACATAAACGTACATGTCAATCATGAAAAAAAATCACCTAAAATTGGAAACTAATGAATCTATTAAAAAGAGAGCATTTCCATTCCTAATAATAATGCTGATTCAGTAACTTGGCAGTGACTGAATAAGCAGGAAAGTACATTTTCTCTATGTACCGTACAACAAAAGCATGCATTAAGCATGTACCTATGCAGTGTTCTTGCCAGTTCATAACACACTTAACTATGGGATATAAGATAGAAAAAGAAGAAAGAGAACAAGAACAAGAACAAAAACGAAAACAAGAAGGAAAAAGAAAACAATTGGTTTGGGTTAATTATATGTGATATTATATACACATAGAATGCATATTCACTCTCTCCCAAAGGATGCTGCTTGACTAACAGACCGAATCTGCACAACTATTAGCAATAATTTGATGCATGAACCTGCAAGAAAGAGAAAATAAGTGAAATGTAACTTGTGTGATAGTACTAACCTCTGTTTCATCTTGTTGATCATCTCCATCCCACCATACTTCATCCTTCATTCGGAGTTGAGAGGAAGCATCATCTGTCAAAAATTTAAAAACGCACAACTCAAATTAATCATAAAGTTGTAAAATCTATGTAATAAGACATCTACTCAGTGCTTTGAGATTTATTCATTATAGAGTGGTCAAGTGTGACGTCATCAAAAAACAATTTTTAGAGTTTCCAAATTTGAACTTCATTTTCCGAAAGAGCATTAAAATTAAAAATAATGTCCAAATGTCAAAAACCGATTGAATATGTTCAATATTGGCCGAGATTCGACTATCCAAAATTGAAAATAGATTTCAATAGGAAATCACTGTTATTTTGCACTGGTTCGTAATGTTACGAACCAGTGCAAAATAACAGTGATTTCTTATGGTAATCTATTTATTTGGAAGATCATATCTCAGCCGATACTGAACATATTCAATTGGTTTTCAACATTTGGACACTATTTTTGATGCTCTTTTGGAAAATAAAATTCAAATTGAGAAATTCAAAAAATTATTGTTATGACATCACAGTTTCGGTACTCTATATGCCATGAATAAATTTGTAAATTAACAATGTAAAATAATTTAATTTGAAATACAAGTTCAAATGCTTTTACCACAAAAATAAGAAAAAGAGGCATTGGGAAATGAGGAGTTGGAATTTTTTCATCTTCATCATCTTTGTTGTTTGACTTGGGGAACCGGGTCATTTGAACAGCACAGACAAATTAACTAAATCCCAGGTACGTGTAGAACAGCTATGCTGCTTTTGTTGTGTGCAGTTTTCCATGTGTCCAAACTCCAAAATGAGATCATGTCCATCTCTTTATCATTTTAAACCCTTAGTTCATAGTTCATACCCTGGAGATTCTCTCTTTTCTTCCATGGGCTTGGATGTCGAAGAATGAGGTAGTCTTCTGTTTATCCTGGCCACAGTGGATGCAGGTTGACATCACAACTGTACAGTGCATGGCAATGGGCAGGCCATTAATTTGTACAGTTCTCATCAGAGGAACATCCTATCCCATTGGTGAATTGTAGGAACTGTTATGATGGAACCCATGATGTCATCAAAGACTTTCGCATACATTGTATATACAGTATATACATGTATGCCTGGGTGTACTCTACTCAGCCATAAGGTCAGGAGTACTTCAGGAACTTGATATTTGGTACTTTTACTCTACTCAGCCATGAGGAGTACTTCAAGAAATTGATATTTAGTAGTAAGGTACAGCATGGTTACCATCGGATGTTTGGCTGGAGAAGGGTCCATGTTTGCTGCTAGGTCTCTCTTTCTACTAAAAATGGTGTAGGGCCTTTAGTAGCAGCCTGAGGCTGAAGGCCAGAGAACATTGTGACACTGTGGAAGGGCTGGGTGCATCGCAGCTGGTAAACCTGAAGAAATATTATGCTTTCGACATCTTGACGTTGGTCTGTTACTGTAGAAATTTCTAGTAGATTCTATCCACTCTTTCATACAAAGCAGCCAATCATCAGAAGTAAACATGTGAAGTGCCAGGATTTTGGGTAGTAACTCCTCATTTTATTAATACTGATCACACCTCCCATCTTCTGATTTCTGGGTTCTCTTCGAATTTGTCTTTTAGATGTTTTCATGTTGAAAACAAGTTCTTCATTGCTTACAGGAAAAACTCTATTTTTTGAGTTGGTAGATGAGATGGTAGATGCCAGCTCCGCTAGTTTTAGGATTGGCTGTTTTCTCACAATATCATTCCACTGCTCCTTGAATTGGAAGATGGTATGAACAATAGGCTCCTGATCCACTTGGATTGAATCATGTGTGGACAGGATCATTTCCATCAGCATTCAGCATCACCTGAGCTAACGAAGCAAGATATATTCTCATCCTCATGTTTAAAACATTGAATATCACAGAACTTGAGTATCTTTCATAATCAGTACAGAGAATAAAGGTGCAGTCATGGTCATATAATGCTATCTAATTCTAATACTATCACGCAAAGTAAATTCAATTGTGTACCAAACGTGTGTATTTAGTTGTATTTACTACAAAAATGTACCGGTATGTATTTTTCCCGATCATGGTTATACTTGTAATCACACAAAATACAAAAAACAAATAATTAATATAACTGCGAAGATTTTTATAAAAGTTCAATAAATCATACCAAGTCAAATCAAAATATGAAGGTTCCCACTTGAATTATTTTCATTACAAATTTACAATTTACCAGGTTTTCTGAAGAAAGCTGATGGACTTTTTACTAACTTCGCTCTGAGCACCCCCACTGTCATAATCATTCACTGGCGCTTGCATGTACATGTATGTATGAACTGACCAGATTCTATAACAATTACATTGTGATTGTTAATTGAATAATTAAGAGCAATTAATATCCATAATCTTACCTGACTTGGCCGCAAGTTTTTGAAAGTCTTCCCCCCTCGGCTCTGAACTAACCTCCGCCTCTCTCTCATCATCTACAACAAAATCGTCATATTTTGTCCAGTTGCTCTCAACCTTTCTCCTTGCATACTGAAAAGAATATGACAAATACATGGTTTGCAAACTGATCAACAAGTTACATGTACATGTATGATGTATCATGCCATATAACTTACGAGGGTGTCGACCTAATAATATAACAAATAAAGGAGGTAATAATTCTGCATTTTGCAAGTTCACAAAAGGACCTTAATCTTATGCTTAGGACAAGTAGGCAAAGCTCTCAAACTACTAGTATTAAGTTTAAGAGTGAGAGTAAGTTGTTTAAATGTACTAACTTCTATACTGATAAGTGATATGATAATGGACAAAGTGACAGTATAGTCCTTAAACGTCAAACTTCTGAGGTGACTGAGCTGAGATACGAGAGTATCTTTGCATTACTTCTTGTCATATTAATTATCATTTTGATATTATCATCATTAGTCTATGTGTAACTTAGCCTTAAATTACTAGGAGTTAGGTCTATTCTATAGACCCCTACTTCGAGGTCGAGATGAAAGCCATGTTAGCTGCAAAATAAAAATTTGCATCCATTCATTGTACATGTTTGTTTGGATCCTCCAACTTTGCTTGAAGTTTGACCCTTGTCGAAACGAATTTTACATTGCCATTGCTTGGCATCGAAAAAGTCCTGATTAAAGATAAACACCAGTTCTGGTAATGCGATTGCATTGACATTGTGAAAGAAAAGGTGTGGAATGGATCAGAAACAGTTGATCATGTAGCATGTAAGTATTGGTGTGCACTGCAAGGTTCTGGAGTCATCAAAATCATAATAAATTTGGCAGAGTCTTGGTAAAGTAACAAGCACTGTACACAGAAAGCTATATATGGGACAACACACATGGTGTCGGGGCTAGTACCAGTAGTATGGCGGTGTGACCAAAGTTCGCGCGTGACCAAAGTTCGCTTTCTCAAAAAATCGGTAAGATTTCGAAAATCTGATATCACCAATGGAAAGAGGGTCATAAAATTACCCAGAAACAAAATTTTCTTTAGAATTGGGTGCGAAATTGTGAAAATATTGACAAAAGATCGGCAAATTTTGCAGTTATTTGCGTCCGTTCCGAAAAATTATCAACTTACCGATAAGGGTCTGGAAATCTTCATTTTGAGATTAGAAATCCTCAAAATTGTAAGTAAAGAGTGGTACTAACTGATTGTACGATATCTTGTCTTGCAAATTATGATATTACCTTATTTTTGATGGATTGAATTTTTTGATAAATCAACTGTAAACCACCGTGCGTGAAGTTAGGTCTCATTGTTTTTATGAATTTTTTAGATGCAGCGCGCACGCACGATCGGACATCGAATTTTTAGATCGCGATATCTCTGAAATCCTTCGATGGTAAATCTTTCTAGTTGAACCAATCTGTAGTAAAAAACTTTGCCGTCCATTTGGTAATAATTGAAACAAATAAAGTTGTGTAGAATGTGAGAAATCATAGATCGAATAGGATCTATCACATTTTGTAATATGTTCTAAAATGTCCGCGAACTTTGGTCACCCCTTCATACATGTATGTCCTCGTCTTTCTATGCTCATTACTCAGCCAATATACGTTTTCTTCCAAATTTGTTTGACACATGTCATTTATTTGTAATCTTGAACATTCAGTGTAAGTTTTGTTTGATTCTGTGAGAATTCATTTTTTTTTTTTTTACCAGAACTAGGGTCTAGAGTTTATCTTTAACATTGAATCAGAATTCAGAATTTTAAAGTCTTTGCATGACTTGGCTTTGAAATCAAACAAAGTGCATAGCTTATGATCCCCCTATCATCATGTTGGTCTCACAATGTCTACCTTCTCAATAGCATAATTCTATCGTACCTCTTTGCGAATTTCGTGCTGCTTTTCGATGATCAGAGACTCTCTTATTTCTGCTAGCGCCTGCGCCTGCGTATGTAGATCTACAGCACTTCCACCATGTTGATGTTCTTTAACCTTGCGTTGCGTTTTGTCTTCGCTCTTTCCAGGCGAAATCCCATGTTTCTTTTTATAATTTGCACTATTCTTTGCCTTGTGTTTATCATGCTTCATGTTCGATCCAGGCAGTAGTCTATTCCGTTCAAGAAGCTTAGTTAGACACTAATAATGAGTTTCAATGCCTTCTATTTCTCTCGATCTAGTTCAGGATGCGGATGTAGAAGTCTATGTACGTACGGCCTATGTACACATAAGAACAGGAAATACATGGACGCCTAGCTGGCACCTAAAAAACCCACACAAATAATACACAAGCGCAAGCCAGTGCAAATGAACGTACAGTCTATGATCCGGCCGTTTGCGTTGCGCGCGATGGGCCTGGGTTACATAAAAGCATTTAGATACAAAGGTCGTTCGCGTTGTTTCACCACAATTTGAAACTTAAGTCTTGTTTCCGTGTCAATTATATTTCGCAATCACACGGGAATACCATATTTTGCTCTTGGAAGCTTTTTTTCACTCTTAATTGGGAATACCGACAAAATATAAGAAAATATCTATAAAGCAGACTGGTATGTAGAGGTATTCATTTAATAAAAATGGGTTCAAGAATGGAGCCAATGAGAAGCGTCGAAATCCTGCATCAAACATTTATTGGTTTTTGATTGGTTACAACAACTTGTCACATGATAAAAAATAAACGCACTCTTTTGCAAAAATTATTATTTACGGCTCCAAAGCCGAACATAGTACCTCTACTAAAACTATTATGGCTAGCAAATTGAACTTCGACGTTGGTGTTACTTGAATTTGAATTTATGTGTATTCAAGTGGGTACAACTACAGAGTAACATAAAATTAACAGTTGATGTCGTATACAGTCATATCCATACCCCCGAGGGCGCATATTTTTTTTTACACAACTGTTTAGCCATTTTCGCGAAAAAATTCCAAGAAGTGCTCTAGTGAAAGAGTACGTCTAAGTCGTCAGCGCACTTACACTGTATGTGCAAGCACGTACACCCAGTGAAGGGAAGATGATAGAAAGGGGAAAACAAGGATAGTGGAGAGGATATGGAGAAGGGGGAAAAAAGGAAATACATAAGGAAAGAGAAGAGGATAAGTCAAAGGAAGAACAAAGAAATATATAATTGAAGAGCTAAGAGGATCATAGATCTAGACTATGGAAAAACAGAGAAATACATATAGAAGGAGAAACTTAATCTATCAGATTAAAACAAAGAAATAGATGACGAAGGAGAAGAGGATAGATTGAAGGAGAAACAAAGAAATACATAGAATAAAAGAGAAGAGGTTAGAATGAACGCGAACAAAAGAAATACATAACGAAGGAGAACTGGGGGATAGATTGAAGGAAAAACAAAGACATATATAACGAATTAAGGAGAAAAAGGATAGATTGAAGAAAGAAAAAAAAAGAAATACATGACAACAGAGAAGAGGATAGATTGAAGGAGAACACAGAAATACATAATGAAAGAGAAGAGAGGATAGATTTAACCCGAAACAAATAACGAGTAAAACTATGTAGACCCTACACAATCATGTGCAGCTCCAGCAATTATCCCACAAAACTGCGAAGGGTAATGCTAGACTCTGCCTCTAGTCGTTTGCACAGTATATTTGACTGAAATGGCTAAACAGTTGTGTAAAAAAACATATGCGCCCCCCGAGGGGAGGGTGGGGGTCACCGTCATACACAAATGCCTATCCAACCGTGTCCATCAACCTCTGAAATGGACCCTAATGGCGTATCGCACCTTTTCTGAAATGACCCTTTTTTTTAAGAAAACGTCGAAACCTGTGAACCTGAAAATGTACCTTTTTTGTTTGTTTTTGTGCGATCAGTGCTTGAAAAACTACGGAGCCCAAGCACGGGGACCGAGCTTAAATTTTGTTTTATAGTAATTAAGTCGTTTTCACTACTTACAAGTCGTTTCCACCACTTATAAGTTGTTTAGTGTGTCTGGACTGAATTAACAACAATCTACATTATTATTAAGCGGGAATATTTATTTTAACTTAATTTCATATCATTTGTTTTGTATTCATTGAATTTATTTCTCAAAACTCTAATTCTTTTTCGTACATAATAAAGTTTATACAAAACTGCAACATAATTATAACAAAGCTTTTTTATCATTTGATTAAAAAAAACATAAATACAACACAATTCATTGTTCATTATTTCACAATGTATAGGACGAAAATGTCTCAACATATTGTTATACAGAATTGAAATTTTAAATTTTCTTTTTATTAAAACACGATCTTATCCCATAACCCTTTCCCTTCTTTTCCTCCTCTCTCATTTCTTGGACTTACCCCCCCCCCCCCTACCCTTCCCTTCTACTTGTGTGGATAGGAAATGCATTCTGGTACAGGTTTCTTTACAATGTCGAAATGACTTAAGTTGTTGACTTCGTTCTATACCTGCACCTCGGATGTAGGTGAAATCTATTTCTCACCAATGCCAATTTTTTCCCCTCCAATCCATCTTCACTAAACCTGCGTTTAATTTCATCCATGGTTATAGATGAACTCCGTTCTCTTCCCATGAAAATCAAATACTTTACCAGAATAGTGATTTACCAATTGCTCCTTTCCTTGATCAATAATGTTATTCCAACAAAAATCAACTTAGATTAGGTATGGATATAAAGCCAAATATATTTTTACAGTCGCTCCATATCAAACGAACTTTTACACATTAAAAAAATAAATGACGATAATTTTGTCTCCTCTTCCTTTTTGCAGAAGCAACACAAATTAGTTTGGGCAATTTGTGTAAATAATTCCATGCAGTATAGTTTAAATTAGAACTCCCTTAATCGGCTATTTAATGTACCTTGTCTTGGCCTCTTAAAACGTTTTAAATGTCTTTAAAAGAAGAGCCATGTTTATATTTTATTCTTTCGAAAACATTTGGCGTTACCGATTTCTGTTGAAGAAATTCTGTGTAGATTTTTTTTGGATACAATATCATTTATTGATATAATATTTTTTTCAGTACAAACGCAATTCCTTGTACATCATGAACCGTATCACTGTCTTTTCTCATATTTCTTTTTCAGCTAATTAGAATTGTTTCATAAATTGTCTATATTATTCTAAAGACAATTATATTCAATCCCAGCTGTTGGAAATATGCAAAAGATCTGAAGTTTCACTTTGGTATATTACTAGTATATGTTTTATTTTATATATATCATTATTTGATCCTTAATCGATCATCTCTGCTTCAGAGTTTAATTCTGAGATTTTTACGAAATGATGCTCTTGTTTTTTCTTCTCTTATATTTATGTGCAAATTATTTCACAGCTTTGGTCGTGTCGTACTACATTTTGGGTAATCGTAGCATTAAATGTTCTCTCCCTCTTGCTCTATACATGTAATTCGTGTTGATGTTAAATGTTGATATTGAATGCTTGAACAGAATAATTATGCACATCCCCGCCCCCCCCCCCCACTCAGTGTTATTTAGGGTACGCATATGCTCGTTCCCTCTTTTTGAAAGCACCCCCTATCTGAGGACTGCCAACATTTTCGAACCCCCCTTTCGCGGGCTTTTCGCGGGCTTTTCGCGGGATTTTCCTGCCTTGGAGACCCCCCTAAATCAGGAAAAATGCTCAATGTACCCCCCTAAATTCGGAATAATTTCTCAGGAGTCCAAAGAGATGAGAGAAAAAAAGAAAAAACACCCCCCTTTTAAAGAAATCTCCGGGTGAAAAGTCAAATACACCCCTTTTTTTACAATTCTCGGGCCGGACTTTGTCGCACGAAAAGTACCCCTTTACCGGACATTTTGGCAACACGCATGCGGTCATTTCGAAACCTGAGTGGGGGGGGGGGGGGGGGGGGGGGGGTGCACATCTAATACCTGTTGACGTACGAACAGTGCCTTTGAACTTGTTCTAAATGGGAAAAATGTTATCACACGCATGGCCATTTTCTGTGCCAATAGTATGCAATTTAGATTACTTTTATGTGACTAGTCACTAGAGGGCGATATTCAATTTGATGACATCATTTGTGGACAACTCTCCATGCCTTTTGTACATCAAATTTCATGTTTTTCCTTCTTTCTTGTGATTGAGATAATAGAATGCAAAATGATATTCTACTTCACATGTTGTGAAATCCGATCAAGAACACAAATAAATTGGAAAAAACGAAAGACTTGTGAAATTTGATGTACAAAAGGCCTGGAGAGTTGTCCACAAAATTGATGTCATCAAATTGAATATCGCCCTCTAGTGATTAGTCATTTTAAAAAGCTTTAACTTCCTTATTCCATGCCTGATTTTGTTCAATTTTTCACTGATTTTATTCAAATATCTTAAACTTTACAATAAAAGTAACTTAGTATGAAGGTTTTGGTTCCCTTTAATGAAGAACATCACATCTAGATCAGGTGTATATTTAGTATACTATATATCTTTTTCCTGTATTTTTTTCCAGCATTACATAATTACAGACATAGACAAACACACGAACAAACACACACACACACGCACCAATAGTACACACAAGAGCAACTATACTCACCACCATTGTTATTATGTTCAAAATTGGACAATCCCTATGAACAAGTGAGTGGAAAAATATATTTCCCGGTATTTTCCGGTAAAAAGTGGTAAATACCGCTAAAAAGCGGTAAAAAGCGGTAAATACCGGTAAATACCGCTTATTTCCCGGGAAATAAGCCTACGAAGCGGGAAATATGCCAACCCTGCCTCTGTCCCGTAGTGAGCATGTAATTTATTTTCTTTAAGTTTAATGTCAACTTGTTAACAAAACACTATTTTTGAACTTCCAACAATTTGATATTTACTTCATTCATATCTATTTCTTTTTGTCTTTTATCAAAAGCATGAACTATATTTGAATCATCAGCAAATAATCTTAATTCAAATATTTATTGGCAGATGATTAATCATTAATATTTAATAAAAACAAAGTGAGCCCGAGGACTAAATATTGAGGGACACCATTTATGTTATCCTCCTCTTATACTTGATATTATCATAAGACTTGCGATCGATTTGAAAGGTAACTTTGAAACCATTTAATACTTTGCCTCGTGTACCATAATATTTAATCTTCCTAAATGGATATCATGATCACTAGTATTGAATGCTTTCTTAAAGTCTATAAAAATACCTAGCATTGGGAATACTATTTTGGAGTTAAATTTTTGTTGCTAATTTTAAATTTTAAATTTTGATTAATACATTTTTGATGCAGGGTATAATACAAATATACCCTGTCTTTTTTCGAGGTAGTGGAACATAATGAAGGCCTTGGTGATTCCAATAGTACCATTAACTACGGGGCTGCACCCCTCAGCAAATATATCCTGCATACAAAAAAAAAATGTTTTTCGATTGGATGAAGCTCTTCACGTGACCAGAAATATTTCAACCAAACGTACTACATGTATTTGGGAGTACTATTTGGGAGTAGAAGTACTGTTTGTGATTACTATTGATTACTATGGAGTTGAAATATTCTTTAGATAATTTTGTTTAAATTTTAATATTTAATAAAAATTATAAAATGTTTAATTTTTGTATAATTTTTTTGTAAATTTTTTTTGAATACTAAATTTCGAAATGTTTCAAATGTTCAACTTTTTAATAATGATAATTTCTTTTTTGGTAATATTTTTCAAAATGTTTTAAAAATGTTATTTTTGTTTATGCAGGATATAAAGCAAACATACCTTGTCTTCTTTTTTAAGGAATTGGGTAAAGCTATGGGCCTCGGTGACTCTAATTATTTAAAAATATACACTGTCTTGAGAGCTTCTGGTTGAAACTATAGACAAGAGGTGACTCAAATAGTACAATTTGCTGAGGGTCGCAGCCCCGAAGAAAATTGTACCTTTATAGTCACCGAGGCCGAAAGTTTTAGCCAGTACCTCGAAAAGAAGGCAGGGTATATAAAAAAAAAATTATATCCTGCATTAAAACAAATTTTCAAAAATTGTATTAACATTAAAAATATATATATATATTTTTATTCTTTAATTAAAATGTTAAGATTTTAAACGCCCTTAAAGAAAACTAGGCCTATAAGTATCCTTGTAATTTGAGAATTTTGTTCAGGATTTTTTTTTGCAGGCTAGAGGGTTAGTACAGTAGAAGGAGTATGATAAGTAACATTCAATACACTTTTACGCAGTTTTTTATAAACCTTCAATAATGTTACCAAGTCACTTTAAACATTTATTTTCAACTCCTAAATAAAACTTTTACTCCCAAATAGTACTTTTTTAGAGCATCCTTAAAATGGTTGAAATATTTCTGGTCATGTGATGAGCTCTCAACCAATAAAAAAAGACAATAAATTTGTTGATGCAGGATATAATACCATTAAGTACTGTTGGAGTCACCTCTTGCCTATAGTTTCAACCAGAACCTCTCAAGACATTGTATCATGCACTTGCTAACATATATAATCAGCGATTTGTAGGGTCCATGGTATAATTAACACTCTTGTCTTCAAAAGGAATGTCCATGAAGTTGGACTAATGACTGATTCGAGAAACTGAGACCTATACATAATTATTAGTGTTACTTTTCATGTGTGGCTATATTTTTTTCGCCGTTTGATTGGGCATGGGCGCGTCTTGAAAATCACCCCCACCCCCGGCCCCTCCGAAAAGAATTCAGCTTTCATGTTTTATTAAAACCAACTTATTATAAGAATGGACTACCCCTGGACACTGGGGTAATTTTCAGGGGGTGATTATCCTCGTGGGGTAATTTTCCACGAGGCTGATTGTCCTTGGGGCAGAGGCGGTAGTTTTCCTGGGGTAATTTTCCGGGGGTCATTGTCAAGGGGGTAATTGTCCTGATACGGTCGGGGCATGCATCTGCTATATGCACCTGAATGGTATCATGCATTATGGGTATGTAATCAAAGGAACACAAATAATAGGCCCTATAAGTATAATTGTATATCTAAAAATGTTCAATGGGATGCCATAGTTTACGGGGGGGGGGGGGGGGTCACATTTTGTTATAGTAATTATACACCACGAATACAATCATGAATTATTAGATAGCATTACACAGTCTCTCTCTCTCTCTCTCTCTAAACTTACCCAAGCTCTCTCTCTCTCTCTCATTCACTCACTATTTTCACTCGCCCTCATCTCTTTATCTCTTTCTTTCCACCCCCCTCTCTGTATCTCTCACCTTTTCACTCCCTCTCTCCATTTTCCCTGTACCCCTGTCTCACTCACATGATGCACCCCTCCAAGCATGGATTTAACCAGTTAATCCATGCTCCATTCTGAAGCAGCACTGTCATGATGTTTTGTAATTCCAATGCTTTATTTCTTTATTTTGTGTAAACACGCAACCACTTCCAATTACAAAATACAAACCTAAATCCTGACTATAACTGTGGCGCATTATTATGATACGCTTTGTCTACTCATATCTCAGAGTCTATACAGTCTAGCTGCAGTCCATTCTCAATACCGAGATACTTAGAAAGAGCAACGTATATATTTACCGAAGAAGCAGTTTATCCCGATTATAAAAGAGAAAAATGTAATAAATACACGTATATCGCTGATATTGTAACAATATTTTGGTGGGAATATTAAAATATCCTCGTCTTAAATTTCACATTCTGATCAGCTTTCAATATTTTGACGAGTTGCAAGCCATCTTTAGACATAGATGTACCAAGCAGTGCATGCCTTTTAGAAAGATAATTAAATGAAAAGACTAATATTGCACTCCTTTAATTGAAAAGAATTATTTATTAAAATATTGGAGTATTTCAAGTGATTTTGTAGCAGCGAATGTTTTACACACTTATCTGTTATAACCTTCCAGGGTCCTGTACCATAAAGCTTAGTGATTGATCATACGATTACATTTAAAAAAAAATATAAGTTGCATTGAACACTATACCCCCTCCCCTCCCCCCCCAAAAAAAAAAAAATCACTAAAAAGTACGATCAATCACAGAGCTTTGTGTTGCGAAATATATTACAATATTGGCCAGAAAGCCCAGAAGTCAACATTTTTTGGTAATCTACTGCTTAAGTTATATGTTCACTAAGATGAAATACATATAGAGAGCCAACATACCACTTTTGATGTTAACGAGTAGCTACTACCCTGATAATTTGAGACGACTTAATCATGTCCGGAGTATAGGCTTGGTGACACTATGTTTTTGCAAGCATTATAATAGGCATGCGATTATAATTTCGCATTAAAGGGACTGTGTTACATTGTTCAGATGAGAGATAGTGGTGCTAAGGTAGTGACTTCAATGCTAGATGTACAATTAAAGATAATCTGAAAATTTGAGTGAAAACGGATCATTATTCATGGTACAAATTGGGAAAAACTGATCTGATCGATTCCTTAATTCTCCCAACTATATTATTCTACTTCTATTCTGCTACTTGTCAAAGCCTGTTCAGCATCAAGACAAGGACAATTTAATTACATTTTAGGTGAATGTAAATCGTCACAAAGTAATACAATGGCTCTACATTCCATTCCAGACAATTAAGTGTTGACAGATTTTTATAGCCTGTTTTATGTATTTTTCTCATGGAAAAGCGGTTGGGAAAATTCAAAAATGGTTGGGAGAATTTACTGTTAATCACTGTTAGAGGGTGCCTCACATCGACGCCTTCGAAGAAAACCATAGATATCTTTGTGATTTGAGAATTTGTTCAGGATTTTTGCATGTCAGAGGGTTAGTATAGTAAAAGGAATATAGTAAGTAACATTTTATACAAAAATTAAGCAATTTTTTTCATCAACCCTCAACAATGTTACCGAGTCACTTTAAGCGGCTGACGTTTCATGTCCGAACATCAACATATTCCAGTTTGTAATTTTTTTTCGAGCGAGCGAAGCGAGCAAAAAATTGACATCTTATTGGTGACAACGTTTTTTCGTACTAAATGCGCTAAATAAGTATAGAGTATAAATAGACCAGCCACCTCGCAGCCCGAATTTGAGGCAGCGAATCACCGAAAATGAAGTGACGGTTGCCTGAATATTAGTAATTTCACGTTCCCATGGAATGCAGCCCCGCCCCCTCCCTTCTTGCATCCCATCTCTGCGAACACAACCTTATATGACAAGACCAACTATCCTCCTAACATAAGCTAATCTACAACTGAAGTACATTCCAGACCGATGATCTATTATGAAGGACATCAGGATATAATTATTTAGAAGAGAAAAATGTTCAACAAAACCACGAATTCGTTAAAAATAGTAATGTTCTCTTATGTAATCTGGCATCATGCCAAACAGAGTTTTGGGCAATCTTTAAGTACAGACCGGATGCATGCCAAGAATTATGACCCAAATCGGGTACATCTTTGTTCAACCGGATAAAAATATTTTCTTATGTATGGCAAAACTGAGCCCATATACGCCTATGAGAAAAGGAGGCAGCCTCTCCCGATTCAATTTCCCTTTTGGGGGCATGCTTGTTGATGCACTTTGAAATTGTACAAACAAGAATGTCTTATTTTCAGGTCTAAATAATTATGTTCCAATATAATTCTACGGGCATTCAAGGACTAACCTTGGGGTTATGTTCTACAATGAACTGAACAATTAAAAGTCAAACAAACAATTCTTAATTAAGCCCTCTTTCTTTCAGATATTCCTGGACAAGCCTCCTTCTTGTTCATTCCCCTGTAGTGGTTTCGTCGATGTGACCGGTATATTGTGAGTTGCGTTTTGCCAGTGCGTACGCAACTCGATACAGATGTTGTCGGAACTTCTGGTTGCAGATGATGTAAAACAGAGGATTGAGAGCGACGTTGAAATGCACGGCAATGTCGCTGACGACTATCATAATGTCATCCTTGTTATTGAAGTATATCCAATGGTCAAAACGTTTCAGGGCCCAGATGAACGCTATGACGAGATGAACAATGTGGTATAGAGTCCAGAAGACGACGAAGGACGCAGAGATGGCGAGGTTGTTCGGCAGACCTTGTGCGCGTATGATCGCCCCCGGGACACCGCCATCCTCTTCTTGAAGTTGCGTGAAGCGTCGCGCGTTGTTGGCATGCTTGTTGTCTGTTGATGTGGCAGTACGAGCATTGTGCAGGGCATGCCATACCATCATGCTGAAAACAATCGTCAATATGATGGGAACAAGACAGAGGAAGATGAAGATGAGCGAGTCCTTAATGAGCATCATGGTGTCTGACGTGCTGTTGAATACGTTTATGTAAAGTAAGCCATCAACGAGCGCTACGACCATACCAACTGTAAGATAATGAAAAAGAAAAGAACGAATAGTAGGCTATATACGAGGAGGAAAAACTAATTACTGGTCTGAATAATTTACCACTTTGAATAAAGACTAAAAATGTCAGAAAATAACAATTTTATAAAGTTTAGAAAATTCGTATACCGCGCTTGGAGCTGGAAAGTACTTTAGAAACATAATGCCTCTCCTGTTTTGTGGTGGATGTTGTAGAATTTCAATAATAATGATAATAATAATAATCTTGATTTATAAAATTTACTTTATATACTTATTCACTCAGATGGCTATTGCTGGTCTTCTCGTCAAATATAGGGTTTGGGTGAACAAGGGCTGCAATTGGGTTTGGGTTATAATGGTTAGAATTAGGGCTGGCTACACTTTTGGTCCAGGATTAACTTAAGTTAGGTACTGACAGTGGAGCAACAATGTCACCTGAAGCATGACTTGTGTGGTAGTACCCCCATCGCTCTTGTCAAAATGAAGGGGTGGTTCTTAACGGACGGGAATTAGTTCGGGGGAGGGGGTGACCTACTGGTTCCATCATCCATTTCGGGCTATCTGTCAGTTGACGCATCTAACTTTAAGAAATCATGCTTGTATAATAATATATGGGGCATCTCTATATTCATCACATAACTCTTTATCAAGGTTAAGATTACATCTCCATCAGATCATCGACCATGCAGGCCTCTCACACTTTGTCCTTTAAAAAATATGCCACGCATCCGTTCTACAAAAATTGCATACCTGTCCACAGGATGACGCAAGCGATGAAAGCATTCCGAGGTGTCCTCCATTTGCGAGCGACGATGGGATATAACACGACGATGTACTGGTCAAAGGCGAGCGCCGTGATCATTGAAGCCAGATGAAAGAGTACTGCCTGCATTATTGAGTGTGGGGAGAGTGGTGGGAGGGAAGATAAACGAGAATGTACCCATTGTGAGTTCATTGAGAGTATATAAACGTTATATATATAATTATATACCATATACTCATATGCGTTATTATGCCACCTCCTTTCTCAGAAAAAACAAAACCGAAACTGCTCACAATATAAACCCCTCCCTCCACCAGAGCGGATTCCGCCCCTCCTGTTTGTATCAATAATATTTCTGGAATGGCCTCTGTATGTCATTCGTTGGGTGAACGTCTTGACAAACCATTTCACCGCTGTGAATATAGAGATCCTGAATAGAAATTATTATTAGTTAACATTATTATTTTCCTTTCTGGCACTTGAACCTAAATTTTATTATCAGGCTTAATATCGACAGAAAATTATTCGGTCATTAAAAAAACTTCAGAATATACGAACTCGACGGTTCTGAAAGAGTTAGCCTAGGCCTATATAATACTCACCGTATGAATAATCTGATAAAATATCTCCATATAGACCATACTACCCACACTTCTGTAGTGAGCATTGATTAAACCGCCAAATGCTTCAATGCCATTCCAAATCGTGACTGGTATCCCGACCAAGACCAAATACATGATATCCACAATGGTCATGTTCGCGATGAAGATGAGCTGGACGTCTCGGCGAATGCGCGGGAAACAGACGATACCATAAAGCTGGAATATGTTGCTAAACAAACCGAAGATGACAAGAAGTAGGATGAAGAAAAAGGCAACGATGAACATCACCTTACGATCCTGGTGATCGAGACCGAAATCGAATTGATAGAAGTATGAAGAAAAGGAATAGTAGGATAAATAGTCATGACTGGTATGACTGCTGTGCTGGGTAGACCCATTGGGATGATTGAAGTGGTAGTCTGCTGAGTCCGCGCCGAGGATATCGGGGTACATCATGTCATCAAAGGGTGAGGAACTCCCCATTTTGTTTCCAATCTCTGAAGCGGCTAGTGTAGAATATTACAAAAGAGTGTCCTATCACAGCCTTCGATGTATTATCAGTGTTGATAAAACACTGATTCGTCTTACAATGGCTCTACTACCGAATGGTCTTATGGAAACCTTAAAGATCACTTTTCTATGATGTTCATGCTCCAACCCCACAGAACACTGTCCTTTATGAAGGTGCGATTCGAAATGAGACATGCGCCAAAAAAGCATTTCCTTTCAATGCCTATTGACCATGAACATATCCAGTCTAGTAACCTTCCACGTCGACAGAAATCCTGTCCGCCGATAAAAATCACTGTCTCCAAACAACATGACCCGAGATCATGTAATGGAGTTTATAAACTGGCGGATGTGATCGAATTTGGGGAGTCTTGTATCCCTGGAAAGGTAAATTGAAATCAAATTTGCATATTGGTCTGTCTGGGCGAGTATACATTTACCACATTTTTAGATATTTAGATCTATCTGCTTAAAGTGGACGTGATTCTTGAGTTTTTGTTATCAAAATAGAATTGGTCGCAGTTTGTTTAACATCAATCTTCACCTCACTATTGGGTAGTACGATATGAGGGAGGGGTGGCAGCAGGGGCTTCCAGCGTATTGTCACATTTAAGAATGTGTCGATAAACATTAGCCGTAGAATTTCGGCGTATCGACGATCGACTGCCCCCCATCTAGAAAAAGTATAATGTCCTTTTTTGCTTTGGCATGAGCTTCAGGGCATCAACCCTGCAAGAATGATATGTTGTCAAATCAATTGTTGGGTTCTAGGACATCTACCCCCTGGACATCCGCCCCCCCCCCGGATAACCATCCCCAGTCAACGACTCCCTAAGATAACTACCCCCTAGGACAACTACCCCCTAGGGCAACCACCCTCTAGGACGACTACCCCTGGACAACTACCCCCTAGGACAACTAACCCCAGACAACTACCCCCGGACAACTACCCCCAGACAACTACCCCCTACGACAACAATCCCCTTGGACACCTACCCCGGACAACTATCCTAAGGGGTAGTTGTCCGGATGGTAGTTGTCCGGGGTAGTTGTCCTAGTTGGTAGTTGATGGGGTAGTTGTCCTAGGGGTAGTCGTCCTAGAGGGTGATTGCCCCATGGGGTACAGTATAAGGGGTAGTTGTCCTAGGGGGTAGTTATCCGGAGATGGATGTCCAGGGGTAGGTGTCCGGATACGCAATTGTTAATACCCCAGTTATTGTTACCAGACTTTGACCTCATAAATTATATTAGGACCGTGGTATGAATTTCAATACCCCCGATTGATTTGCCATCGATCACAATGTTTTACTTCCTAGGGTTTACGAAGTGACGGGTTTGATTTTCTCATATTTCATATAATATATATATACAGCCATCATTTCTGTTTTTGACTCGCAGCTACATAATAAATTGGCTTTGAATACAAGACGAGACAAGACGAAAACGATATCACCTGGGCAAAATTCAAGGGTCGAAAGAGATAGTTCGTTTGCACGTAGGACGGCTTTTCTCGGACAGGGTGGATGAAAGAGGAGTGCTATATCCAGTGCAGTCCAGAACCGACCGGTAGTGTGCTGCATTTCCGGTAAAATCCTGTGCCAAGATAATAAACCAACCGCGTCTAACGTGCTCACATCCTTCCTTCACTCTTTCCTGCCATGCATTCTTCTCTTGGTTATATTTTTTACCATTATTCCCAGGTATTACAAACTGACAGGGGCATGGCTGGGAAATATCCAGGAAGGGGGAGGGGGACCTGCATGCATCCATCCCATTGTCCATTGTGATAAGAAATTCCTCCTATATTTCTATGTTTAAAGTCTCTCTTTCAGCCCGCCTATTACAAACCTACGATTTATGTAATCATTTTCTACATTTTCTCGATATGAATGTCTTTCTCATATTGCTTCGTCGTCTTCCCCTCATTGATGGCCATATGAAAGGCAAAATAAAAGATTTAAAAGGGACATATAGAACTTAAGAGGTGAAACTGTGAAATCATAACTTAACTTCTTGTATTCATATATATATATATATATATATATATATATATATAAAGGACTGAATTCATTTGTCTAACACAAACAAAACATATGATCATGGAATTTCCCATATACAAATTATCCATAGAACTGTGGTAATGGGAGGGTACTTTTTCACAAACTATTGTCCTGTAACTGTATCGATTGACGTGGGAAATTTATACATCAGAGTGGATTTGAAAATACGCGTACACGTAAATACATACTGAACATAAAAACAGAGTGACTAATACTTTATGTACTACATTTTGCGGTAGTGGAATAAGAAAAACAGGACCAAACACTGTTTAAACACCACTTGTGTGGCAGGTCACATTTTAATTTGAATTGAAATTAATTCACACCATTCACAGAAATTTCCTTTAGATATGTCCAGCTCTTAATATCCTTATCATCCCTATCTCTTTCTCTCGCTCATGCTATCTTTATTTCCCTGTATACCTTACCCTTCTCTCTCCTCTCTCCTCCTTTTCCCTTTTCTTCCCGTCCTCTCTCTCTCCTTCTTCCTCGTCCTATTTCCATTCATTCCAGAAATAAAAGGTAAATTTGAGTTCTGATCATGCGATTTTATCATGAAAGAAAATATCGGGAAGCTACTAGGACTAGTGTATGTAACAAAAAAACTGGTGAATAGTGTGCATTTCTGGCATCACCGAAGTGATAAGAAATGGACTCAATTGACAAGTTGACTCACATACATGTGACATGAAAGTTTTGTCCAAAGTACATTTCAGTTAGGCCTTATTTCTCGTCATTTACCAAATACGATGGGGCATAGCTCTTATGATATTCTTCCAAATCTTAATAAGAAAGTTCACAAATTGTATTTCACCTTTACCAGAACTCGACCTTCTCTTTAATTTCTTTCCCTTTTGTGACAAGATAGATTAGATCATTATCACAAACAACGCTATCATGCAATATTAGAAATACCATTAGATAAATAATAATAATAATATAATACTTATTTTGGCAATAATTCAATTTTTATTAATGTATATGCATACAGAAATGGAATGCAAACGGACAATAACGTATTTAATATAATTGTACCAAAAATGCTAGGAACACATGGTATCAAACAACTCACTCTTTTTCTTAATTGATTTCCCGATCGATTTCACAATCACTAAGAAAAAATGATATACAACTTGTAAAAATACAGGGACGGACTTGTTGTCAATGTCATATAGGCCTAATAATTACATATATCTCAAATTTATTAAAACTGAATCTAGTATAATTTCTTCGTTAATGCACAGTTGCACACATCAAACATGTCAAAGATATTGTTTCTGTTCACTTTCTGTGATAACCATTGTTCAGAAAATGTTCACGTCTTCATAACCTAAACATTTGCTTGTTTAATTTTCTTGCATAATAGTCATATAGCACAATAATGACATTCTAAAGTCACCTACATAGCACGTGATATTATAACTAGTTACTAGTACTTTGAACCTTATTATTTATCACAAATAAACAATACCGGTAGGTTAAACTTTACTCTTTATTATGTCTTGAGCGAGGGGAATATTACAATCATTATAACCACAACAACAACAAAATATGAACAAGTATTTCTACAGCATTCTACAATTATTCAAGGCAAGTCCGTCTAAAAATCTGTTCATGTCTATCATCTTGTAAATATCTGGATAACGTTCATATCTGAACATTTCTTTTTCATTAACATTAGCTTTGAATACATGTACTACCAAATGCTGCCATTTTAAGAAAAAAGGGGACTTTCATCTTGACAATGGACATATGCACTGGAAAAAGAAAAGAAAAATAATGAAAACTTTATGCTTCATATCTCAAATATGACATATCCATCACAATTGCAGTTTTACATTTTACACTTATACATGCAAAGCAGATGATTTTTGTTCACACCCAAATATGTACACAGATGTTCCATATATTACATAACATGAATGAATTTAAAGATAAAATATTGAATACCAATACCACAATTTGAAACAAATAACATGTCATTAAATATGTTAAATATGCTATCTTTTTATATTTACATTATAAAGCAACATGTGTTAATTGGATCAAGCACAACAAGATATTTGCATTTTCAATATCAAAAGGAATGTTTTGAAGAAGTCAAACGGATGATTTTAGAATACTATGGAGGTAGAGAAGAGAGTAAATAAGTAAAGCTTTTTAAAAATTAATAATATTTTGTTAATATACATAGCACAATCCAAAGGATAAAACTGACAAGAAATACCATGTAGGAAACTTCAGAAAAGTTTGCTGATTATATATTATCGCCATATATTATATATATATATATATATACCGGTATATAATATATAATTCTATTTAAGGCTATGATGTAGACATGATTTTATATGGCACAGAGTAAAAGAACCCAAGACAGAGTGTTCATATAATTCAGACCGTAGCTTTTGTAACACCACACAAGCTTAATAGAAATGTTTTTATTGCTTAAAGGTAATGCAAAGTTTTGGGAAATTTTGAAAATTGGATTGATAGTAATTTTTTAAAATGTTGATATATTTGGATGCCCCTGTGGATGTATTATAGAACTAGAAAAATTAGCCCCTAAAACACTTCTGCTTTCGAGAAATTGAATAATCAAAAATTTACCGCTGGTAAATTTCAAATATTTCAAATAGCGCCTAAGGCCATTCCATGAAAGCTGCGACCATGAAAATCTCAGAATATGCAGTTCTGATACCAGTATATAATTTCCAAATGGGAATAGCAAATTGGTCGATTGTAGTAAAAAAACAACAACATCGTTTTGAAGCTAAAGAAATATCAGTCTTGAGAGGGCACTATACAGCATAAAGAGTTTTTTTATTTACAATTTTACCTCTTTAGACTCGATTTCAACCGCGACAACTGTAAAATCGCATATGCTTCTAATATGTTCATTTGAACCAAATTTATGACCTCATACCAAAACTTTGTAATACCTTTAATCATTACTACATACATTAATTAGCATTGTTTTAAATTCATGCGGACAAAATCATATGGTGGGTGTTTTTCATATCCTATATCACTTAAAAGGAAGACATGCCAGACTATACTGGAACGTATTGCATAAAAACAGTTAATACTGCAGTCACATCGTTTATAATTACTACACATTACAGTGAACTCTGCTTAGGTCAAACCTGTTGGGACTGCAAAAAACAGTTTGACTCATGCAAAATTTAACTTAGGAAGTGTAAATAACATGTGTTTTGCATAGTTTGGTCAACAAGATTTAATACAACCTAGGGAAAATTTGTTTTGTGCAACTTCTATTTTTAGCAGAGTAAACTGTACATTTTTTTTTACACCATAAGCTGTGACTGTTCCTTACGGGAAGCTTTCTTTAACTCAAGCCTAATGTAAAATGAAACTTCATGTTTGTCTTAATGTTTCTTATAATAGACAAATCAAACTACTAGTACCTACCGTACTACCTTGATGTCACTTTTCATTATGGTTACACTTGTATACAACCCAATCAATTCTGGGTATTGAAAGAAGGCAAGAACAGGCCCTTGAACTTGAATCTTATACTTAAATGACTAATGCGGTGATTGAATCACAGTAAGCTTTTATACATTAAAAAATGTAGAAATATAAAGGCAGGTCCTTGATCACAACCCACCCTCCTCTGAGCATGAAACAAATTGTATGTTTGTCTCTATGTGTCAAAGTATGTTTACATGATAGGAGGGTAGCCTTGCAAGGCTTGCATCCAAGTTGAATGATTTCCCCTCCCCCCCCCCCCCTTCCTTTCAAAAAAGATGCTGCTGAATTTGGTCTTGATTTTAGAGCATGTACACTAAAAGACTGGTAAATTGCTTCTCCATTGAAGGCAATAAGAAGGGAAAGAGTATGCATGCTCCAGCCTTTCCTTTACTTTTACTTCATAAAAAAGGTGGGAGGAATAAAAATTTCCTTCAGCTACACATCTCATGAAAGAAAATGAGACCCATGCTAATTATTATCAATGGTATCCATGATCTTTGATGTATGTTGACCCCTCGACTCTCATTGCATCTGTCTTCTGGGCAGCATTCTACACATCCCCATCCAGCTCTTTTCTTAGCGCAGAAGTAGTACTTGGACAGTTGTAAAGTAGCCGCTGTGCATCCTTCCACAGAGGCACAAGATTTATCTATTCCCAATTTTCCTCGCTCCTCTTCATAAAAAAAAGCATAGAGAAAAGAATAGAAAACATTGCATGCTGCTTAAGGTTGTTTTAATTGCATTATGGTGAACTTGTAACCCTCTTCAAATCCTAAAACCTCAAAAAGATTAAATATTGTGTGGATACAGATAAGGTTTAAAGAGATAAACTCACATGATAGAAGAAGGTAATTTAAATAGAACTTTTTTTTAAAAAGTGCACTTGACACTCAATCAAAGTAATCTAAAAGAAATGTACATGTGTACCAACTGAAATTGGAATTATATTGATTGATCCAGTTCTTTTTACAGTCTAAACAATAACAAATGATGCATAATAGGCTACTTGTGAAAAAAATAAGACACAACACCTAAACTACTCTATTCTAGTGGCTTACTTGAGTAAGTAACTCGTGTAAGGCATCTGTCTTGGGTGATGGAGCAAGTCTGGATGTTGTTGGATCCAATGCAGTTATCATTGGTGTCCTCACCAGAACAGCTGTAACACTGCAGCCCTTCAGCTAGAAAGAGAGAGAGAGAGAGAGAGAGAGAGAGAGAGAGAAGACAAGGAAGGAGGGATAGATAGAGGGAAGAAGGGGAGGACATAAAACATAGATATTTTAGCTGGGAGTTTAAACAAAAAAGGACTGCAGAGTACAGGCTCGAGCAAGCATACACATTTGGCAATTCCCAAATAAAGAAAGTATTATTGCTATTTTTCCATTAAAAATCCACCCTGGCCTTTTCCTTCCTTTGTCCTTGATAATCTGATTGCCTTGGATTTGTACAGCGTCATGATTTGTTATTAAGATGTTAAAATCAAATTAATATTTTACAAAGATATCATAACACACACAAATCAAATTATTACACACACACACATACCTGTATGTCACACTGCACAGATTGCAACAGAACTCACAGACTTGGTCATAGACAGTAAATCATTCTACATTCCCAGCCCTAACTTGTAACTTTAATAGACAAGATCTATGTTAAGTTAGAGTGAACATGGTCAAGATTGCACTTCAAGACCTAACTTTAGTCCTACTCCTACTTCGAATCATGACCATGCTAGCAATTAGACATTTTGCATTTCTGGTTCTGCCTTTTTTATCTTTGATTGCATGTGACATGTGCATGAAGGACAGGGTCGAGGAAAATGACTTGACTAGCATTGAATTTGCCAATAATGGCAATATGCAAAGTCAAACTTCAAAGAAAGGCAAAGTTTAGATCTCCCCTTAACTTAGTTTAATGATTAACTTTAATTAAGTTTACCAATACCATGCCATGCTGCCTTATTGATATTACATTCTTAAGGCTCTATCTAGAATCTACAATTGTAGATCTAGACCTTGAACCTTCTATTTTTATACATTTCAGATTTATGGGATGGTTAATTGCAAGCGCGTAGCTAGGATTTCCTTTTAGGGGGGGCGGTAGTGAGCACGTGAAGCGTGCGAATCACTTACAGAGCGCGCAAAGCCCGCTCCCTAGGGGGGTGGGTGCAGAGAGGGGGGAGTTTCCCCCCTCCCTCGCGAAGCGCGGAAGCTTTGAGGTTTCATCAAACTAGAAGAGAAAGAAGACGATACATTGGACCGTTCTCGACTCTTAATCTTTGTTTGAATCAAGTTCCCCTTCCTTGGCGCGTAGCGTGGAAGTTCTGAAGTTTTATTACTAGATTATTAAAGAAAAGAAGACGATTCGTTGTACCATTCACGGCTCTTAATCCTTGTCTGAATTCAGTTCCCCCCTCCCCCTCTCCCGCGCGAAGCGTGAAAGCTTTGACGTTTCATAAATTATTAGAGAAAGAAGATGATTTGTTGTACCGTTCTCGACTCTCAATCCTTATCTGAATTCAGTTCCCCGCTCACCTTCCACGTGAAGCGCGGAAGCTTTGACGTTTCATTAATTCATTAAAGAAAGAAGACGATTCGTTGTACCGTTTTCAACTTTTAATCCTTTTTCTTCCTACGTCCTCTTCCTTTCTTCTTTTTTTTTTTTGGCCGGCGTTTTTGGAGGGGGGCGACCGCCCCCACCCCCCCCCCCCCCCCCCCCCCCCCCCCCCGGCTACGCGCCTGGTGAATTGAGGTCTTTCGTGGCTTGTCCAACATGTCCAATGTCCAGTAACATTTGTCAAATGGCTTGCGGCTATTAGTCACAATAAATGCCTAGTACTAGATCTAGAGTCTAGTACTAGTCTAGTAGTAGTAAATAGACCTACACCCTTTTATTGTCTGCACCTTCACCTGCTATCACAACACATCCCATCCCAGTATAGCTTGGAAAAGCTACTTCAGGGATTACCTCATCAAGTATCAAGTAAGTAGATCTAGTAGTTAGCTATTGGGCCTTTAGGGCGGTCGGCCGGCCGCGCCATCGGCTAGGCTCGGCCCGGTATGCTAGCGCAGGTCGCGCCGCAGACCAAATTAGTCTGCTTCATTACAAACTTACCCAGATGATGTATGCTGGCATAGGACAGTGATGCCACAAGGAGTATAAATGTTTTTAAATACATCTGGTAATTCAGGTGTTCGGTGGTAAGATTGTGTGTAAACAAACCTGTTGCCGGGTGAGTCAAATCACCCGCGGATAGACCGGGTCGATCGCGGATAGCTGTGCAAAAGTAGTGTGCATGCGAAAAATATAATTTGGCTAGTGAAAGTAAACACAAACGATTTACGCGTGGCCGATCATACTAAAATTAGCGATTAAATAAGAGAGAGAAATGGTAGGATCACAGAAAAGATTGCTCTGTTTTTAGGGGCTTTGTTATAGGAGTCAGAGGCGGTGATGTGGGGGGGGGGGGGGGGGGGGGGGGGGGGGGTGAGGGGAGCAAGGGGAGCACAGTGCCCACATGCAGATACCCCCTGAAGTGCCCTTGTTGTTTATATAACAAAAGTGTCCCCCCTTTTACTTCGATCAGATATGGTGGAAGAGAAAGAAGAAAAGAAAGGGGGAAGCTTAGGGGTCGGGGCCGAAAGGGCCTTGTCTCCCAGGCTGTTACCTCTCCCCCCCCCCAATAAAAAATAAGAAAGAAGGAAGGAAGGGAAGGAAAGGAAAAAGGAAAAGAAGAGATAAAAGGAAGGGGGAAAAAGAGGAAAAAGAAAAGAAAAGAAATGGGATATCATTTTCCCCGCAAACAAGTTGTGGATCGGCGAGCCGGGCCAAAAGGGCCCTTGCCTATCCCCCTCGTCAAAAAAAAAGAGAGTAGGAAGGGAAAGGGAAAGAGGAGAGCTAAAAGGGAACCAAAAAATAGGAAGAAGAAAAGAAAATGGTGAAAAGAAGGGAAGATCAGTTGCGATAAATCCCGCCAACAACGTGTATCGGGGGGGGGGGGGCGGAAGGCCCTTGCCTCCCCAAAGCAAACGTAACAGAGAGAGAGAAGGAAGGGATGGAAAAGGGAAAGAGGAGAGAAAAAGGAAATAGAAGAAGAAAAAAAGAGAAAGAAAAAAGGTTTTTCCCGCCAACAAGGTGTAGATCGGGGGAGGGGCCCCACTCGCGGCGATGGGGGGGGGGGGGGGGGGCAGTTTTCTCCCCCCCCAATATAATTCAAACGTGGTTTATTTCTAATTCGATACCGGTGATTTACAAATGTTGCTGAAATGACATAATTTTCCGAAATTTTTCCTCACTTTTTAGTAAATTTTCCTCTTTTTTTTGCGTTTGTTGAAAAATGACAAAGTTCCTAAATTAACAGTCAGGCAAGAAATATGCTAATTTAGAGGGCCCCTTTACCTATGATTATTGACCCTTTTCCTTTAACATAAGTCCCCTTTTCCTTCTGATTAGTACCCCGGCCCTCCCCCTGGATCCGCAAATATATTAGCAGCAGCAGCAGAAGTGATGAACAAATGAAAAAGCATAATTACGTAGGCCTTTATTTCTGGGAATATTGCAGTTTTTTCCCCTTAAATTCATAATGAATTATTTTTATATTCCACTTCTAACTTCATTTCATTTTTGGTTTCATGAGGCAATTACTGCCCAATTAGAATATTCCCACGTGTCCGGGTTTCAAGAGCAATTTATGATTATACTAATTGCCTTACATGATAGTGATTAGATGCTATTTTGCCGCTTCAAGTTGTCCGGGCGGGGGGGGGGGGGGGGGGGGGGGCTAGGCCCTGACAGGCGCATACGAAGGGGGGGGGGGGGAGGGTTGGGGGTTAAACCCCCTTTGGTATTTTTTATGTGTGTATTTTGGAGAAAAACCCCCTCCCCCTTTTGCAATTTTTGTTTTTTTTTAATTAAAAAAAAAAAAAATACCAATAGCTGACCTAAAAAAGTTGACCTTACCCCCCCCCCCCCCAACGGAGCAAAATGTCAAATTTCGAGACCCCCCAAAAAAAGTGTACTCTTACCCCCCCCCCTGCTTATTCAGCGGCTGGCTGGGTGGTTATTTTAAAAATGTTAACCCCCCCCCCCTTGAAAAAATCCTGCGTACGCGCCTTGGCCCTGAGCTATAGGCAGATTGCTCGTAACTACGACGCCGATCGAGTTGCACTCACATTTCTAATCCAAATACCGTATTCGAATGTAACGACTTCATACCTGCATATATCCCGCAGAAAACTAACCCTTTTCTGTAGGACGTGGGTCGACCATTCGGACAACTATAGACCTACTCCTTTTGGACAACACGCCCAGGAGCGGGGCCCTCCGCCCAAGCAAAAAACAGGTAAAAAGTTAAAATGGTTACGTAAATTGTACCTTTTATAAACAAAAAAGTAAAGCGGCCCCTCCCCCTAGCCAATACATGCCAACTGTTCAGATTAAAGAGGAACATTCCTCTTTTTGGGAGAAGATAATTATCATTTTAATGCAGGTGTTCCTCTTCCTGTACAAATTTGCCTGTAGTATTGAATAGGAGGGTTAGGATTGTTCCTCTTTTTTTTTAAATAGCATAATTTGTACAGATTTCTGATTTTCAAATGTTGGCATGTATGCTAGCCCCAAAAATAGTGTTACTTTCCCTCCACCCCCCCCCCCCCCCCCCGCTTATTCACCGGCTGACTGAGTCGCCACTAAATATTTTCTCACGAATTGCCCCCCCCCCCCCTCTTGCCGCCGACTTGATCCGCCCCTGGACACCCCCCCCCCCACCCTCAGATATTATAATTCAAGTAGGATTCAAAAGTCTTTTGTTTTGTTTTTAAACCAAAATTATAGTGTAACAAAGAAAATTGAGTGTAAACGTCAAAATTACAATAACCAGGAATGGCGAAAATTAACGTACTACGACATGGCTCTTCTAAAATATTACATTTATAATATCACATTTATTATTTACATCGTAATTCGGCGACCCGGGTTCGAATCCAAGTCGATGCGCTAGTGCCCTTTGGTAAGGCATTAATCCTCATTACCAGGTCCGTCGAAGAGGACCTAAAGCCGTCGGTCTTCTGGTTGCCTATACTAACAAGCATTTATGCTTTCTTAGCAGTCAGGTAAAAAAAATAAACATCATCATCATCACCATCACTGTGTAGAGATTAAAATAAATTACATTACTCATAATGCTTGTTACAATCTTTATTGACCACGGACGGATACCTCTTCGGGACAACTTCCCCAGACAACGCAGACCCCCCCCCCCCCCCCGTCCCCCTTCCATGCCCAGAGCACTGAAATGATCTGATCACTTTTTTCATTATACATTTGCCATTTGAAAAACCCTAAAATATATGAGAAATATTGAAACAATTAAAATTATCACAATTTTACTTCTAAATATATTCTTACATGATTTTTCAAAACCTGTTTTACATTTATCTTTATCTTTTACACATTTCTCAACACGACGCCACAAAGCTAGCTAAAGCTCTCTCTCAGCTATCTTTCAGTTGCGCATGCGCATTCACAACTGTCAGCCATTACCTTCGAGATTCCCTACGCGATTGCCCTTTTCTAAAGTGAAATTGTAGAAGATTGTCTCAAGAAACATGAACAGAATATTGGTAAGAAGCTCACTCATTACTTTAAAATCTATTTCCCCTCGTTTCTTTGATAAATTTGCTGTTTTGTTTGCAATATGCCACTTGCTTCCATTGATTAACAACTTCGTACTCGCTGGAGCTGGCATCAGTGAACTCGATGGATGGATATGGGCCGTCTCCGGTGGCTTGTCGCCCGCTAAGGAATAGGCCTACTGCCTGCCGGTATACCGGCCACACAGACAGATGACGCGTGACGCCCGGGTTGTTTTTCCGGATTTTTAAACAGCAATTTGAAGAAGTTTACAAGCAATATAAATAAATAAATTGCATGATATTATAAAGTACAAATAGTCCTGATGGTTAGTGCTATTTGATGAATATTTTCTGTTAAATCCGAAGGCGAAGCCGAAACTGCAAGTGCAAAGGGTAGACTGTAGATGATTTTTACTGTTTTAGATCATGATCCTTCTTTCTTTCTTTCTTTCTTGATTTGATTTTGTTTGGCAATAAGTCACAGTTAAATATTTTATGAAATATTTATTCACATATATTTATATGCATATGTACAATTACATGTCATAATTGACTATTTTTTAGGAATTTTCCCCCTCCATCCCCCTTCCCCTTGCTTATTTTATTTTGTTGAGAAAATATAATTCAATAAATTTGGAACTAGAGTTACGAGACGGCCTAGCTCATTATTATTGACATTGTATTGTTTCATTGTTTGTCATGATGAGTGTCCAAACTAACCAAAGTTGGCGGACATTTAAAATTTGCTGATCTTTTGTCCATAATGTCATAATTTATTTCACACCCAAATTCCAATAAAGTTTTGTTACTTGGGAGTCTTGGTAAATTCCATGTTCCTCTTTCGATTGGTGATATCAGATTTTCAAAATCTTACTGTTTAAAAAAAACATGGTCATGCCCATGGACACGTAGAACTTTACGCACTGAGCGCCCCCACTGGCTGACCTCTAGGCTCTTGAGCAGTTTTGACTTGAAGTAGGAGAGGTCCCACAAGCAGAGATCGCAGTGGTGTTGACCATACAAAATCGTACCAAACACATTGACATGTCATGCTTCATAATTATACAGGTGACACACTTCATACATAACTGACGCACACTAAGCATAGGTACAAACTTACAATAGAAAAATCAACAAACATTTCAGTACAACAACTACAACTTGCAAGTTTGTACCTAAAATATGACAAAAATAAGAATTTATCAAACTGATAACACGTACATGCATCTGAGATTTAAGTACATTGTTAAACGATGCTTTTAACCCTAACTTTAAGTTAATTTATAGAATGTACATGATTTTTCATACTATGAAGTATGAAGATTATCTTTGATTTATATCATATAGTATGTTTTGTTGAGAAAAAATTCTAGATATTATGGTAACTTAGTGAGTATGAATGGATACATATTCCACAAAAAATTTTTTGAGAGGTAGAATATCAACACCAATGTATGCCCAGTGACAGCTAAATGCATAAGAAGTTTAATATATTGGAGGGAGAAGGATATGTATAAGAATCTTTAAGAGTTAAAATTTGAATGCCAATATGATATCCAAAAAAAAAAAATCAACAAATTTGCATGAAATACTATATGATGAGCTGTAAGCAGCAATTGTATGGCACCCTGTATATGACTCGCAATTCGCAAAGTATGCACAAATATTTTACATACCAGTAGGAAAAGATGGCAGCAAGCCAGTTAAGACCTCAATAAGATGTTGTTGTTAGTTCTTGTACATGTACATAGACCCTAATTCTTTTTCATGAGAGAGTGGTTTTGAGTGGAATTTCAGTTAATCTACAAAACATTAGGTAATTTTTTCTGCTGCATCATGATAATCACAAAAAAAAATATTCCTAACCCACTCTACTATATCTTAATAATCTCAGATTCCCAAACTATTTTTCACTTGATTGCTATACAACCTCAATTACATTTACCCATGTGAAGAATTTGGTGCTTATTGCCTTACTGCTAAAAATTAGATATTAAATTGAACTTAAATATTTGAACAAATTTTAATTTGCTTCTATGTACTTTTTTTTTTTTACTGCTTACAGGCTATACGAAGTCTTGTCCCAAGGGCAGGCAAAACTTTCTCTACCTCAGCAAGGACACAAGTTGAAAATAAATTGAAAGAATCTCAATCAAAATTCCAGGTATGCTTTGAAGAAGATGCATGTGTAGTATATCATGTTATTCCAATTTTGGAAATAAAACTTTAAAACATTTTTTTTACTTCATAAATACTGCTATTTAAAAAATAAAAAAATCAGGGTGAAAATGATATGTGAATAATGTGAGGCTTTTCATTCTTTTTCTATTTATACTTGTACTGTATTAGTTTGAGAGAATATCATAGTAGGAATGTCACTGAAATGTACTGCCTTTTTAATTGTCCTCATATTTAAATTATATGATGAGAAATGGGTAAAAAGTTTCAACCAAACTTTAATGCCACCAGTACCAGTATGTACCAATTTCTGTGTGCAATGTATGTGGTTTTTAGCAAAAATTTGTCAAATTTTGTGCATTTCAATGATTTCAATACCTCATGGTATACATTAATTTATTATCTTATTTTCAAACAGTTTTTTTCTTTTCTTTTCTTTCTTCAATGTAATTGCAGGACCAGTAGACTTCCTCACTTTATCTTTAAACCAGTCAGAGGTACATGGGGTTAACGACTGAATTATTCATACCCCTTTTAAATTTTATGTATTTTGTGTTTTTCGTACCTCAAGAATGAAAGGGCCTCTGTTAATTACTTTTAGATGTAAGCCTTAATATATTTCATTCTAAGGAAAAATTAATCGGCACTAATAAATTTTATACATAAATAAACAGTACTTTAAAAAATTACAAAAACCTGGTTAGGATATGTGACATGAGCAAACGTTGGATCCCTGCCCTCAGTATCACTGGCCAACATTTCATAGTTTTACTGTAATCCTTTGTTCTATTTTTTACCAGGCGCCTGATGGCAACCCCATCCATCTGAAGAAGGGAGGGATGGACTACGCCGTCTACTCCATGACGATGGGTTTGACGGCAGTGGGCACTTTATGGAGCTGTTTCGCTCTCTTCCAGTACGCCATGCCCAAGAAATAGGAAGCAGCACTCTTCAGGATACTGCAATACCAATTGTGCACAGAATAGATGTCTATCACTTTGCTTTGAACTGCTTATCTGTGTGTGAAAATGACTGCATTGTACAGAGTATAGCAATTTGATGAAGTTTGAAACACCATTGGCTATGCACACTATTAAGCTATCATAAACAACCGTCATTTTGCAGCATATTTGTGCCATCGACAAGCATTTGGGACATCTATAACTCTAACTGTAGCATAATGAATATTCTGTTTAAACATAACACAAAATATTTCTCTTAAAAAATAAAATCACATTCTGTAATGCCTCTTTGGAAGCAATGTTATTCAAAAGATTTAGGTTGAACATTTGGGATCAATAATTCATCAAGCAGGGAATCCACTTGTCTTTTCTTGAGGTGAACATGTGTACAAAATGAATATTTCTGATGTGAAAGTTATATATTGTGTATCCACCTTGTGGACTTAAAATTAAATTAATGTGATATATACAGAATGGCCATTTTGCTTCATTATGTCTGTGTTGTGTTCAGTGGAAATGATTTTTGTACCAGGTGTGTAGGATAAATATAAATATTTTGTTCATTTTAATTCAGAGAGAAAAAAATCAGAGAAGCAGACTAGTGAAAATTGGACAAAAGTAAGAGAGTGATCACTTTGTTAAACCTATAATCACTATATGTATAGGAACTTCAAATTTGCTGAATCAATGATGTCTCTGTGATGTAGTGCTGGACAATTATTGTTTTCTTTTTTTAATATGGCTTGGAGGGGTCTTTTGTATTTAAGAGACTTGTAATAATATGTAATCCATAAAGTAGTTTGAGCAGTGTCCTAAGAAAGAAGGCATTTATGAGAAAAAACAGAAATCTAAAATATTTGTGTACACGACAAACGAGACAGTTGTCCAAGACTAACTTCACAATCCACTGTCCAAATTGCCAATTTGAGATTTTCCTGGATTCACCATTCTGTTTCTCTTGTTTTTTCTGCTTTCATGCAAATGAACTTCTCATAAGGGTTACATGTAGATTGCGTTTTAAATTCTGCTTGATTTTCATTGATATAATGGACTTCTTGATATTGTCTAAACTTCTAAAGACTCTTAACTTCCAAACTTATCATTTTAAAATATAGTCTTGGATGCAAATCAATTAAAAAGACAATGGATTCACATGGATTTACTGACTACTTTAATAGTCATGGGCTTATATTGAAAGAGGCTCTGAAGAATTCTTTCTTTATAATTCAATGTTTAAAAAAAAAAATCTTTAGATTTTGTGTTTTCATCTGGTGACTTTGCTGGTTATGTATTTGAGAAAAGTGTGTGGTGAATGTTCATAATAATGATTGAAAGAGAGTACAACATCTGTTTCTTGGTTGATTAAACAATATATAAAGACAAATCTAAAATAGACTTGTTGTCAAGTATGATATAGAGTGGGAGATGAGAGCAATATGTACATGTCTCATATCACCAGAATAAATGAGAATTTCAATGTCAGTAAGAGAGATGAAGGGCAACTCGGTTTGTGCACAGAATTGTGTGCACATACTGGACAAAATAAATTTGGTTTGGTCAAAATACAATCATATGGTTGGCATGACATGTGTCACTGCTGAATAAAGTCTTTTTACTTCTCTAGGTGTTGAAAAAAATAATCATCGGTAATGGGTCAAATTGACACCTCATATCAAGCTAAATTTAGCAAATTGTAAAACAAAAGATTGTCAAATTTTCATGGATGACAGTTTATGATGCTCATGTTTTCTAATTTGAATATATACCTTAATTTCTAGGGTTTTTTGCCATTAACAAAAAATCAAGATGATATAATTATCCCACCCTGATATAAATTTGGTTTTGATAGAAGCAGAAACATGAGAGGAACCATTCAGTGAAAGTTTGAGCAAATTCTGATTAAAAATAAGAATGAGATGAATTTTTGGAGTTGCAATCAACTTCAAACACAATTAGACCCTCACCCCCACCCCACTTTTTGAGAGGAAGGAGAAGCTAAAGTTATTGAATATTCCCATTTTTCAAATGGTAATTTCCAACTTGGCCATTTTCTCTCTCCCCCCCCCCCCCCCCCCATTTTTATTGACATTTTATTGTCTTTCTTGTTAGTTTTGGGCCCGGTTTAGGGCGAATGATTTTTCCGTAGAGATCAGTGGTTCACATGCATTGGAACTACATTTACAACACAACAACACACGGTATCGAAATAAGACTACACAAAGACCGTCCAGCTACAGCCCACAGCAGCCAAGTTTTTCACGTTTCAGGTATATTTTTGTGTATTAATTCTTATTTCTTAAACTCTAACATAAAAAAAGATTCATGAATTGAATTTTGTCAAGAGCTTAAAAGAATAGATGACTAGATCTAGACCTATTTGGTGTATTTTGAGCTGTGGCCTGAGCTGAGCGTGTGTGAAAAACTCCTGATGCGTTAAGCCCCACATGTTCGATATTTTGTCATTTAGTCTATGTTATATTATAGTTTGGGAAATTGCATTGTTTGGGTCCAGTTTCAGTTGGTAGGATGTAAGTCATTATTGGTAGGTGCCTTTTACATACCACCAGATAAAAGGGACTATCAGTATTTGAATGAGTTGCAAACTTCCCTGTCTAGAATTAAAGGTAAACACAATGACAACATCTGGATTGGTGGTGACTTCAATCTAGGTGATATAGATCTACAATGGGACTCCCAAAACGTACGTCCTAACCCACAGGTTACGAAAGTATGTCATCAAATGATTGACTTGGCAAATGATCATAACTTACAACAAATAGTTACTGATCCTACTAGACAATCAAACATACTCGATCTTTTCTTCACCAACAATCCTACCCTAGTCGAAAAATCTACCATCTTACCTGGGATAAGTGATCATGACGGAATTCCCATGCTTGTTATAAACACATCACCAAAAATCTCCAAACCTAAACCACGTCGTGTTTACCTGTATGCCAAAGCAGACAAAACAGGAATGAAAACAGAATTGAACAATTTTGGCAAGGAATTTTGTGCTACAACATCAAACACTGAGTCTGTTGAGCAATTATGGAATGTCTTCAAGACTCGACTGAAGAACATTATGGATATTTTCATTCCCACCAAGGTTATTAGTAATCAGAACAAAACCCCTTGGATAACCCCAAAATCAAGCGAATGCATAGACGGAAACAACGGGCCTATAACAAGGCCAGAAATTCAGGAAACGATTGCGACTGGGCGAGTTTTAGAGAAATCAGAAAAGAGACCCATAAGTTGACCAGATCTGCTTACAGAAAACACATTAGAGATTTTTGCTTGCAATCAAAAAAACAGTTCTGGTCTTTCGTCAAAAGCCTCAGGAAGGACTCCTCTGGAGTACCCGCCTTAAAAGAAAAGGGTGTCCTCACATCAGAGGATAGCCAGAAGGCCGAAATACTCAATGAATACTTCCGTTCAGTCTTCACTACAGAAAATCTACAAACCCTTCCCAACATTCCTCAATCTAATATCTCTGGTATAAATAATATAATCATTCATACTCCAGGGATCGAGAAACTCTTGAAGAACTTAGATCCAAAAAAAGCTTCCGGGGTCGACGAGATTTCCCCCTGTATACTAAAAGAGTTTTCTCAAGAATTGGCACCACTTCTTTCCAAAATCTTCCAAGCATCTTTTGATACAGGCTATTTACCTGAAGACTGGCGTAAAGCCAACATCACACCTATCCATAAAAAGGGTGATAGAACTAAACCAGAAAACTACAGACCAATATCTCTCACTTCTGTATGCTGTAAACTACTAGAACATGTTGTACACTCTCATATAATGAACCATCTTGAGTCGTACAACATACTCAGTAAATACCAACATGGATTTAGGAAAGGTCATTCCTGTGAATCACAGCTAATCCAAACCATGCACGACCTTACCCTTTCTCTCGACAAACGGACCCAGACTGACATGATCGTTACTGACTTTTCTAAAGCGTTCGACACTGTGCCCCATCATCGTCTCATCCTTAAACTTAATCAGTACGGTATCAATGGGAAAACCAACAGGTGGATCTCATCCTTCTTACAAGACAGGCACCAACGGGTAGTATTGGGGGAGAACATTCACAGTGGATTAGGGTTAAGTCGGGCGTTCCTCAAGGGACAGTGCTCGGACCTTTACTCTTTCTAATCTACGTTAACGACATACCTGACGAGTTATCCTCGACCGTACGACTATACGCAGACGACTGTATCTTATACTCTGGCATAAAAACTCAACTTGACGCTACCAGACTACAGGACGACCTTGACAGACTTTCTGCATGGGTGGATAAGTGGCAAATGCAACTCAACCCCCAAAAATGTCATGTTCTTAGATTTAACGCTTCTAGATCCCCTGTAACAACCAAGTACACCATCGGAGGTACTGTATTACAGGAAACCCCCTCTCACTCGTACCTAGGGGTAGAGATCTCCAATGATCTAAAGTGGGATAAACACATTTCTAACATAACATCATCTGCAAATAAGGTCAATGGATTCATCCGTAGAAACCTTATATCATGTACTAAACAAACTAAATCCTTAGCTTACACAACCCTAGTCCGTCCAATTGTAGAATATAGTTCTAGTGTCTGGGACCCATATACCAAAGAACATACACAGGAAATTGGCAAGGTCCAAAGAAGGGCAGCCAGAATGGTATGCAATGACTACAGGCAAACTACCAGCGCGACAAAACTAATGGTAGGGTTAGGATGGGACTTGCTTTCTATTCGAAGGAAAGTTTCGAGGGTCTGTATATTGCACAAAGCCTTGGGGGGGCACTTGGCCCTGCCGGTGTCGGACTACCTGCGTCCAGCTACCAGACGTACCTCAGGAAACTCCTTCATCCAATACTCCACCCGCACCAATTGTTTTAAACACTCCTACATTCCACGTACCATCAAGGACTGGAACTCACTACCCTCCGACATCCAAAGGACCACGAACATTGACACCTTCAAACTCCAAGCAACCAACTTTTTCCGCAACCAAGACCCAAGCAATAAGAACTAAACAAGCACAGTGCGCACCCCCTCATTCCTCCTCGCTTGGTTCCTTACGGAACGTTGAGGAGTACCCCCGAAGAAGAAGAAGAATGAAAGAATCCAGCAGTCAGCACAGCCCCAGGTACAGCTAGGTGCATGATACTAGACCAAAAGTCTATTTCGTTCGTTAGCCTCTTATTTGGGTAGGGTTGGCTCTTCTAAGTAGAGACAGAAGCGGGCCATAGGGTCTGCTGTCAGAAGTTAGTGGCATGGCACGATAATAATGCCACCAAAACGGCAAAAGTGCCACCAAACTTTGGACTTCTAGATCTATAAAAATGTCATTTTAATTTAGCGGATTCAGATCCGATGCTTTTATTCTTGAATATTAGGCCTAGGCTAATATACATCGGTTCCAGAGACGCAAAGTTCAAAGATCAGCAATGCGTGACATTTTCATTTTTCGGTATAACACGTATAAGGTATAGCGTTTTTTCAAAATCTAGCGCGCGCGCCGTGCGTGAGAGCATTTCCAGACCCTCGAAATACGTGACACTTGGTAGCTCTGCGGTTCCACTTACCAGATTTACTGTATGATGCGTAATGCATTTAAGGGTCTTTTTTCCAGATTTTCTTCGTCGAAATTGAACTCTGTGTTGAAATTCTTGCAGCCGTATTTTAAAATGTTATTATCAATAGACTACGTCGTCTTCCTTCATGCGCAGTAACAGTTTAAAATACGGCTGTAAGAAATTTTCGGTCTATGTGCTTACGGGTGTAATAAGAGGGAGGGGTAATTTAAATCAAACCAAATATCAGTGGACCTGCAAGGCCACCTCAAAGTTGGAGGATTTCAAAATACCAACCCAGGTCAAGTATTGCTGCAAGATTTTATTAAGATAATAAGTTCTAATAAACCTGTTTTAAAAGGATTCAATGTGCTTTCATGTTCAGGTGTGTGAAATTAAGTATTGAAGGTATTGGGGAACAGTTTGATAATGATAATGTACAAACAGCCATTGCTATTGTGTGGTTTTGTTTTTAATTGTTTAATTCACATTTTGATACAGGAGATTTATTTCATATCAGACTTTGAAATTGTACCCCACAAAATTCCAACTGATTTTGTTTAGAAATGATTATTCCCTCAAAATATCTATTAAAAGACTATCAAAGTGGAAACAGCCATATATTTTTTTTTTTTTGCATAAATATGTATTTGCACTTCCATAGAATCAAGATGCCATCTGCTAGTGAGATTGGAATTGATGACATTGAAGACATCATATCAGCTGGGGATGTCACACCGAAGGAACGCTATGCTAACAAACAAGATGTGATGCCCAAAGTTTTAAATCGGAAGAAGGACAGAAGAAAAAACGGGGAAGACATTAAAGCAGACAGGTATTGCAGGGCTTTACATCAACTCTTTTTATAGGGGGTCTGGATTCGAGTTTTTAATTTCTTTATATATCAGCCCTATGTACACTTTTAAAGATTTTGGGAGGCCAGACTGCTGTGTTTACATGACCTAATATTTTTGGCCTAGAAAAGGGATGTATTTTTTGCCTAGAAAAGGGATGTATTTTTTATATGAAATATCTACAGATATATCTTTTGTACACCTGCTTACCATGTGCTTTTACATTTTCAATATTGGAAACTCTTCTTACCCTTTAAAGTTTTCCAAGTTAATTTATTATCATGCAGTACTTATACACTATATAGTATTTAAAGTATTTAATGACTACTTCAATGATTCTTTGGTTTTGACTGGTTTTAGATTTTTACTGTATATTGAAGTATATATTTTCATGTTATCAAATTTATTCTTTCAAGTTTATTATGGTGCTTTTATGTCAACATGTTGTAGCTTACAATGGAATATAAACTCACATTTAAAATATGTTGTTTGTTTGTTTGCAGCATTATCCCAGGGACTCAGAAAGTCTTTGTGAAGACATGGGGATGCTCTCATAATAATTCTGATGGAGAGTACATGGCAGGTCAGCTAGCAAGCTATGGGTATTCTATTACTGGTAGGTTTAAGGGAGACAGCAGCTTCACCATTCCACATTTGCTTATTTATGACATAACATCTGTAACAAACAACCTGAAATGCATTTAAAACAAAACCTCTGAGATTTTGTTAAGGACTCTCTGTTTTTTAGAATGGAGCATGATTAAATTACCCTAAAATTGAATACCGGTATTGAGATTTAAGTGGCTCAGTAAGTGTGTGCCTTGGTTAACATGTGAATAAAAAGTCTACTAATATAAGCCTGAATTTTGCCAACTTAAAATCAAAGGGTTGTTTGGGTAAAAAATCTTAATTGGAGTTTAATTTTTATGAATCGTAATGACGATGGTGTCATTATTTCATAAATTTACGGACAATTCAGGCTCGAATTGGATGATGATCATGACGATAATAAGAGCAATGATAAATTGTTTGTGCATCGCTTACTGATCATGCACTCTCATCAAATAATGTCGATGATGATGTTGATAATGATGACAATAATGATGATGATAATGATGATAATGATGGATCGATGTTATTGATTCTTTACAACTTCAAGACGATTCAAGCGGGGCAGACGTCTGGCTGCTCAACAGCTGTACGGTCAAGAACCCGGCCGAGGATCACTTCAGGAATGAGATCCAGAAGGCCCAGCAGCAGGGCAAGGCACTGGTCCTAGCTGGTTGCGTACCCCAGGGCCAGCCCAAGGCCAAGTACATGCAAGGCGTCAGTGTCATCGGGGTGCAGCAGATAGACAGGGTGGTGGAAGTTGTGGAGGAGACTGTAAAAGGTAATGTATCTCGTCTCAATTTTCTCAGTAAAATTGTATTACTCCTTCCCCCCTCCCCCCCAAGAAATAATGCCAGGATCTATAGAGCAAACAGTGTGTGTGTATTAGGTTTTTACAGATGTGTATCAATCAAATATGATTATTTTACGTCTGGGGACCGACCTTTAAACGTCACCATCCGAAAGACGTGACTCAGTTTCGAACCTGCGTCCTCGGCTGAATCAGTTTGTAACTTCCACTTTAAGCTGGATTACAGGCGCACGCCACAACGCCTAGTTCGAGCAAACAGGAATGAGTTCTAAGATTTAATTAAAGAAATTATTGATTGGGTCATTTTAATTTGATTTTTTTTTAACAGAGCAAATTTAGAAACTTGAATTTGTGTTTTCCCTCTAAGGTTTACATAAGAAGGTGCTGAAACTGGGTAGTTTACTTAGCTGAATTTGATTACTGGTAGCACAGTAATCTACATGTAAAGCATTTTACATTAGATTTTCAAACTAAGTTACATGAATTGGTCAAAATCAAATATAAACCCCTGTCACCGGTAATCAGATTTACAATACCACACTTTTTTATTATTATGTTCTAGGGAATACAGTGAGATTATTTGGACAGAAGAAGCAGGGAGGAAAGAAGATTGGTGGAGCTAGTTTAGACCTGCCTAAGATTAGGAGAAACCCGCTTGTGGAAATCCTTGCAATCAATACAGGGTAAGTACTTAACACCAAGCTAACTCACAAAATGTAAATATTTCACTAATTCATGTTATTACTCCATGATACATGTGTGTTGTCTAAATTGAAGCCCTAAACTTTAGAAGTGGATGAACAGAAGATCTATGAATAGAAATGGTGAGATTGTCTCATTTTGTGTTACATATTGTACATTCACAGTATACTACAAGGTGCAAGGTGATCTTTAGTTTAATATGGTTTGTAAATGGCCGACAGTGTCTGCTCAAATGTCAAGTTATAAGAATATAACAAAAATGGGACATAATTATCAGCTGTTCATATGTTTTGTTGACTCTTAGTTATATCTTATTTGTTTATATACTCTTTGTTACCTACCAAAATGAGAGGGGAATGCTTGAAAGTCATTGTCTTTTGAAAGCCATTTGTGCTATCTTGTCATGCATGAGAGCACTAAAAGCTATTTGTATAATGTATATGTAACATACCAATTTTTAATTGATATAAATTCAAATCTTGTTTTTCTTTATTGCACCAGCTGCCTAAACCAGTGCACCTATTGCAAGACGAAACATGCACGGGGAGAACTTGGTAGTTATCCACCAGAAGAACTTGTTGCCAGAGCGAAACAGTCTTTTGATGGTAAGCTTATGAATACAGTATCTTACTTAAACTCAGTATAAGGAGAGCGCAAAGATTGAAAATGTTTTTAGATAGGAATGTTGTGGCAGAATCAAATGATTTTACACATGACAACCAAGACACCATCCAGATCGTCTTGCTGAGCAGCTTCTCAGAGATATATTTCCAGTCCTTTGAAGTCCTGTGACAATACCTTTGCAGTCTATTTTCTTCACAAATCGAATTCCTCACTTCAAACCTTGACCAAACAATATACCTAACCCTAAACCCAATGACCATTAACCCTCTGTCCTTGAGGAACTATATCCCATAGAAACTGTCAGGTTACTCTATTTTCTCTTTGGGGTACATTAACTCATAGGGACAGCATGCCTTCCCATTCAATACCAGGAATTCCAGTTTTTGACTTTCCTTGATTTCAGGCCCATTCACCTCTCTGTTTGAGGCTACTTTGGGCTTCATATTGTACATAACATTTGGTGGTCCAACAAGTTTGGGATTCTTTTCAGGCTCATTGGGAAAAACAATTTGTATTCCTGTTTAAAGAGAGGTTTCTACTATCAATATGTTTGCATGTTGTATTTTGCTTCTCAAAGTACTGTTTTTTCAGTACCATATATAAAGATAATTTGATTTGTGATTTCGTACCGGTAAGTAGGTGGTTTAATTGTCCTTCTCAATTGTCATCTTGCCAACAGAGGGCGTATGTGAGATTTGGCTGACCAGTGAAGACACAGGGGCATATGGTATCGATATTGGAGTGACCATTGTGGAACTCTTAGACCAGCTGGTAGAGGTCATCCCTGAGGGATGCATGATGAGAATAGGCATGACCAATCCGCCTTACATCCTTGACCATTTAGAGGTAGGTTTGACAAGCAGAAACAAGGATGGGAACAACTGCAGAATACCCACCACACATGTAATCCAAACCCTATACCTCAAACAATTGTATGGGGATCCGATCTTCTGCTGTTAAATCTGAGGATGAATGGAAAAATGTATATCTATTAACAGGATTATCTGAGTGTTATTATTTTTTATATTGTTATTATGTCTTAGTATATTTATATGTTTCTTAGATAGTGTTACGTCGCGTATTACAGTAACACCTCTTTTTCATTGATATAATCTTTCCACAGGGCATTGCCAGGATACTGCGTCACCCTAGGGTTTACTCCTTCCTTCACATTCCAATCCAATCGGGTTCAGATTCAGTTCTTATGGACATGAAGAGAGAGTACTGTACTGCTGACTTCAGGAAAATTGTAGAGTTCCTCAGAAAAGAGTGAGTTATTTTTGGCGAGAATGTGAATATTTTCATGGTAGTACCTCATCCTTATCAGCTATTTACTATTAAAATCAGAGCTAGATTAACTCATTTAAACTTTCCAGTGAATCCCTGATTTTGAAGATTATAACTAGCATTCATAGTCGGATATAGTTTAGGACCGACATCTAGTTGGCTACTCAGAAGTGCATTTAAACTTGTCGTGTATGTATTTAAAACATCTGACATTCACGATTACCAGGTATGCTGTTTTTGGATTTGGTACTGTCTATTAAAATGAGAACCTGTTTTCGTATACGATGTACATGAATAGACAAAATAAATTGGCCTTTTGACAGTCAGTACTAACAGGTATATTGTTGACAAGTAATACATCAAAATATAATGCAGAATAATATTATTTGCTGTCTTTGGTAAAATTAGTTGTCATTTATCTTACGATTGTTCAACCTTACAGGCCCATCTTTTTTTAGCACTGTTGAAATATCCATGATAAAACTAGCTGGTTAACATTTCCATATATATGCATTTCTGTGTTTTCCATTCAGAGTGCCTCGTGTTACCATAGCAACAGACATTATATGCGGATTTCCACATGAGAGTGAAAAGGTGAGGTATCTTTTCCCATATAGGCCTACAATACAATGCTAATATTTCATTGCAAGTATCCAGAATACAGGGCTATATTGCTGCTGAATTCTTCATTGAAGTCTAAAAATTAGTAGTTTTCTTTGTTAATATTTGAGATACAGTACTATCCCAGTAATTAAAAAGATATGCCAAGTTCTCTAAGCATACATCCTTTTACATGACGTTATAAGAATACAAGTTTGAATGTGTTGCTTTTCAAGACTTTGAGGAAACTCTGAGCTTGATAGAGTACTGTTCATTCCCAGTATAACATTCCTGGCAAAGCACAGTTTAACACTTTAAAAGCTATCTAGCTTTGGTCCTTTATAGATTTTTGAGTCATACAGGGTTATGTTACGATTTTATTGCTTCAAGAACCAAAGCTTTGAGAAAACTCAGAGTTTCAGAGATTAGTTCTGGTTCTCCAGTGTTTTCATCAATCAGTTTTCAATTATATTATTTTATTTTCAATTATTTTATTTTATCTGTTACAATTGTTGCTTTTCAGGACTTTGAGGAAACTCTGAGTTTGATAGAGGAGTTCAAATTCCCCAGTGTCTTCATCAATCAGTACTTCCCTCGTCCAGGTACACCAGCAGCCAAGTGGCCTCAAGTCCCAGCGCAAGAGGTAATGGGTCCCCTCTCACAATGAATCTTACAGGCACTTCTACCATATTGTTTATTGAAATTTTATTTTTATTGAAGTCTTTCAATCAACATATTTTGTTGTGTGCCTGCCGAAGAACCAGAGCACAAATTTGTTGTCAAATCTTCATAAACAGCTTCTTTTATCTAGACTTCCAAATATTTCAGTTTTGATGCTGAAGTAATAATCTATCACTGTTAATGATTTGATGATTTTAAGACCGAAATGTTTCACATAGATGTGGTAAAAGAACTGTCAAAACCTTGGTATGTGTATTTCTGTAAATATACATTTGTTATCTTTGCATCCACATGCATCCTTATGACAAGCAGACAACAATTTGCACATTATATCTATGTACACCTGAAGTTGCTGTTTTCACTAACTTTATTTTACGTACTTAAGCACATTATAATTTCAACATCTTTGCTATTGAGAATTATTCATCATATGTTATCTGGTATTCGATGTTCTCACAACAAAGAAAATTATGCAATTAACCCCACTGCACTACTTATAGCTACTTGCGCCCTCTATAAAGCAAACAATGCCTTATCGGTGCCTGTTGGACCCCAATGATCCCCTTTTTCTTATGTTAATTGAGAGCTGATTTAAAGAGACAACCTCCCATCAGTGACCTTGCAGGGAGGTCTAATGCCCCCTGGCCAAACTAGTACAGACAGACTATAACAGTTTCTTTGACCAAATGGAATATTTCTTTTTGTTCACAGAAAAAGCGTCGGACCAAAGCTCTGACGGTACTGTTCAAGAGCTACCAGACATACGATGACAAGGTGGGCGAGAGGTTTGATGTTCTTGTCACAGAGGTGTCACATGACAAGCAGTATCTAGTAGCTCATAACAAGTTTTATGACCAGGTTGGTATATTTAATCTGAGCTTTCATTCATTGCTCATCTTTTGATGCATTTTCTGTCAGTTTGAAAGTAAACAATGTTTATGCATTGTTCTTGAATGGCATATGTGTATTCAGTATTTACATGAAATAAAGATATGTGTAGACAAAATGTAATTCAATTCAATTGAGAATATTAGAGGTGATTATATTTTAAACTGCAAAAATAGAAAAATTGTGAATTGCACTTTAAAACAGTTCTCTTTTGTCATACTTTCTCTTCCTTGGGGCTATTGTCCAAACAATTTGTTTTGATAAGGATTCATATATAATTTAGTAATTTTTCATTACACTACAATAAGTAAAAGTCCAAGTTTTTGTATTTCCCAATTCAGTGCATTATTGTCCCATTTGTTATTGTACCAAGTACTTTTGACAATCAGTCAAAGATATTCAATTCAAAGTTTATTCAACACTCTTCATAAAAACATTTAAAATATACAAATACAGAATGGAGTTATCAAAAAATATTTAAAAAAAACACAAGAAAGTGATAACAAATACAATGGCAATTTATAAGAGCATTTGGTATAGGCAGAAAGGAGGGAAGTTCCTTATATAAAAGCCTACCCCTAAAAACACACATACAGGAAAACGAGAACAAAAGAACAGAACAAAAACAAAGAACATATTAAAACTTACTATCATGCACGATCAGAGTATAAAAAAAATTTGCCCATACTATTGATACTGATTATTATACTTGTTTAACAGAAATTGTTTATATTTAATTTTAAAAAGATTGAGAGTTTCGCATTTTTTAATTTCCTGAGGTATACTATTCCATATTAATGGTCCTTTAAAAAATAGTGAATTTTCATACAAGTCATTCTAATATGTGTTCCTGACTGGTGAAAAATCTTTAATTTTTTAGTTGGATTTAAACGCAGCTTTTTATGCAATAGACCCCCTTATTTTCTTTGCTTTCCTTTGCTGCAGGTGCTGGTGCCTCATAACAAGGAGTATCTGGGTAGGATATTGAAAGTAGAGATAGATTCGGTTGGAAAGCATTTCTTGATGGGTAGAGTTCTGGATGTCGGGCCTGCTCGAAGTATCCCTGTACAGAACCAACAAGCAGGATCAATACACAGAGCTTCAGCGAAGGTATGTACTATATTATTTACATTGATGTGTTTTATGTATGCAATGCAGTAGTACATAAGTTTGAGGGGGAACATTCATGCAGCTATAGTCACTCTATTCAACTATATGCTGGATGTTACACTGACATCATAAGATCAATTAAATCTCAACCAAATTTAAGGACCCATGTTTGTAGTGTATGTTTTCAGGTAGGTTCTCCTATTCAAGGCCGTCTGTACTAGTTTGGCCAGGAGGGATTAGACCACCCAGGTTGGTCACTGACAGATGGCTAAAGATCTCATCAACTCAGCTCTCAATTAACATAAGAAAAAGAGGATCATGGGGGACCATCAGCCACTGATTAGGCATTGTTTGCTATATAGAGGGCACAAGTAGCTATAAGTAGTGCAGTGGCGCTTTAAGCTAAGATTTATTTCCCTATCATAAAGTTTATTTTCTAGTATATTTCCTTCTGGAATTCTTTCTTTAACACTACATTCTTTATTATGCCTTTTGATGCAGAAGCTGTCTTCCAGAGAATCATCATCACCAATCAAAGCACCTTTGCCCTGGGTATCAATCATCATGGCTGTTCTTATTGCAGTTGCCTTCCTGGATGTGTGCAGGATAGCGTATCAGCATCTCACAAGATAGCATGCTTTATGGACACGGACATTAATCATCATGGCTGTTCTTGTTTGAACCATCTTCCTGGATGCCATGGCCATTGATATTATCAATCATCATGTTGCTATCGTCTATCTGGATATGTGCAAGATGACAACAACAACTTGTCTTCAGGTAGCAAGTGCAGTGGACAGTGATCACTGCATTTGTCTTCCTCAATGTGTGCATATCATATAGCATATAGCATATCAACATATCTCAAGATAGCAAATGCCGAGAGGCCAATGACTTAACATGAATTTTGACTTGCCCAACCAGACAAGACTGTGGTACTGGATGTGCAGGCAATGTTGAAATGGTTGGTTTCTAAGTTGTGCTGGCTCGGAACAAATGCCTGCAGAGAGGCATAATATCTGCATGCTCATGGTGTATATGGTGTGAATAGGTAACTGGTCAGAAGAGGTTCCTGGTCCGGTCTCCCACTCAGTGTTCTTTAGGGTAGGCGTATGCATGTTCCCTCCCTTTGAAAGCACCTCCCTAAGTCTGGTGTGTAAAGTCAATACGGTTCGATTTTTTGTGTATTACGAGCTGGACTTTCTTGCATGAAAGTACCCCTTTACCAGAGATGTTGGGAACATGAATGCGGTCCATCCGTTCCCGGAGTGGGGGGGGGGGGGGGGAGGGCGTGGTTCCTGGAATGCTTTATTATATAGTGCAGCTTTGCTAAAGCCACCCAGTATTTCTAAAGCTTATTGTGACTTTTCTATGATATGCCTTAAATAGAATACAACATGTTTTTATGTGGTTGAAGTCAGCACATGGACACTGCACCAATAGTTGTTTAATTGGGCATGAAGTTATGAGGAAGACGACCAGTATCAAAATAATTGGGCTGGAAAATGTGCTACAAGCCAGCTAGCAGACTGTAGAGTGCAATATAAAAGGTTCAAATCATGCTACTGACCTACACAAGGATTAGTCTCTATATTAGTCTGTTTACAGACTGTCAATAAATGGATGGACTTTGATATAATTTGTTCAAATTTCAAGATTTTGCCACCTGTGTTGCTACCACTTTAATATACCACTTAAGTCTCATAATGCTCACTCTGACTTGAACATACGTTTGAGTGGAATTTTTATTTTACAATTTGCATTATGACCCGTATGTTATATATTTAGATTGTAAATAAATCATATATTCTTTAGATTTTTGACATAGCATAATGTGTAAACACTGACCTAGTTTCATTTCATACTGTGGCTGGTCTGGTGGATTGCTGTGTGGGAAACAATAAAAGTAGTTTGCTCACTTCTTGATAACTGACTTCCTATTAATGGCAGCAAGTGAGAAGGCTGTTACCATGTGAGGGCCTTGTCTATCATAAAATTCTTGCTCATCTGCTCTTTCACTTCTGTAACAATGGTCATAACGTTCAGTATTTATTTAAAGTAAGCCCAATTGCTCACTTTATCATTTCTTTCATTTGCAATTTCATGTACTGTTTATTAAACATACATATCAGAAGGATCAATATATTTACTGGACTTTGCTGTTGCTGGGCTATGTCATTCCCCCCCCCCCCCCTTGAGCTTAATGCATAAGGAAATTGTACCCTAGACTTGTTTTAAGGCTCTCCTTGAGTATGATTCAAAGGGAATCATTAGCAGCACAGAGTATTGCCAGTAACGGTATTTTAAAACTAATTTTACAGGATATTTATATTTTGATTTTGTTTTATGAAGCCTGTATTGTTGACATTTTTGCAATGCTCATACATGTTGAACAGCTTAAGTCACAATTTGTTTATCTACTCATTCACTGGGGAATAAACACTTGGTTGATAAACTGAAGGAATACTTTGTCTTCTGTGTCATTTGTGATTTGTATCATTTAAGAAATGTTGATTCAACATAAACTGATTTTAAGCTATTAGAATATGAATTTACTTTGATGAAGTTGATACCTTGTACAAGTGGACAGTGGACTTTTTTAAACATATAACTCATGTAAGTAATTAGGAAGCTACAACAACAAAAAGAGTTTATTTTGACCACATTGCACCTATCGGTACCCTTCTTCTGTTCTTTGAGGTTGGTGTTTGCAATTGAAACATCCTATATATGAGTACCGGTATGATAATAAGGTAACTTAGGAGAATATAGTGGCACAAAAAGGTGCATCTAGAACACAAAAGACATAATAGTTGTCGGTTAATTAGAAGTCATAATTGAAGTTTTGATGATATTTTGGACTATTCAGTTAGTTTTTCTAGTTTTTTTAATACACTTTTAAACCAGTTCCATGTCCCAATGTTTTGTTTATTTTCTCTATGCCATACAATTATGATTTTCTGCATAATTGTGCATTTTCCGTTTTTAGACTCTTCTTTTCACGCCAAAACATTTTGTTAAGCTTCCTAAATCATTATCGTGTCTGTAACTCCATGCCCACAGCTTTTAGAAATGTCTCTCATTAAAAGCAATTATTCATTTAACAAAAATCCTTAAATTGTGTAAAATACGAGGAAACCTCCCTTTTATGGAATTTGCAGTTTGAAAATGCATGGTGACCTGGAGTTGAAATTTTATGAATCTTTATTTTGATGTTAGTAGTCACACATTGTTTTGTATTAGGGCATATTTCTTTAAAAAGAAAAGAATTTGTTGTTGATATTTCATCTTTATTAGAAGGAAGTTGAGCTGAAGGGATGATGAGGAGCGGGAGAGGAAGAAAGAGAGAGGAAGAAAGCAGGAGAGGGAGAGAGAGGGGAGAGAAAAAGAGAGAGAAGGAAAAAAAGGAGTGAGAGAGAGAGGGAGAGAGAGTGAGGTAGAGAAGAGAGAGGGAAAGGGGAGAGATAGAGTGGGAAAAGGGAAACCTTATTCTAGGTCAGGGCTTCTCCAAGTCCGGACCGGCTGGTAGGCTCTGCTTTTTTTGTTTAATTGTAACTCTTTTTTCCTTGGGTCACGTCAGACATAGACCCAAAACAAGCTTAATTTTCTTCAGTATTACAACTATCAGTACTGTAAATATTAGGAGTAGATTGTGTCTGAAACAAAATTGAATAATGTTTGAGATGTGTACGGCTTTTCAGCAATTAATAGTACATTGTTCTAATTCATTTTAAGTACATGTATACGAATGGTGCAAAGAATTTTGGCGCGAATATGGCATCCCATGCTTCGTACCTTCATGGCCTTCAGATCCTGACCGTCAGCGAAAATGTTTGACCCTGTTCTAAGGTATCTACACAGGCATGTCTACATGATTAGTTAAGGTACAGACCCTGTCAATCTTTATCAGAGAAAGAAACTAAAATGTTCCAGTTAAAAGTGGTTGAACTGCATCATTTGGGAATTGAAATCTATCTCACACTCGATCAAACGTTAAAACCTGACAAAATTGACAAATAAATCAACTTGACTGTGAGTGCGCTGCACAAGGGAGGGCGGATATAGCAATTAAAGAATTTGATAACAAATATATTACCAGGTGCTTGTTTTTATTGATAATATTTATAGGCCAAATCACAAATTCATATACAATTTTCGACCAACGTACCCCTCCCAAATTGTTTTACATAAATTGTTCATAAATATAGATACACACTTTGTTGTTAATTAGTCTGTTATCGACCCTTCTTCTGGTAGTGTTGCCATGATATGAAAGATTATGTTCCCCTCGCCCGCCCCCCCCCCCCACCCACCCCCCTCAAACAGTGATGACAGTAATGATAACATGAATGAATACAAAATACAAACAGAAGAGTGTCATCTTTTAAAAAAACATACAAATCCTCCAAAGACGCATTTTTAGTTTAGTTAATTACAGTAGTACGAAGAACATCATTTTATGAAGCAAGAAAAGGAACATGACATCCTCTCGTGCAGACTAACGGTAACAAACAAAACCAGGACTTCTTGAGCTTATCCCCCGGGCTGATCCCATTCATTGAAGTGTTCTTTTCAAATCATCATCGAGCTACGCTTGGGTGCACGGCCTATTCAATGACCCCTGTCACGTGACCTATGCCAACAACAATATCTACAGACGCTATGAATCATCCAACCAATGGACATACCACGACTGCGACAGTCTGAGCAGTAAAATACTAGGAAACATGGAAAACTTGCTATATGAATGAACAAAAAACGCCAAATTACCGTGGATTGAAACAACAATAATCCAGCTGTGTGGTAAGTTTTGTAAATTATGCTATTTTAACTTGTTTTTGCAGTGTGTAAACTGTGTGAATTTTCTCCGATAACAGCGGACTTGAGCGATTAACCATTGCAATGTGTGCGGTACGAGTGAGGCATACAGTAGAGCGGTTTGGCCTGTGACCACCACCAAGGCATCGATTGATTGATTGATTTTTATTCGACAAGCTTCCAACATACAACAATATACAATAATAACAGATCAAAAAAAGTCAGCTTGAACAGGATAACCCACGAAAGCTCGAGAGCTTATTTCCAGTGGGGTCCCTTACAGACATGTATAAAATTAATAAGTTAAAATAGTAATATTTACAGACAGATAAGAAAATTAAAAGAACTACTTATTAAAGATAATAATAACAACATTTAAACTGATGATAGAAATGATATTAAGTACAAGAAGAAAAAGAAGAAGGAGAAGAAGAAAAAGAGGAGAAGGAAGAAGAGGAAAATAATGATGAATTTGTAGAAATTCTATAACGTACGAAAACATAAGTATATACAACATGAAAAAGTATGAACCGACAGAAGAATAAAAATTTCAATCATATAACATGTCATTCACTTCTCTTCTCTGACTGTCAAGTATTAGGTATTCCTTTAATTTCCTCTTAAAATGATCATAGTTTCCTATTTCTTTTACACCATTGGGAAGGGAATTCCAATGTTTTATGGCATTGTAATAAAACGAATTTCCAATACTACCTACTCTTTCAGGTAAGTTAAAGTTGAATCGTCTATTTCTTGTATTATAATCATGTACGTCAGTAACAAGATCGAAGTTGGATCGAATATAATGATTCGACCTAGTATGGTATATTTTATGCACATGATGCAATACGAGTTGTTTTGATCTTTGGTCGACTTCAAGAAAACCAGCTTTAGAAAGTTCGCTGTAGCCAACATGAGTTCTTGGACCAGAACAGTTGATAAATCTCACCATTTTGTTCTGTATAATCTTCAACTTCTTTTGATCTGACTTGTTTATGTTACTATACCATGCAGGGTTAGCATAGTCAAATAAACATTGAATAAGAGCAAAACAGAGTGTACGTCTTGCTTTTAAATCCATACAACTTTGATATCTGTACAAAAATTTCAGACGAGAATTTGCTTTTTTTACAACTGATTCTACTAAAGAATCGGCATGTTCTCCATCGATTATTTTTAGTGCATAATGATAATGTATTGTAAATCTACTGTACTCCCATGACCAGGCCAAGGTTTAAGGGTTGGACACAGAAAAATCTAGTCTATTTCGTCGGGGGGTAATTTCTGCTGAGAGTGAGACTAGACATGAGTGCTTTGGATACAGAGATGATATTCACAACATAAAAGTAGACTCTACACCACATTTCCATTTATTTCACCCCAACATAAATGATGAATGACTCCAAGTGAACATTTATAAAGAGAGTGCGGTACACTGATAGTATTTTCAGTAACTTTTAATTGAATATTGATGTAATTTGAAAAGTTTTGTAAAAATGAAAAAAGTTGACCCAGCAATTAATTGGCCAATATCAAAAATTGCTCAAGTCTGTATTCTATTAATGTGTTGGACTTGAACTTTGAAGTAATGCTGATAAATATAGAGTGAATCAAATCCTAACAATAAAATTCTCTTTTGAAGTATACAGAACCTAATTCTGGTTTCCTTCCTTCAATACTGAAAACATTCTCGTCTGAGAAATGGTATTTTGTTTCGGAATAATTCATTTGTACCTCAGTGTAGTTTTTTGTGTAGCATCTCCCAATACATTGATTTTAAGTTTGGTCATGTGTCTTTTTGGGGGCTTCCATGAAGCATGAAGCACATAATTGTTATTGATTTTATTTCCTTGATTCATACACCAAGTTATGCCTGGGGCATGTGTTAAAAGATGGACTGAATACTTGCATAGAGTCAAAGGTATTATTGGTGGAAAGACTCTATCTGCATAAAAAATGAAAAAAGGACAGGGAATTAGGCAAGCGCAGATCGAGGGAAGGCCCAGCAGGCCTTGGACCCTCCACCCCCACCCCCCCCCCCCATTGCAAAAAAGAGAGAGAGAGAGAAGGAAAAGAAGGAAACGGAAAAGAGGAGAGAAAGGGGAAGAAAAGAAATATAAGAAAATGAGGAGATCAGGGGAGGGGGGGGGGGCAAAAGGGCCTTGACCCCAGGCTGTTACATCCCCCTCCCCCCCCCCCCCATCAAAAAAATAAGAGAGAAGGAAGGAAAGGGAAAGAAAAATGTAACAGAGGAGATAAAGGGAAGAAAATAAAGAAGAAAAGAAGGGGGATATCAGTTGCAGTTTTTCCGGCAACAAGATGTGGATCGGGGGGGGGGGGGGGGGGGGGGGGGGGGGGCAAAAGGCCCTTGCCAAAAAGAAGACAGAGAAGGAAGGAAATGGGAAAGAGGAGAGCTAAAGAGGCCAAGCAAAGGGTGAAAAGATGGGGATATCAGTTGCGATTAATCTTGCCAACAACGCTAGGATCGGGGGGCGAAAGGCCCTTGCCGTCCCCCAAGCAAACCTTAAAGAGAGAGAAGGAAGGGAAGGGAAAGAGGAAAGAAAGAAAAAAAAAGGAAGGAAATCGGGGGGGGGGGGGGCAGTTGCCCCCTCCCTGAAATAAAATTTGATCATGGTTTATTTCTAATGATTTACAAATGTTGCTGAGATGACATATTTTTCAAAAAATATTTCTCAATATTTAGTAAGTTATACTTTTGTTTGCGTTTTTTTGAAAATGACAAATTCCTTTATTTACAGTCAGGCAAGAAATCTGCTTAATTAGAGGCCTACGTGTCAGGGCCCACAGAACGGCAGGGCTCAGGGGCCCCCCCCCCCCCCCCCCCCCCCCCCCACTTTTTTGAAAAAGTATATTAAAGAAATATAGACAGAAAGACCTACATATATTATGTAGACAACTGTGACAACAGGGCCAGATATACAGCATAATTTAACCCCATTTAACCCTACCCATTTACCCTCCAACTGATAATTTGGCCCCGCGTGTGAATATGGCATCACATTTAGTTTAGATGCAGTCTCCTCCAAATATACCTTACCAACAGTTTTTATGACAGTTAGCACAACTTATCCCCTCCTCACCAACATTTCTTGTGACTCATGCATAAACATGACGAGTTGATAAATAATCATTGCCTGAACAATTGATTTCCCACCATGCATCTTAATATATGCACAATCAGTGAAGTTCTATCAATCACTTTTCAATGTGTGAGTAGATAAAAGACTTTTCAGCTGTTCCTCTATTTAAATACTCAAAGAATGATACTGGCAAGACTTGGGCATGCTTGATTTGGTAATGGCATTCTAATGTCTTGGAGTGTACTTGTTATGGAAATCCTCTGCTACTGGATTGAAATGCATGAATCAACCATCTCTACATTAAGCAACTGTTTTCTTGCATACAATGGCTGTTGCTATTCTGAGAAAAACGAGACCATCTTTATCCAGCACGATATACACAGAAAGCACTTTTTTGCTTTAACGTTGATTTCCAACGGTTCTGGTTGAAACAAGATTATTTCTAAAATTTCAACTATCCAGAAGAATCTTAATCATGCGATACAAGATTGAGGTAAGGCTGAGTCGAGAGGGGAAATAACATTTTCTAAATCAGCAGTTAATAAATCAAAAAGGGCCAGGCCAATAACAGTCCCTTGAGCCACACCTGAGGTTACTGGAAACCAATCTGACTTAGCCCCTTCAAAAAGGACACATTGATTACGATCTGGGATAAATGAACTAATTCATTTTAATATATTTATACATACCGGTATACCAAATAGTGTAGTTTCTTAACTAACAGTGAATGATTAACCTTGTTAAAGGCCTTTGCCCTGCCTAAAAATATTGTCTCAATGCAGAGAGGTAAAGTTCAATCTAAAACTTTTGCCAATGTGTAATATAGCACCGAGGTGTGGATTGTGTGGTGCACAATCGTTTGGGAACAAATCCATGCTGGCTGTCAGGAATTATCTTATTTGTTGGGAAAATTACAGTAATCGTTTAACAATGAGTCTTTCCAACATTTTGCAAGGAATAGAGGTTAATGAAATAGGCCTATAGTGATTGAACTTTGTTCCCCATTTTTGTGCAAAGGAATAACATGAGCCAGTTTCCATTCACGCGGGACAGTCCCAGATTGTATACATGTACTCATTTTAAACAATTTAGTAAGATTAGGGACAATTGCTTTATCTGCTAATTTTAAGATGGCAGGAGAGATTCTGTCTGGGCAAGGTGGTTTTGATACCTGAAGGTGTTTAATCGCTAATGAACATCTGAGGGTTGAATCTTAATGTGTGTAAGGGGATGAAATGGTGATTTGTGATTAGAACAATTATTTATAAATTTGTTAGATCGGTAAATGGCTCTACCGATGTGGAGAAGTTGTTATAAAAGAACTTATTCAAACTGTAAGCTGTTTTGGAAGGGGTATGAAGGAGTACTATTATAATTAAAGCGACACGTGCTAGAATTTTGTTGTTTAACTTTGACAAATGACCAAAATCTTTTAGGGTTCTCAGCAGACATCATAGCTAGATTATCAATATATTTAGTGTATGAGTTTCTTGTTGTATGTTTCACTTCTCTGGAGATCTCTTGATCTCAAATGGTTCTGTCCTGTAAAGTATCCTACAAGCATCTTACAATTTGGGGATGTTCATTGGTTCATCGAATACACCAGTCATGACGAATTCATGCATATTCAACCAATGATCCATAAAAAAAATGTATTCCTGTATGTAGGAACTGTTCAAGGCATTGATCTGTGTTTTTTAAAAATACAATAGGCCATTTTCGTAATGTAACCAAATTTAATGCATAAGTGTTTGTGAAGTGCCTCAATACAAATGATTTCATTCACCTGACAGGAATAATAGTATTTCAATAGTCAGAATGCAACTGTATATATTAAGTGTTGCTAGGTAGGTCAAGACATAATGCTTGTCCCACCTGACAACAACTAATGTATGCAGTTTGGATTCTGTCTATTGAAATACTATTATTCTTATCAGGTGAATGAAATAATTTGTATTGAGGCACTTCACAAAGATGTATGCATTAAATTTGGTTACATTATGAACATGGCCTATTGTTGTCAGTAAAATACAACTTTTGGGATTAAAGAAATACAGTTTTGGAATCCAGAGGTTGGCAGGTCTGATATAGTTAGGCAGCAAATAGAATGGGCAATAACCAAAGTTCTTAAACCAGGTGTGTGTGTTCTTTTGTTTGGTTTTGAGAAATTAGGTTGTGTGTGTTGTTTGTGTTCAAGCAATTTCAAGGGATGTGAGAGTACTTGTGGAGTATGTGTAGTTTATTGCATTTCATCCTCAACTTGAATATCCACATGCAGCCAAGGGTGAATCCATGTGGAGTAGGACTTGTTAGTATACAAATAATGAATGGTTATGAGTTCAATAGTGCGAATATTTTCATGAGTTGAAAGATTAACATTCTATTCAACGAGGCGTCAGCCGAGTTGAATAGAATTAATGTTAATCTTTCAACGAATGAAAATATTCGCACCATTGAACGAATGAAAAACATTCATTATTTGTTTTATACAACATATCGAAGAAGATCTAATAGAACGTTAATCAACAAATTATGCTTTACTCCTTATATTAAAGATAAATTCAAGTTGGATTCAAGCCTTCTCGATTACATTCAGATTGCCTTCGCGTCAGATACACGCAGGGATACGCGCGCGCACGGCAGAGAGGTACGCAGTCTGCATATAACCAAAAATGCACGACCGTGCAATATACCATCTATTTAATATCATGTGACCAACAATCCTCCAATCGAATGACAGGGATCCACGTAGGTGTTGTATAATTGGTGATATAGCTTCATACACTGTAGGTGAGATTGCTAGTACAGTGATATTAATCAAGTCTAATGTTTTACTCTTAATTCACACAAAGGATCATCATTTTTTGTTAGCTTTTAATAAGCCACTCATTGTTTATTTGTAGTTAATTGCACAGTTTATTATATTTTGTAAGCATAGAATTTAGAATCCTAGCAACAAACAATGTTTTAATGCACATCTATTTTGTTATCAGTATGAAGGTAAAGAGTAAAGACAATATAGAGCTTTCTGTGATATTTCATTTCAAAACTTCAAACAACACAAAATAACTAGCCAAATTGTGTGTGGATAGATCACAGATGTGGTCCAGTCAGACTTTTGGTCACCATGGCAATCAGATGCTTGGTGTTGACATCTTCCAATAGCACCTTCTCAGGTGGGCGATCATGTTTCACTGATCGGCACATAAAAGTGATCACATGACCAAGCACCTGTAAGTTATCCTTGGGACCCAGCCATGAAATCCAAGCAATATCCGATATCAGTCGTGTTGTTTGTTCAGAAGCATATCGAGGCTTCACAAAAGATTTTATGTTATGTTTTAAAGTCCAATCTTAAGCTCTTTGTAAAGTAATACCATTATCTTTTCCTGTAAAAGTTCCTTCCTTGTATTTTTGTTTTTATTCTCAATCATCTATATTATAGGCATATCATATTCAAGTATTTTCCTCCTACACCTATAAATAAAGGACTATTGATTTATATATTTCTTAAGAAAATAATATTTAAAAAAAATTGTGAATCACATATTTCTGAGGACACACATGATTTATTATACCAGTAACTCTCTGCACTCTCTGTTGTTGATAACCTTATCTATGTTTCAATTAATGCATTTACATGTACACTGTAGGGGCTAGTTTGCTTGATCAGAGAGGAAAGGTGTTAACTTCATTGACTTCTTCATGATATTGCAAAGAAAACCAGCAAAGTGCAAATACTGAAAGCTTTGGATACACTCTGTTAAACATTTGTCCGGAGAGAAAAGAATCCATAGAAGAATAAATATTTAAACAACCCCCTTGGAATCAATCGATTTTTTATCAACAGCATTATTCAATATACAACAAGGTCAGTATGGAAACCTTTCAAATAGGGTGGAGAGGATGTAGAGTAGATAAGCTTCTAAAGTACAGTGTACATGTATCAGTAAGCAGAGAAACTAAATGTATACATGTCATAATAATGCATCCATGCCTTGTTTATGGTAATGAAGAAGGAAAAATCAATAATTGATTACATTTTCAGCTTTTGAATAGTTCAAATAGTTTTATAAAACTGATGTTATCATTCTCGGAACAAACAGTGGTTATTGATGTATTCATTTTTTTTAACAAATTCAATTTTTAATCTGCAAAGCACTGGCTATATTATTTTATACAGACTTGTAAAGTGGGCTTCTTGGTTATTGCTACTTGTTTAAAGTCAGATTTAATTAAACCATTAAAAGATTCTCATGGTATGCATGGCATTTCAATCCATGTACATGTCCTGAGAAAAGACATTCATATCTCTGATTGAACAGGATGTAGAAACTTCTTTTTTTAATCCCATTAATCCCAGACCCTGCGCATCCTGTTACCTGTATAATTCAAGTGTAATCCCCTATTAATCCCTTTACCATTAATCCCTTTACCATTAATCCCTTTACCATTATACCTTTGGTGTGAAAAAGGTTGTATTAAGGGCTGAATTGAATATACCTGTACGTCGACACAATAGATGCTCAACCTTGTCCTGGTTTTTGTTTCCTGTTACTAGCACTGAATGCAGCACAGAAGGAAAATAGATCCATGTAGATGGTCCCCTGCTTTCCCTTCCCATGATACTGCTCCGAATCTTGGTCAACAGAGCATAATGTGAATTTCTTTCACAAAGGGAGATCTACTGTTTGTGATTTGAAATGTGATTTATGATCTTTGAAGATCTACCACCAGACAATAAAATTGGTATGTAGCTGCATTCTGAAGTGCAAAGAATTGCCATGGTTACCTTAGTATAACTCTTTTCCTTTTTAACCATTTTTTCCCCTCCACTGAAAATGCCAGGATTGGCAGTATTACATAAACTGTACACGTTATTACATGTACTAGTACTTCAATTTTATTTAGAGTACATCTTACAATATTTTTTTTAATTTGTGCTTTTTTGGTAATTAATCTGTGGCTAGGGTTTTACTTTGATATATCAAAATACAACAGAATTCCTTTCATTAATAATGTATATGAGATGCCCCTTGGTGTTCCAGTTTAGGTTGTGATAACATATTTACCAACTCAGTTGTTGGAACAGAAGTCATTTTAAAGGAGACGCTGTGATGAATCCAACAAAGACTCAGTACACAAAACACCTGAAATCAATCAATATATTCCTTGAATAGACGCTGGATGGTATAATAGGTGTGTTAAGATCAGGACATCCTTGCATTGATTGGCTGTTTAGACACCATCTATTATTCATCAATGGAAGCTAGTTCAAAGAACATACTCAGTTTCAGCCTTAAGAATGCTACTCTGATCAGTCAAGCAAGCTTGATCTCAATCTCAATCAAGTGTTAAGACATTGCTTGTAAGATATTGAGTGTTGTGACAAAAATGGCTAAATATGCCCAAACATGATGCTAAACATAATAATAAAATACATATTTTTTAATTTTGTTTAATGCTCCCTTGGAGAAATTTCAATTGTTTAAACATATTTGTAGCTTACACCCATTAAATAGATCGCTTGATCAATCTGTAATTGAAAAACTAGATTGTAATCTTGAGTAGAGTTTGATGAATGTATTGATCTGCCCTTGGCTGTTCACAAGAAACACTCTCAAAGCAATCCTGCAATGTACAAAAGGGGCATTCCTGTGAGAAGCAATGCCTAATCATGCTTGTCAATCTTAAGCTATGGTCAATGATTTATTGATCTACAAGAAGTGAGAAACCAAGCCTCTTCTGCCCCACACAAGTTTGTGTCTGTTAGATAGCATCAAGTATCTTGTTTAAGAGATCGACCCCTGTGTGATTGTTTCATTGTAACAAACATTGTTATCTGTAAATATGAATCTTCAACCACCATAACTGCTGTCTGATAGTTTGGAAAAGCTCTATTTTGTGATACAACTTCAGCACCAGCTATCTACATTATGTTATGAATTTTATTGTTAATGACCAGTGCAATCATATTTCAAACTTACCCTAAACCATGCATGTAAAATGAAATTTCCTTGTGTAGAAAAGTGATAGAGATATTTGAATGGTGATGCAATGTGTATTTATATCTTCTTGGATTTGATATGAAAGTGACTTTCATTTTTTTTGTATAAGTTTCTTTCTTTCATACCATTTTTTTCTCTCTCTAGATAAGAAATCACTACTGGAAGAGGGTACAAGGATTCACCCCTACCACCACTACCACCAACACCACCACCAACACCACCACCATCACCTCCACTATCTATCACCACCATGGATGAGTCGGATGAGGATGTTTATGTGTCGCAACTCAAGGAGCTCTTTGCCAGTGTTGATACCAAGGGCGCTGGTCGCATTGGTGCAGCGGCCCTGACAGACCTGTGCTCCAAGCTCCAGCTGGAGGGGCAGGTGGATCTCCTGCTGGAGCACCTCCTTGGCAATGATACCTCAAAAACTGTGAGTGAATGGTAGAAACAATGGTAGATGAATTAAGAATGTAGTAAAAAAAGAAGACACCAGAGGGGTCAGTGACACAAAGACGGAACTCCATTTTGGCCATTTTGAGAAAAAGTGGTTTATTTGTCACTGAGCACTTGGGCCTTAAGGAGACAAGTCTATGTTTCACTAGCCATTGACTTCAATGGGGTGTTGGGTCGAGTTAAGTATTTGTCTTTCCTGGAAAGCCCAAATACTCTTTTTGGCAAAATATGGAGTTACGTCTTTGTGTCACGTAATGAACCCGGATATGTTGGATTCAGTATGGTCATTCATAGGAAACATACATGTATTTGTAGTGTAGACCTGTCTTTATTAGTGGGCAGCTGGTTTAATTATATAGGAACAGGAATCAGTAGGACTTCAAACTCTGCTTTGTTGTAAATTATCATGATTCATGTAAAGCTATAATGTTGTTACTGCAAACTCAGGTTATTTCACCCAAGTCCCATATAGATGTATAAATGAGATATGAATGAATCAAGTTGGAAGACTTTCTTCAGTAATATTTTTGCAAGGTGTTAATTAAATTAAATTGTGAGATAAAACCCAAGTACACTTAGTAAAAACAGTAAAAACCAAGGTGTTTCTTCTCTATCCCCCCCCTTCTCCCAAATAAAACAAGAATTAACAGGAACCTTTAATGAAGTCATCATTTTTCATGTTCACCTTTACTTGATACAGGTTGACTTTGACACCTTCAAAGAAGCCTTTGTGATGGTGCTATCATCTACTGTTGATCTAGATGGTGTAGAAGTAGGGACTGATATTGATCAGGAGTATAGTATGGGAAGCTTCCAAGATTCAGGTAATTTTGCTGAAGACAATTCTATCAAGACCGAAATGTTTCCCTCTTTTACCTTTGCCTCTCAGTTAGGCCATTTGATGTTCTTCATTTGAATCGCTAAGTTTGAAAAAGAATCTCTCGTATATATTCAACATTGTAATAAAAAACTCTGAGGTTGAAAAAAATGTGCTATTTTGATGCTTTAAGAAGTTCCCTTTTAACAACAATTACAAAGGAAAAGGAGGGGGGGAGATCTAATACAAAACAGAGAGTCTATTTTTAAAAGTTTTGAAACTCTTCCTTTTTTGAGTTTTCAACAAGAGAAACAATGTCTCTGAACTTTTGCCTTTCCCTTGCTCTTGACATCCTTCTATAGTGGGAAGGGGTCACCATGTTCATAGGATGTGCCAGTTTTTTAATGTATTTAAAGTTGTACAAGTCTGCCTAGTGGCAAGCAATTACATGTGCATTCACTTGATGAGAATGATTGTAGCTCAGTAATCAGAAGGTTGATTGCATACTTTAGGCATTGTAGGGTGTGGTAAACATTTTAGCTTGTCTAACGTAGCAACACTTGCATGTAATGTGTGTAATCTGCATTCTGACAATGGAAACCCATTACAAATAGAATATCAAAGGGTCTTTACTAGGCATTTAACAATTAAGGGGGCATGAATCAAATTTGAATTCCAAAAATGGCCTAGAGTGGCATATATCCTGTATTTAACCCTGTATACAAGGGATGTGGTATTGCATGATGATTGGCTATTGTAATTCAAACGCACCTTTGCAAAATGGTTGCCTTCTTGTGATCCTGGCATCTCACACAGGTGATTATCATGAATGATGTGTGCAATAGGCCATTTTCTTAATGTAACCAATTTTATTGCATAAGCCTTTGTTAATTGCCTCAATACAAGTTATTTCATTCACCTGATAAGAATAATAGAATTCCATAGTCAGAATGCAAACTGCATATATTAAGTGTTGCTAGGTAGGTCAAGCCATAATGTTTGTCCTACCTGGCAACAACTAATGTATGCAGTTTGGATTCTGTCTATTGAAATACTATTATTCTTATCAGGTGAATGAAATAATTTGTATTGAGGCACTTCACAAATTTGGTTACATTACGAAAATGGCCTATTAGCTCTGTCAATTATGAAGAATATGCTAAGTCGCTATGTATACAAATTTATGTACCGGTACATGCACATTTGCCTAGTGAGGAACTGTTGCTGTGTCACCTGTTACAAGTAATTGGATTCCATAGTCAGAATGCATATTTGCATATTGCAAATGTACATTAGATATTGCCAGGTCAGGCAAACATTTTATCCATTCAACAACACCCAATTTATGCAATTTGCATTCCAACTATTGAAATCAATTACAACAGGTGAATGCAGTAATCTGTTACTGGGCATTTGACAAACAGGTATGCCCTACTAATTTGAATGTATTAAAAATGGCCTACCTGTATTGTCAAACTCAAAAGCTAATGCATGTCAAATGTTGCATGACAAAGAAGTTACTCAAATATTTGACCAGATAAACTAAATGCCTCATTAGTGCAGCTCATGAGGGGGAACAAATTATTCAGTTGAATACAGCATTCAAGTGGAAGTTTAAGCGAAATCTTTTTTTTTTCTTCAGCTGACCTCATCGAGGAAGTATCCCCCAAATTTGTCAAGGATGGGAAGCGGTACGGCAGAAGATCCAGGATTGACTTTGATGCGACGGCAGACTTCTCTGAAGTGGACGATGACCTCACTAGTAACGAGCCCAAGTCCCTGGCCGAAGAGCTAGGTCCTATGAAATCGTACCATGAGAGTACTGAGCAGAGTGATAATAGGCGGACCAGGTCTTATGCAGATGAGAGAGTTGAGGTGAGTAGACTTTAGAGTCTCCTTTCTGTGAAAGTGATTTAGAGTTTTTGTAGAGGATAGACAGCTAGGGCATCACTAGAAATTGGGTGTGGCAGTTTTTTAAATCTAGTAATCTTTCCTTTGTTTGAAAATTCATGCAGATTTTTTTGCAAATGAGGACCGACACATCCCAATCCAGATGGCCTAGTGATGCCCCTTTATGCAAAGAAATGAATATATTGTTAATCAGGGGGACTTAGACCTCTTGCAGATAGCTTGCTCATAATGGACCAGTGGTTGATCTGGTAGGTTTAAACAAATATATATATATATATATATATATATTGTCTTGACCACATAGCAAGATGTGAAGAATATTCACATGTATTTCACACATGTGCTGATGTTGGATTTTTTTACATTATTTCAACTTGGCATGATTCTAGAATATTGCATATAGGTGAATTTCAGTCAGATAAGAAAATAATCACTTAAAACCTGTATGTAAAATATCAAATGCTTATTCTGATATTTTCACCCTTCTTTCTCATATATTTTGCAGGTTCCAGACATTGATCATGATGATCAACGACGGTCTCACTCTCACTCTCACTCACATTCAGCATCTCACAAATCTAACCAACCTGAACCATTACGAAATGAGACATTTGAAGCAGAAGGTAAGAACGCTTCTCTGAACGCTTGGTGATCAGCTTAATTAGAAACTCAGGAAATTTGGCATTTAAAACACTAGGGCCCCATTGCACAAAACTTACCATTGATGGTAACTACCATCGAAACCTTGATTTTGATTGGCTGTTGAGCCCTGTTACCATGGTGGTCGCCATTGATGGCAAAGTTTACCATCAATGGTAAGTTTTATGCAACGGGCCTAGGTTTAGCCTGGCAATTTTTTTGTCTTTAATTTTTTTCTGGTAAGACATGATGACTATATTATGTGCTGCCCTCTAGTTGCTGAGAGAGGAAACCTGTATTTGTCTACTACTTGCAATTAACCAAACCAAGACATCTTTGCACCTTCCATATTAAAGCCTGTCTGTACTAGTTTGGCCAGGGGGATTAGACCTCCCTGCAAGGTCGCTGACAGGTGGTTATCTCATCAAACCAGCTCTCAATTAACATAAGAAAAAGGGGGTCATGGGGACCAACAGGCACCGATTAGGCACTGTCTGCTATATGGAGGGCGCAAGTAGCTATAAGTAGTGCAGTGGGGCTTTAAATACAGTAGAATTTACATTGTAGAATACAAGATTGCATCATTCCTGACATATTTTGATGATCTCCTCTCTCTCTCTCCCACAGGTCAGATGAATGCATCAATGAGTGTGTATGAACAGGGCCCATCAGAAGCAGAGCAGGTACAGGCCATCTGGGAGGAGGTAGGGGTAGGCAAGGATGGGTTCCTCAACATCAATGAGCTAGCCGTTGTGTGTGAACACATTGGCATGGAAGACATGGATAGAACAGTAAGTAATTAGCTTCAGTAATTGCTGTCATTCTTTTTTTAATTCAAAATTCAATACTGGCTCTCACAATGCAGTTAATATAGATAATTTTTGAAGTAAACTGCAGTAATTTCTATGTAAGTGGAAGAATCACTATTTTTGAAACACTGATTTCAATAGTATTACAAACAAATGAACATATTAACATATAGCATTTGGGGTGGGGTGAAGAGGTAGAAGGGCACTTTATTAGCTGATTTTATTTGACCTCCAGTTATTAGATAGGGAAATATAAATGGTACAGGTATTAGAGAAGTATCTGAAATATTTTTTTTTTTAAAGGAAGGAAAATGTTGGCAAAGGTTTCATGCTTGCACTAAATAATTGTTCAGGGAGGTGAATATTGAAATATTGGAAGTAGCAAAGATTTCATTGTACTATTCAAGCTTGATTTTGGGGGATGGAAAATCAAATTGGTATCTTTATCTTTCCTCTTCAGGAGCTGGGTAATCTGTTCATCAAGCTCGACCGGGACGAAGACGGGAAGGTGGGGTTCGAGGAGTTCCTGGACGGACTCTTCCGGACGGCTGGTATCCGTACCCCTGCCCCCCTCACCCCTCTTGCCCCCACCCCCAGCCTCCTTTCCTCCCAGATAGCTAAGAGACGCATGCAGGGGATGAGTAGTGCCATGGATGAGCCCATGTACAGGACAGCCACTCCTTCCATCCTCATGGCCCAACCCATCACAAAGCTCTTCAGCGTACTAGATCCAAATAATGCAGGGTGAGAAAGAAATGCCTCTAATGTTTGTTCTCGTAAATTTGTTGAACTTGAAAATTGTTGAAACTTCTTCAGCAAATGCAATATTATTTGCCCCTCCCCCCATGACAAAAAAAAGAACGAAAGAAATTCTCATACCTTTTAATAACTTATTTTTTTCATTTATGAGGAAGGTTTGGAAATGGTGGGGTTGACTCGCAGTTAAATAATATATTCATAATGGATACTACACTGTATTCTACATGCTTCCATGAATCCAAACTTTAAAAATTTGTGATTGCTATAAATTTGAGACATCAAACTTTTAAACTAAGGTTAATAGGAAGTCTAGTGAAGACATGACGGTTTAGTTGCTTTCTACAATGACAAATATGTTGATCTATTTCATGATATCAATGTTTGTGTTGAATGTAACTTATTTTGATATGAATTGTTGTTAATCATCTTTCAGTTTCACCACCATGGATGCTGCTAGTGAGCAGCTGATGGAACAAGGCATCTATAACCCTCAGGAAGTATTGGAGGTAGGCAATCAATAGTATAGTGATATCGACTGCTAGGGGAGGCCTGGCTGTTTTATAGGCTCAAGGGAATGTGCACATCCTGCCATGGGTCATGGCAGGATGCAACATCCCTGAGAGCCAACAGCCAGGTCTCGAATAACAAAGCAGTCGATATGTCTTTTATATACAGAATCGACACAAAAATCTACCAAGAATTCTTACCCTATCATTTTCTTGAGTAAAACATCACACGGAATGTATTATGTAGGATGGCCAAAACTTATAAGAGGATTGCTGTAAAGATTGAGAAATTATCATCTATTTTGGTATTATACTTAATTTAAATTGGAGTAAATTCCAAATTAATGAGATTCAAAATGAACTTTGCATCCGTTTACTTTAGTGTGTAAATTTATGATCTTGTAATTTGGTCCATCCAAAATTTTAAACAGGCATCAGCATCATCCAGAAAATATACATTATTTACATTTTCCAGTGACAGATTTCTCAACAATACAACTTCCTAATATAGATAACAAATAGTACTCTATAAGTACTCTACTTAAAAAAAAATACTTTTTAGCTTTGGAAAACATTAAATTACTCATTAATTTTTCAGCCAATATAATGTTGTATAGTGGTTTGAGACCATTTATTAGTATCAAGTGTGGTATGAATAGGTGTTGTTATCACTGTTGCTTTTATCTGTGTTTTAATTGTTTTACAGGCCTTAGATATGTACCCTGATGCTGGTGGGCGGATTAGTCTCCAGGATCTTTCCTTGGCCCTGGATAATGTCCTGATGACAACAGGAGAGAATAACGGTGTCTACCAGGCCGCTCTTACCTCATACCAAAGTGAACTCAAACACCTCAGGTACGACATTTATATTGGAAGAAGAACATCTTTCTTTAGATATCCAGTATCCTCCTGACTTTATTTCAGTCAAAGAGAAGGAGAGAGAGAGAGAAAGAGAGAGAGAGAGGGAGGGAGGAGGAATGAGCGAGGAATGAGCGAGATTTGAGAGAGGAATGAGCAAGGATGAGAGGAATGAGCAAGAATGAGAGAGGATGAGAGAAGAAATGAGAAATGAAGGGAAAGAGAAGGCAAGAGAGGATTTATTTTGTAATTGCCTTTTGTGCTTTTCCTGTTAATTTTACTTGTGCAGTTGATGAGAAAAATAGAAAAACAAAATAAGAGAGAGAGGGGGGGGGGGGGAGGAATGTGAAATGGAGATTGACAGATACAGAGAGAGAAATTAAAGAGAGAGAGAAATAAAAGAGAGAGAGAGAGCGATAGAAAAGAGAGCAAGAGAAAAAAAAAATAAGAGTGAGAGAGAATGTAGTTTGCAATCACCTGTCCTATTGTCTCCATAGCCTTTGCAAGTGCAATTGATGGATGGGTATGAATAATCTAGTTGTTGCCCATACATGGATGCCACTTCCTATAGGTCAGTCTGGAATCAATAATTGTCACCTGCTCACCGTGGGTTTCATATTTGGAAGAAAGCTATCAATGGTGACAAATTATCAACCAGTCATTTATGAACTACCTCTTCACCTTTCCTCTTATCCTCTCTTCCCTCATACGTTATTGTTTTCCTTCATCTCTCTTCTTTTCTCTCTCTCTCTCTCTCTCTCTCTCTCTCTCTCTCTTTCTCTCGCTCTCTCTCCCCACTCTCTGTTGGGAGTTCTACACCTTGCTAAGCATTGACCAAACACTCCACCTTTCTATATTTAACCCTTCATCCTCCAGCACACAAATAGGTACCAAGTTTAATGCAGGCATGTGTCCTCTTGGCAGCGATTGACGATATGTCCATTGATAAATCTTGTTATGAATTAGAAATGATGTAAAGGTAAAAGATTCAAGGACTTTCTCTGTATTCAAAGTCCAGCAGCTGAAGAGAGAAAAGATAACACTTCATTCAGATTGCTGCTTCTGCACTGGATGGATGTTATCCTTTATTGTGATCTTATCCATTCAATTCAAATTTTTCGAGTTTATATATGCTGTAATGTACATCATTCACTTTTTGCAGTTTTTGTTCAGAAACTGATATAATCTCTCCTTATGTTTGTCTGCATCAGATCTTTAAACGATCAGCTAACAGCAGAGCGAGACAAATTCAAGATGGACATCACAGAAGCAAACCGTCAGAACTCAGCTCTAGTCCAGGAGATTGATGATCGTCATGCCAACATTGAGAAGACAAATGAAAACAAATTGCGGTAAGCTGAAGGATTGATGGGCAAGCATATCTTTTAGATCTATCAATGGGAACTACAGATTTGGTTGAGGATTTTGACATTTTGAATATTTACAATGCCCAAGTAGTGGTTTTGCAGCATAGGAATACATTTCTCAAGACTCCCAGTGTTGATTTTTTTCAGTTACAATCATATTTGTGAATTGAAAGAACTTCTAAAAAGAAATGTTAATTATGACACTGAAGTTTTTAAGGGTAGGTCAGTAGGTTTCCAAAGTTGCCAGGACAAAAATTCTGGATTGTTTCATGAATTCAGAATCCACTTGCTCTATTCAATCAATCAGGTACAATACAAAATATCTCAGGAAGGTGATTTTCAGACGAACACTTCTTTCAGTGCATGCAATCATGAGCAAAAAAAATTATTCTCATGTGCAGTTTTCTTGCGATTACCGTATAAAATACAAGCTTCCAAAATTGAGAAAATAAAATCCTCCATTTTGTGTGTGCAGGGACATGGAGAGGAAGTACCAGGATAAGATCAACTCACTCCAGGCTCAGATAGAGAAAGAACGCGAGATGATCTCATCACAAGCATCTAACCAGACCACCAAGCTTCTAGATGAGATGGATCAACTCAGGGGTGATGATGCACTATCCAAAGAGAGGTTACAGAACCTTGTAGAGGTAGGTTTGGTTCACTTGAACGTTAATTGTGATAGGTCATTGATGGAAAATGATGTTTTAAAGCAATTGATGTATGAGAGGATGTTGGGATTTTAGCGAGTCAATTCTCATTTGGTGTTGTTAGTGTGTGTCAGTTTAATCTCATTGCCAAGAAGGAATTCGGAACAAAGCTAAAATATATGAAGAACTTCATGTATTTTAAATGACCAATAGGCAATCTCCTGTGAAAATTAGAAGCAGTTTTCAGTGAGTTAACTTTCGCCGGGGTCATTTTGCTGTATATTTTTTGTTTACTATTAGTGAACAAATTTGATATTTAGGGGCAATAACAACATTCACTACTACAATCATGTAAGCAAAACTTACTGCACAACTAATTGTTAAACCTTTTCCCAGTGTTTCTTTTCTTTCCTTCACAACCTCCCAACTAAGTTTTGTTCTCTACATACCCACAAATATCCTTACCCAATTCTACTCTTTTGAATCCCTACAGGATAACAATAACCTTGAGCAAGATCTGAATGAAGCTATGGAGAAGCTCCTGGAGTATGAGAAGACCATCACCAAACAACAGAGAGATCTCGATGGCTTCTCAGAGCTGGAGGAAAGGGTAAGAAACATGCAGTCAACCTTCTCACATAGTCTGTTCAAGGTTTGGACCATTGTATCGTCTGGATCACAGCCCCCCTCCCCCTTTCCCCTTTTATTTTTTTCATATTTTATTAAAGTTATCAATCTTGGTACAAATAATAGTAAATAATTCTTCCGATTCACTTCAAAATGCTGATTATATTGAGAGGATTTCATTTCTGGGGGCTTGCTAATGGGACTTCTTGCCTATATAAATAATGTCCCAATCTCAATTTTTCATCATATCGAATTGCCTAATCCCGGCGAGACCGCCGACAGTGTTTCCCTTGTTCTCTCATATTAAATATCTGAAACACTTTATTTTACTTTCTTCTGGTAATCATTATTTAAAGAAGTGGATAGGATGTAGAGAACATGTTATGAGAAATGATGAGAATGTGCCATCTATAGATCAGGAAATTTCACCTATTGCTTTCTTGTATTTGTGTAGTTGGCGGATTTGGAGACGAGCAAAGACGGGGTTTCCAAGCAGCAGGAGGTCTTCTATGAACAAAGACGTAGGGACATGGAGGAAGAAAAACGGGTAAGTCTTATTCTGGAGTTTTCATGATTACAGGACGAGTGTTACGTTGTGATTACATAGCCCTAGACAACTAGGCAAAAAATAACAGTATTTATTTATTAATTAGCTGTGTCATTGTACTTCATAATGTACCCAAACGGAATCGTGCTGTACTGTACTAAAGCATAACTCAAATTGTTGCATGTAGTATATATTTCACGCCATGATCCTAGCTGATGAGGACATTTCTGATATCCATGTGAAGTTCTCATTTATGTGTTACTCTCTTCCAAAAATAATATCATTCTTATAAATAACAATATTCCTCACAAAAAATAAAATGGGTAAAAACATTAGCCTCACTTATAATTATGTTCCCTAAACTAATAAAACTTATTTAAATACTATGCCATTTTGTCCTTGATATTTTCTTGAGCAACCTCTTTCTTTCATTATGGGCAGAAAAGTAATGAAAAATGTGTGATTATTTGCTATCTTTGGCGTAAAGTTGTAATGTTGGTGTAAGATATAACAGGTCAATAAAAAAAATCATGGTTTGTCTTTCTTGTAGATAATGCAAGACCAAATGGACGAGATGAGCCAAGAGAATGAGCTGCTGAAGCACCAGGTATCAGAGAGGAAAGTAAGGAGGAAAGGAAGCAAGATACAGGGTGGACCTAAAAGAGGAGGCTCGGTCCTCTCAGACTACACCGATAAACCAAATGTCATGAAGAGGAACCTCAACGATTCATCAGGTGAGTGATGGAGGAAGGAAGGAATGGGTAATAAAGATGGTAGTAGAACACTGGTTTGTCTCATCATAAATGTATGATGAAATAATGATTATCATGGTTGGTCATAAAGAAAATATAAATGAAGTGATGAATCCTCGAGCCTTCGGCAACAATAAATTTATGGCTCATCAAAGTTGCATGTGAAGAAAATGATGTGGTGTTTATTTATAGTGATAGTATGCTAGTATAAGCGTTTGGATCTTTAATCATAACAATATTAATTAATCATCAAGTAAATGTTGTTTATATTGCAGATAATGATTCTGAGCTAGATGAATTGGATCCCAAGTCTAAAAGACATCTTCCCAATGTGACTGGCATCCCAGAGGAAGAAGAAGAGGATGAGCTCAGTGGAGAGATACAGAAAAGACTGGAAGAAGAGAGTAAGTCAACGTCCCAAGTAAACAACTGGGAAGAATAGACCTTCATCTTGTGCAACAGTCACAGAATGCGGGTACCATATTTGTTGTGCTCCCTAGGAGTGCATTTTATTGCAGGCAAATGTTACTTGAATAAACAAAGAAGCTTTTACTATTTGGCTTAATATGTTGCTTCTGAGCATATTTAGTTATGTGCAGTTGTTGATATTGAAAATAATTGTTAATCAAAACGATTAATTTCGCATACATGGTCTAGATCCCATCTTTATTTCAATTTTCATTTGTCAGTGCTTTTACTTTCTAATTACTTTCTAAAAAATGTCTCCCTCTTGTCTATTGTGCAGAAGCCAAGCTGGAAGCCAAAATTGAGTCTCTAAAGGAGCAACATCTTGAAGAAATAGAGGAAACCAAGGAAACTTTTGAGACAGAAATCAAAGAGATTGAAAAGCGATACAGACAGGAGATGAAGGAGATGGAGAACAGGTTTGAGCAGGAGAGTGAAAAGATGGCCAGGGAACTGCAGGAGAAAGAGAAGGAGTCTGAAGAGGACAAGCTATCACTTGCAATGCAGTTTGAAGAGGAGAAAGGACAACTGATGGAAGAGTTTGAGGGAGAGAAGGCTGCCCTTGAGCAAGCCTTTGAGATTGTGAAAGTAGAGCTTGATGAAACTCTGAAGACTGAATTTGCAGAAGAGTTGGCCGATCGGCTTGCAGAGCAGGCAGCAAGGTTTGATGAAGAGAGGTTGTCTCTAGAGGGCGCCCTCACAGATGATAAGTCCAAGTTGGTGACTGATATCCAGCAGGTGAGAGAGGACAGTGAGTCTAAGCTGAGGAATCTCAAGATGGAGCTGGAAGTACAGCACCTGGAGGAGAAAGAGGAGATCGAGTCCAAGTTTGATGAGGCGAGGGAGGATCTCCGTCTTCAGCTCCGGGAGAAACAGAACGAGCTGGATGGCATCCTGGAGTACGGAGAAGCGGGATTGAAAGGCCAGCTCAAAGAGGACTTCATTGACCTCCTCGACAAGCACAAGCAGGTGACTGAGAATGACTTCCTGGAGAAGTTGGAGGTGGAGAAGGAAGCCCTGAGCCTCCAGTTGCAGGAGGAGAGGCAGGGGATGCAGGATGAGTTTGACAGGGAGAAGTACGAACTTTCAGACGCTGTCAGTGGAGAGAAGTCTGATCTCCTGGAGCACTTCCAGAGAGAGACGGATGAGATGATTGAGAAGCATCAAAGAGAGAGGAAGGAAGCCGAAGAGAGATTCAAGGCAGATAGGAATAAGATGGCTGATAAACATCGTAAAGAGATTGATGATCTGATGAGGATGAATGAGGAAACCATAGATGACTTGAAGAAACAACATGCAAAGGTAATTGCTACTGTTTTTGCATTAAAAACAGGAGTATCCCTTGGAAATTTATTTCCAACTTCAAATTAAGAGAAACTCATTTACTGTCTGATGGTCATGACCTTATTTCTAGTTCAGGTTAATCTGTAACTTATTCAAACCGGTTCAAGACGTAGACAAGTAAAGACTTATTGGTTACTTTTTCTATATCACATATCACATAAATAGTATGCCATGAGTAAGCTAAAAGGTTAAATCTATTTCATTTAACCTGTTTTTGTATATCAAGGGGTCAGTGACACAAAGATGTAACTCCATTTTGGCCATTTTGAGAAAAAGTGCTTTATTTGAGCACTGAGCACTTGGGCCTTAATAGTTAAGTCAATGTTTCACTAGCCATTGACTTTAATGGGGTGTTGGGTGGAGTTAAGTCTTTGTGTTTCCTGGAAAGCCCACATTTTTCTGAACATTTTGATATCAAATACTCATTTTGGCATTTGTGTCACTGAACCCTCGATATTAACTTTCTTCTATTCCTGCTTTCTTTCTGTCATGCAGGCCATTGATAAACTCCAGAAGGAGAAGAGTAAACTGGAGGAGAAGCTGGAGAAGGAGAAGAGGAAGCTGGAGGAGCGTATGAAGACGGACAAGGAGCGATGGGAGGAGGAGAATGCCAAACTGAAGCGTCGTCATGAGCAGGAGCTCCAGCAGGCAGCGGAGGAGGCAGAGAGGGAGAGGGACATGATGGAGATGGCCGTCAGGGTAGAGGTCCAGAGAAATGTCGAGGTGAGATTCCACTTGCAAGGAATTCCGGAGGAGCAAGCAAAACAATTTGTTTTAAGTAGATTGTAGACTTAGACACAGTGAGGAGACAGTATGTTTGCTATTTTACTGAGAAAATTGCTAGTTACTATATATATATATATATATATACTAGGGATTGCATTCAAGTTCCCTGTTATTGGAAGGCAAAGGAAATTTTTCACCAATCTCTAGCCAAATGAAGTATACGCAACATCTTTTGGCGGATTGAAATAAGGAAAAAATAATGTTGATTTTATTTTAATGTATATCCAGTGTTTGATCTCTTGATTTGAATATATTATGGAGCGAAAAAAACACATTAATACTACAAAATTTACTTGCTGCCAACCATTCCCCTTTTTTTGGAGGAATGATCCTTATTGTTTGGCCTACATACTAGGAACCCTAAATGTATCTCTTTTAGCATCTAAAATAGATTGCAGTCCTAATTTATCCTTTAGAGATTCTTCTTTGTTTCTATGGAAGGTTGGCAGGTAAGAAGTTTCATGGTTTTCTGTTTTCTCTATCATCTGCAGAAGGAGGTAACTGAGGAGTATGAGGAGAAGATGGACCAAGTCAAGACGGAATTTGAGGATGAAAAAGCAGAGATCATAGCAGAGAATGAAATGCTGCAAAACAAACTAAGAATGGTATGACTATATCTTTCCATGCAACATACATTGATTCTTGAACTGAAGCTATTCTTTTTGATTTGGAAATCAGTTATGTATCCAATGAAATCATTTTGAAAAGAATTATTTTACTGTCTCCATTTCCCATTTTTGTTGATTTCTTTCAATTGAAAGTAAGGAAGGATACCCTAATATTTCACCCCTCCTATCTAGGTTTTTAGTAAAAAAAAATAAAAAAATTGATGTTAAAGTTAAATAAATCAGTCAGACACAGGTGACGCCAAATTAATAATAATCCAAAAATCAGTTGTTTATTCTGAACTTGACGAGTACTATATTTGACCATCATTCTACAGTTCATTCTTGCCAAGAATTTGATATAGTTTTTAAAAACCTGTAGTATCACAAGGCCTTTGACAGTCATTTAATTCTCAATTTAACTCTGTAGTTTCGATTTCAGGATGAAATATTATCTTTAAAAAAAAATGAATGAACTTCTTGAATCAATTTTTATTGACAGGCTGAAGTAGCCAAAGAGGAGGCTGTAGTAGCGATTCAAATGCAGACCCAGGAAGCAGCATTGCAGCAAGCAAGGCCAGATAGGGTAAGTAGTAGTAGTAGTGTAGTCAAACATGGATGAATCATTTAACAACCGTTTCATGTCTGGCATAATCAAATGAAGCTTTGCAAATATCGGCCAATCAAGTTCCAAATTTCAGCTGTAAGACATCAAATGTGACCCAGCAACACAAAACCACCAACAAGTTACCATGATTTCTAATATAGATAGAGGAGACTCTCAGCTTTAAAATAATATATTACTCATCATAATTGGATATTCCAAAAAACGGAAGAATATCCAGTCCCCCCAAATATTACTTTAGAGAAAAAGGCATTTAAAGACTGAAATAGCAAGAGTGAATGCACAAGAAAGAAGCCAACAGCCAGAGGGACTATGGATTTAACATGGTAGTCTATTTACTCTTACTCTATAGGTATTGTGCAAAATTACAAATGGAGGATTAGAACTCTTTTGGAATTTCTGTGACGGGATTATCAAATTTACATAGAAATTAAGCACATTATGTTCTTGATTTTGTCTAAAGTATTAATACAAAATGTTACTCTGTTTTTTAAAGTTGTATTGAGCTCTTACTGAAAATCATGCAACTTTTTAGTGGTTTTGCGGTGCCTGGACAGAGTTATGTCAGACTGACTTGCACTTTATGTAATAGCACATTGATGAGATAGAAAATATCAATGTTTTTACCAAGGATAAAAATATTTTCTTGGCAAAGTTGATAGCTCTCTGCACTTATGTTTATGTGGTATCTATTAATGAGCGCAACTTCTCACCTTTGTGTTTCCCCTATTGAGTTTGCAGTGCTGTGATTTTGTGTGATTTCTGCTGTATACATATATATCTACAGTTTGCTCCTTAAAGGAACTTGAACATTAGCCTAGTTATGATGCTGATCTATATTTATCCACTTCAGAATGAAAGATTTTTTGTTAACAAATATCTTTTAATATTCAGTGATGAGTTGACTGTTTATCTTATGTTGTTTCAATGATCAAAATTTATTCTTTCATTCTGTCCTTTTTATAAAAATTTACTGCATGATGGAGAATACCGTGCTACATTTAGTTTACCAAATATTTGGAATCACATTCAACCTCTTTCATGTAATTAGAAGAAATTTAGTGTAGAAATGATTTCTATGTAGATTATCTGCCTATATAGTTTACCCTCTTGTTATACAGTGCGTCCCAGAAAAAATGAAACCGAGAATTATCGATGTTTTATCATAACTTATTCACAATTATAATTAATAAATGACACATATTTGGAAAGCTTAGACTCTCCTCTTTCATTTGATGCAACTCATATAATGCATATTTCACGCATGAGTGATTTAAATGAATTTGAAGAGAGGAAACCAAAAATTCATTTGGCGGACGGTATCTGAATTTCAAAGAGAAAATCACATTTCTAGAAAGTTGAGTTTCTGCCCTTTCATATGACACTTCAATCAGGAAAAATGAGCTAGGAATAAAAAAGTTCTGTTTGTTTAAAGTAGTGCTTGCATTTCAACAAACGGAATTAACAAAAGACTTAACTCCGTTTCGTTAACAATCGGCCGTAGACGAAAGACTTCCTGCAATTGTGATTAAGTTATGATAAAACATTGGTAATTCTCGGTTTCGTTTTTTCTGGGACGTACTGTATAGTAATAGATTTTGGTATGTGGGATAGATCAAAATTTGTACCCCCCCCCCCCCACCCCCCAACAAAATTTTTTTTTTTTTTTTAAATGCTCAGTTATAGCTATATGCTCTTGTGTCTGCATGTCTGTTTTCTGCTCTGTAAAGTGCTGTAAATTTCTTCCTAGTATAGATGCTATTGTTAGACTTTTTTTTACCCAGTGAAATTATGAATTTTCTTAGTGAAGATGGAGGTAATCTATTTTGTAACAATGGATTGTGAAGGACTCTGATCAAAGGAGGTGTTTTCATGATGAGACTTTACTCTCCACCATGCTCTCCTGGGCCCCGTCTTATAAAGAGTTACGATTGATCCAAACCAATTGCAAGTCCTCCAATCTCTTATGTACATAGTTACGATTCATATCAATCGCAAATAAGTTGTTTAATATCAACTCTTTATAAGATGGGTTCCTGGGGGGCGTTTCACAAAACTTGTCATCAGTGACAAATGACAGTTTTTTTTATAAGCTATTGAAATCCTTGCTTATGATCGGTTATCAACAGATTTGTCAATTCGTTGTTATATGTCATTGAACAAAGGCTTTGTGAAACGCCCCCCTGGTGTTTGTTACTGTCGGCTTTGTAGTTGTAATGGTTCGAGACATGCATGAAATCAATTGGGCAATACATGTAGATTATAGCTGATGCATGATGTAGAAAAACAATATAAAACAGAATTTAGTCAGGACCCACATCTTTTGGACATACACAGCTTCAACAGGGGGCCGGGGCAGGATTTCGCATATTGAAGGCAGAGGAACGGCTTTTAGTCAACAGGGTTTGTGGAACTGAAATTGTTTTTACCGGTAATGGTAGATTATTAAACTGTGGTTTATGATACATATGCTATTGTACCTAATACCGGTACTGGGAAAATATTATTACTGTTTAAAAAAGTGAAACTAAGTACTTGTTTAATATCTTTGTATGGTTTTAAGAGAATATGAAGCAAGGTGATAATTATCTGTTTCAGAAATCATCTGCGTACTGTAACACAAAGGTGTGCAATCAATTGCAAAATGTCAGTGGCCAATCAAGGTCATCATTTCTTGCACATATTGTTCAATATTGACCAATCAGAATCATTGTTTTCAATCACCAAATTCAAATTAAATCACAAACCTTTGTTCAATGCTACAGGGCCCTGGATGGTAACTACATTTACTTTATCTTTTGATCATGTACTCGTTGCTATGATTAAGATTATTTTCTAACCTAATTCTGTTTGCTGTGATACTTAATGTATATTTTAATGTGCTTGAAAATATTTGTTTATAGTTATTTTTCACTTTTGTTGTGTGTTTCTGGTATACTACCTTCTGCAACGATGATATGTTAGCATTATTTCCATTTGCTGTGCCCTTCAACTAGTGTCTCTTTCTTTGCACTCTCTTTCACTGTCCCTATGTGTGTTTAGGCTTCTTATGATGCACTTTCTACTGAGCGTGACCTTCTCAAGCTATCTCTTTCTGGATTGGAGGAGAAGTTGCGGATGATGACAGAAAAGGCAGATTCAGCCAATCAGGAGCTACATACCTTTGAGGTTGGCTCTCTTTCTGCAAAAAATTACAATCTCTTATCCTATGCAAGCAGTCTTATTCTTTTCTGCCTGTAGTATAGCGTTTGCTTTGTTTGTACATACACTGTTATGTGCTCTAGGATTGGTAATTGACTAAAAGTGTTTGCTTTTGAACTTTTTCTAGAAGAAATATGTAAATCAACAACTTGTATATATATATATAAATATATATAAATGGTTTGTTTTATTAAAAATCATCTCGCAGCCCGAATGCTGAATTGAGTGACTTTTTACAAATTGATAAAAACATTACAATAAATACATGTAAAATCAGACATTACATGTGTTCTGCAAATTGATAATTTGGAAAAACTGTTTTTGTGATATCTGAAAATGGTTAATAATATATACATGTCCAAAGAACACACAACTTTTTCAAATGGTAGGTCTTGTAACATAATTGTGATGGTGTTTTCACAGGAAAAGTACATAGGTTGTAGAAGTGGAACAAAGTCTTTTCTCTTTATTTTCTGTGCAGACGAAGCTTATGGCTCTGGCGACGGAGAAATCTCACCTCCAGAGGGAGCTAGAAGATCTCAACAAAAAGGTAGGTTTCCCCATCATGCAAGCCTTCAAGGCTATTCCATTTCTGTATGTTTATGTTTCCTTGACCCATCCCTTAACCGTAATTTAATTAGCCCTTGATAAACATATCATAGGGTCAATGCCATGATCTCTCTCTCTGTGTTTAGCATGTTGTACTTGATACTTCCAAATGAGGTCTTATTTTGCTTTACTTAATCTTTCAAAATGGCAAGAAAAACCTATTACACTTCAAATCAATATATCTCAAGAACTTTTTTGTTTTTGAAGGATAAAACAATGAGTTGATCATGGCGAGTACATAGATTGAAATGAGACAACTATTACACGCATATGACTTAACACATCACAAGAACCTCAAATCAAGGAAGTGTGTTTCCCTTATAATGAAGATTGATGAGTAATGTGCTTCTTTCTTGCTTTCCATTTCCACCAAAGTACATCAACATGCAGATGCAGATATCCGTAGCAAGCTCCCAGCACTCGAGAGAGATGGAACGGGTCAGACAGGCGCAGGCTCTAGAGTTCCAGGGAGAACTGGGCCACCTCAGAGAGGAGCTTGCCCAGAGAGACGGCAGGCTCGCGGAGCTCAACAGACAGATGAAGGAGAAAGCAGAGGAACTCAAGAGGGCGCTGTCCATCGGTAAGGAGACAGAGGGGTCAGATGTCAGGAAGATGAGGAGAGGGAAGGAGGAGGCAGAGAAGAAGTACAGGAAGATGAGAGCCATGTTGGAGGAGTACATGAAGAAACTCAAAGATCAGGTGAGCTTTCAATATTCATTAAATGATGTTTGTAATGCTATTGTCTGATAAAAGTTGTTTGTATTCTGGGGCTTTCTCAAAAGAAAAAGCCTTTTATAGATAAAAGCTATTGCATAACAAACAATATTCATGATGATATCATTACTTGGGCTTTAGCTTTAGCTTCTGCAGGCAGTATCAGCATACACTGTACAACAAAAGGTCTTACCAGGTACATTTTACACCTAGTAAATTTGTATATAACCTCCAGATGAAAGTCAAATGTTGCACTATACTGATATGCCACCATTTTTCGTCACATTTATGAATTGTATGTATTTGCTATGGATTCCTATTTTGATTTTTTTTGGTTTTTGTTCCATATAAAGGAAATCATTTCAAAGCAATAGTGATTAATAATCAGATATTTTTTTAGTATTTCTTCCACTAAATATTTACTTTTTACACACTAATCAAGTCTCTGCATTTGAAAGTGATATTAACAAATTCATTTTTTCATCCTCCTCAGCTTGCTAAAACTACTCGTCATGACGTGCTTCTCAAGGAGTTGTATGTGGAGAACTCCAAGCTACAGAGGACCCTGCAGCTGACCGAGGAAAGACAGAAGACGGCAGAGAGAAACTGTCACAATCTGGTGGAGAAAAATCAAGCTTATCTAAACATTCTGAAGAAGGTGTGTCCTGCAGCTGTGTGAATGTGAGCGGACTGAACTTTCCAAACCTCATAGAGAGGCATACCTGAATATTCTCGAGGAAAGACAGCAGACTGCGGAACGGAACCGTCCCAAGGAGGAGTTTACGGGAACATTCTGAAAGGAGGTGTGTCCAGTAGCTGTGTGAATATGAGCTGACTGAACTTTCAAAACCTCATAGAGGCAAGACAGCAGACTGCCAAATGGAACCGTCCCAAGGAGGAGTTTACCGGAACATTCTGAAGCTGTGTGAATATGAGCTGGCCAAGCTTTCAAAACCTCATAGAGGCATACCTAAACATTCTCGAGGAAAGACAGCAGACTGCCGAATGGAACCGTTCCAAGGAGGAGTTTTGGGGAAAATTCTGAAAGGAGGTGTGTCCAGCAGCTGTGTGAATATGAGCTGACTGAACTTTTAAAACCTCATAGAGGCGTACCTGAACATTCTCAAGGAAAGACAGCAGACTGTGGAATGGAACTGTCCCAAGGAGAAGTTTACAGGAACATTCTGAAGAAGGTGTGTCCTGCAGCTGTGTGAATATGAGCTGACTAAACTGTCAAACCTCATAGAGGCGTACCTGAACATTCTCAAGGAAAGACAGCAGACTGAGGAATGGAACTGTCCCAAGAAGGAGTTTACGGGAACATTCTGAAAGAAGTTTGTTCTGCAGCGGTGTGAATGGCGATCCTGAGACGTTGGAGGAAAATCTATGGAATCATGAGTGGAACTGTCAAAAACTGATGGAGAAAAATCAAGCTTATCTAAACATTCAAAAAAACATCTGTACAACAGCTGTTTAAAAGTAAAGAAAACTCTATGCAGAGATGAGCTGCACTTCTGTCCTGCAACCATGTGAAAAATGGCTCATAGATTAGAAGAAGCAGAGATCTGCGCAGCATTAATCATAGCTGAACATTCCGAAGAACACCTGTACATCAGAGGAAGATCTATGCAGGGTTGCCTTGGAGTACCATTCCTACTTGTTCCGATTAGGACAAGGTCCAATCTAACTGCTCATATGCTCTTGATCACGAGACACCATCATAGTTAGCTGTTAGAGGAGATTGATTGCTCAGGGAATGCTTCCAGATGATGGAGAACAGCAAGACGTCACCTTCCCGTCAACTAATAGCATGGTCATGTTGAAAAATAAGGTGATCATTGCCTAATGTCTGTCTTGACATAGTTATAAGCACATATATTCTACATATTTATACAAATTATGTATTTTTTGTATGTAAACGAATAGACAAAATACTGTTCTAGATTTGTAAATTGTATAGCTGTACATATAATGTAAATGCTGCAATTTTTTATATTTATACATGTACATATATAATCTAAATATATATACTTTCTTTTGCGTATGAATGCCTTTTAGGTTTTGTGTCTTTCAGAATGATAGCAACAGTGACACGAGATTTAACCAATGCTTTCAATTTTATATAAAAACCAGGAGTAATTTTATTTTGTACTCTTATCAGATGAGATGTATTTTTAATTATCAAATGGAATAATTGATCTTCTTTTGTTTAGATTGAAATATTTCATCAAATTATGTTTTATGTCAAGGCAATATTGATTATTGCCATTTTTTAAAACAAAGTATGTTAATTAAGTCTTGAAATTTGTGTTGATCATGGATACTTTCATAAATAAGAAAATTCAAGTGACTTTCATTTGTCCTCAGTATTAGATTAGATAAACAGTAAAAAGATTATCAGGATAGATTAATTGTTTTTTTTAATTCAAATCTGTATTAACCAAGAAGTTCTTATTTATGTTTTAAATGGAATTCACCTTGAATTGTAATTTGTTTTGTGGTGCACAATTATGTTTTCAACTCGATAATATACATTCCTCTTCAGCTATACAGTGCGTCCCAGAAAAGTCAATGTTATATCATAACTTAATCATGATAATGATTGATAAATGACACGTATTTGTAAAGCTGAGATCCTCCTGTTTCATTTGATGCAACCCATATGATGCATATTTCATGCACGAGTCATTAAAATCAATTTGAAGAAAGGGTACCAAAAGGTCATTTGGCAGACAGTATCTGAATTTCAAAGAGTTCATTTTCTGCCCTTTCAATCAGGAAAAATGAAGTTTTGTTTGTTTAAAAACAAATTCGTTTAATAAAATTATGGAAATGCAAGCATTACTTTAAACAAACAGAACTTTATTTTTCCTGATTGAAAGGGCAGAAAATGAACTCTTTGAAATTCAGATACTGTCCGCCAAATGACTTTTTGGTACCCTTTCTTCAAATTGATTTTAATCACTCATGCATCAAATGAAAGAGAATCCAAGCTTTACAAATATGTGTCATTTATTAGTTATGATACATCGATAATTCTTGGACGCACTCTGTATTGCAAGTTTGCTCATAAAATGATAGAAGAAAATACGAGACATTTTGTATGATGTATTGCATTAGTTTTTATTTATATACAGAAGATTTACAATATTGAGTTGAAATTTAATAATCTTTTGAACAGAGTTGTTTCTTTGCAGAGGTTTTATAAAGCAAAGAAGCCTAAAGTAATAAACATAATATTCCCTCAGTGAAATACTGCTTAACGGCATTCGAGCGAGGATGGAATCTACTGTTTTGGTGGCCTTGAAATGGGCAGTTCCATCTACATATTGAGTAGTAGGAGACCAGCTAGGTCCTGTGACCAATCTCTGGGAACAAAGGTTTGAAAGTGTTTTTGTGTTCCCTGATGAATACCGAACAATTTTGACTTGGGATGTCCCCTTGAAAATCTCGGGCATTTTCGTGAGGGTCAAACAGGGTTCGAAATTCAAATCGTGTCGACATGCTTATCAAATATATATAGTTTGCTATACTTCCGACCTTCAATGACGTCCGATTCTCATGATTTTAGTGTCTAATATGTTTTCTGACATTACAAATTCAACTAAGCAACTTTTAAAATCAAAAGTGGTTGCCATAACATTGAAATTTCCCCCATGGATAAGAAGTTGTTAAATGTTTGTCACCAAAATGGCAGCCATTTTGAATGTTCATGGTCAAGGTAAGCACTTTTACTTTTGAAAGTTGTATAGTTGAATTTGCCATGTCAGAAAACATATTATTAGACATTAGAATCGGACGTGTTGGTGAATTTGACCATCAGTCATGCATATCTACACGATTTGAATATATATGAATTTCGACCCCCGTTTGACCCCTCACGAAAATGCTCGGGATTTTCAAGGAGGCAGCCCAAGTCGAAATTGTTCGGTATTCATCAGGGAACACAAAAAAAACTTTCAAACCTTTGTTCCCAGAGATTGGTCACGGGACCTACAGGCTGGTTTCCTACTATGAGGCACTTGAATTCATGATGCCATCTTAGTTAGTATTAAAAAATGGCAGCAATATTTTATAGAATTGCAATTGAAATCAATGCATCCCTTTTATGAAAATACAAACTTGATACATGACAACACTGAACATTTTGTTTGAATACAAAGTTAAAAGAAGCAAATGATACATGAACGAATACAAATTGTTTACTTCAGAATACTATACATAATTTGATAAAACTGTATAATCTGTCCAGCAGAGTTGAGCTTCTTTCATTCCTCTGAAAAAGAACCTCACAAATTTAGCACATGAAATATCCGAACAAGCACTTCAGCCAATATGTTAAGTTTACAGCATGATAGACGGTGAAGTTCAATACAAAATTAAGTAAGTCGTGGAATGTGTGACCATGCAGAGAAAACTGAGATACATGAGCAAGAGAACAGCGAAAGGGCTTGGTCAGAACTTGATGATGGGGGCCCCAATTTTGGGTGTCTTTTATTTTGGTGTCGTTCTGACTGACAATTGATTACATACAAAGGAGTGATTCATCCTTATGAGCAAGGTCTGACCATCCCTTAAGAATGTATACAGAGAGTCGAATGAGAAGCAAGAGAGGACAGGGTGAAGAGATGTTGTGGTAGAGCTTCAGATGAGCCGAGTGTTCTTGAGAGACTGGATGAGAGCCTTGTAAACAAATGTGTACTGTCCCACCGTCTGAACCATCAGCATTCGCTGCTGACGTAAGATACCCATCATCTTGGGAATGTTGATTTCCTGTAACAAAGAAAGCAAGACAAGAAAAATATTAGAATAGCCTAATATCCTGAAAATAAATGTCCCTATATTCCATGAGATGGGTCTAAACATGTGCAAAAAAAATGAGCCCCTACATATATGCACATTCATTTCGAGGATATTAGGCAATTCGAATATTTACTATTTTTTAACAAAAAAGCTGAACTATACCCTTGTCATTTTTGCCAAAAAGTAGGGTTTTTCGAATTTCTATTTAATTTGCCCCTATGCCCCTTTTGATGCCAGATTTGGTCATGACTGATCTCATGGCATATATGCACATTCATTTCGAGGATATTAGGCAATTCGAATATTTACTATTTTTTAACAAAAAAGCTGAACTATACCCTTGTCATTTTTGCCAAAAAGTAGGGTTTTTCGAATTTCTATTTAATTTGCCCCTATGCCCCTTTTGATGCCAGATTTGGTCATGACTGATCTCATGGCATATATGCACATTCATTTCGAGGATATTAGGCAATTCGAATATTTACTATTTTTTAACAAAAAAGCTGAACTATACCCTTGTCATTTTTGCCAAAAAGTAGGGTTTTTCGAATTTCTATTTAATTTGCCCCTATGCCCCTTTTGATGCCAGATTTGGTCATGACTGATCTCATGGCATATATGCACATTCATTTCGAGGATATTAGGCAATTCGAATATTTACTATTTTTTAACAAAAAAGCTGAACTATACCCTTGTCATTTTTGCCAAAAAGTAGGGTTTTTCGAATTTCTATTTAATTTGCCCCTATGCCCCTTTTGATGCCAGATTTGGTCATGACTGATCTCATGGCATATATGCACATTCATTTCGAGGATATTAGGCAATTCGAATATTTACTATTTTTTAACAAAAAAGCTGAACTATACCCTTGTCATTTTTGCCAAAAAGTAGGGTTTTTCGAATTTCTATTTAATTTGCCCCTATGCCCCTTTTGATGCCAGATTTGGTCATGACTGATCTCATGGCATATATGCACATTCATTTCGAGGATATTAGGCAATTCGAATATTTACTATTTTTTAACAAAAAAGCTGAACTATACCCTTGTCATTTTTGCCAAAAAGTAGGGTTTTTCGAATTTCTATTTAATTTGCCCCTATGCCCCTTTTGATGCCAGATTTGGTCATGACTGATCTCATGGCATATATGCACATTCATTTCGAGGATATTAGGCAATTCGAATATTTACATTTTTTTGACAAAAAAGCTGAACTATATACCCTTGTCATTTTTGCCAAAAAGTAGCGTTTTTCGAATTTCTATTTAATTTGCCCCTATGCCCCTTTTGATGCCAGATTTGGTCATGACTGATCTCATGGCATATATGCACATTCATTTCGAGGATATTAGGCAATTCGAATATTTACATTTTTTTCACAAAAAAGCTGAACTATACCCTTGTCATTTTTGCCAAAAAGTAGGGTTTTTCGAATTTCTATTTAATTTGCCCCTATGCCCCTTTTGGTGCCAGATTTGGTCATGACTGATCTCATGGCATATATGCACATTCATTTCGAGGTTATTAGGCAATTCGAATATTTACATTTTTTTCACAAAAAAGCTGAACTATACCCTTGCCGTTTTTGCCAAAAAGTAGGGTTTTTCGAATTTCTATTTAATTTGCCCCTATGCCCCTTTTGATGCCAGATTTGGTCATGACTGATCTCATGGCATATATGCACATTCATTTCGAGGATATTAGGCAATTCGAATATTTACATTTTTTTGACAAAAAAGCTGAACTATACCCTTGTCATTTTTGCCAAAAAGTAGGGTTTTTCGAATTTCTATTTAATTTGCCCCTATGCCCCTTTTGATGCCAGATTTGGTCATGACTGATCTCATGGCATATATGCACATTCATTTCGAGGATATTAGGCAATTCGAATATTTACTATTTTTTAACAAAAAAGCTGAACTATACCCATGTCATTTTTGCCAAAAAGTAGCGTTTTTCGAATTTCTATTTAATTTGCCCCTATGCCCCTTTTGATGCCAGATTTGGTCATGACTGATCTCATGGCATATATGCACATTCATTTCGAGGATATTAGGCAATTCGAATATTTACATTTTTTTGACAAAAAAGCTGAACTATACCCTTGTCATTTTTGCCAAAAAGTAGGGTTTTTCTAATTTCTATTTAATTTGCCCCTATGCCCCTTTTGATGCCAGATTTGGTCATGACTGATCTCATGGCATATATGCACATTCATTTCGAAGATATTAGGCAATTCGAATATTTACATTTTTTTGACAAAAAAGCTGAACTATACCCTTGTCATTTTTGCCAAAAAGTAGGGTTTTTCGAATTTCTATTTAATTTGCCCCTATGCCCCTTTTGATGCCAGATTTGGTCATGACTGATCTCATGGCATATATGCACATTCATTTCGAGGATATTAGGCAATTCGAATATTTACTATTTTTTAACAAAAAAGCTGAACTATACCCTTGTCATTTTTGCCAAAAAGTAGGGTTTTTCGAATTTCTATTTAATTTGCCCCTATGCCCCTTTTGATGCCAGATTTGGTCATGACTGATCTCATGGCATATATGCACATTCATTTCGAGGATATTAGGCAATTCGAATATTTACATTTTTTTGACAAAAAAGCTGAACTATATACCCTTGTCATTTTTGCCAAAAAGTAGCGTTTTTCGAATTTCTATTTAATTTGCCCCTATGCCCCTTTTGATGCCAGATTTGGTCATGACTGATCTCATTGCATATATGCACATTCATTTCGAGGATATTAGGCAATTCGAATATTTACATTTTTTTGACAAAAAAGCTGAACTATACCCTTGTCATTTTTGCCAAAAAGTAGGGTTTTTCGAATTTCTATTTAATTTGCCCCTATGCCCCTTTTGATGCCAGATTTGGTCATGACTGATCTCATGGCATATATGCACATTCATTTCGAGGATATTAGGCAATTCGAATATTTACATTTTTTTGACAAAAAAGCTGAACTATACCCTTGTCATTTTTGCCAAAAAGTAGCGTTTTTCGAATTTCTATTTAATTTGCCCCTATGCCCCTTTTGATGCCAGATTTGGCCATGACTGATCTCATGGCATATATGCACATTCATTTCGAGGATATTAGGCAATTCGAATATTTACTATTTTTTAACAAAAAAGCTGAACTATACCCTTGTCATTTTTGCCAAAAAGTAGGGTTTTTCGAATTTCTATTTAATTTGCCCCTATGCCCCTTTTGATGCCAGATTTGGTCATGACTGATCTCATGGCATATATGCACATTCATTTCGAGGATATTAGGCAATTCGAATATTTACATTTTTTTGACAAAAAAGCTGAACTATACCCTTGTCATTTTTGCCAAAAAGTAGCGTTTTTCGAATTTCTATTTAATTTGCCCCTATGCCCCTTTTGATGCCAGATTTGGTCATGACTGATCTCATGGCATATATGCACATTCATTTCGAGGATATTAGGCAATTCGAATATTTACATTTTTTTGACAAAAAAGCTGAACTATACCCTTGTCATTTTTGCCAAAAAGTAGCGTTTTTCGAATTTCTATTTAATTTGCCCCTATGCCCCTTTTGATGCCAGATTTGGTCATGACTGATCTCATGGCATATATGCACATTCATTTCGAGGATATTAGGCAATTCGAATATTTACATTTTTTTGACAAAAAAGCTGAACTATACCCTTGTCATTTTTGCCAAAAAGTAGGGTTTTTCGAATTTCTATTTAATTTGCCCCTATGCCCCTTTTGATGCCAGATTTGGTCATGACTGATCTCATGGCATATATGCACATTCATTTCGAGGATATTAGGCAATTCGAATATTTACTATTTTTTAACAAAAAAGCTGAACTATACCCGTGTCATTTTTGCCAAAAAGTAGCGTTTTTCGAATTTCTATTTAATTTGCCCCTATGCCCCTTTTGATGCCAGATTTGGTCATGACTGATCTCATGGCATATATGCACATTCATTTCGAGGATATTAGGCAATTCGAATATTTACATTTTTTTGACAAAAAAGCTGAACTATACCCTTGTCATTTTTGCCAAAAAGTAGGGTTTTTCTAATTTCTATTTAATTTGCCCCTATGCCCCTTTTGATGCCAGATTTGGTCATGACTGATCTCATGGCATATATGCACATTCATTTCGAAGATATTAGGCAATTCGAATATTTACATTTTTTTGACAAAAAAGCTGAACTATACCCTTGTCATTTTTGCCAAAAAGTAGGGTTTTTCTAATTTCTATTTAATTTGCCCCTATGCCCCTTTTGATGCCAGATTTGGTCATGACTGATCTCATGACATATATGCACATTCATTTCGAGGATATTAGGCAATTCGAATATTTACTATTTTTTAACAAAAAAGCTGAACTATACCCTTGTCATTTTTGCCAAAAAGTAGGGTTTTTCGAATTTCTATTTAATTTGCCCCTATGCCCCTTTTGATGCCAGATTTGGTCATGACTGATCTCATGGCATATATGCAAATTCATTTCGAGGTTATTAGGCAATTCAAATATTTACATTTTTTTCACAAAAAAGCTGAACTATACCCTTGCCGTTTTTTGCCAAAAGTAGGGTTTTTTCGAATTTCTATTTAATTTGCCCCTATGCCCCTTTTGAAGCCAGATTTGGTCATGACTGATCTCATGGCATATATGCACATTCATTTCGAGGATATTAGGCAATTCGAATATTTACATTTTTTTCACAAAAAAGCTGAACTATACCCTTGTCATTTTTGCCAAAAAGTAGGGTTTTTCGAATTTCTATTTAATTTGCCCCTATGCCCCTTTTGATGCCAGATTTGGTCATGACTGATCTCATGGCATATATGCACATCCATTTCGAGGATATTAGGCAATTCGAATATTTACAATTTTTTCACAAAAAAGCTGAACTATACCCTTGCCGTTTTTGCCAAAAAGTAGCGTTTTTCGAATTTCTATTTAATTTGCCCCTATGACCCTTTTGATGCCAGATTTGTTCATGACTGATCTCATGGCATATATGCACATTCATTTCGAGGATATAAGGCAATTCGAATATTTACATTTTTTTCACAAAAAAGCTGAACTATATATACCCTTGTCGTTTTTGCCAAAAAGTAGGGTTTTTTCGAATTTCTATTTAATTTGCCCCTATGCCCCTTTTGAAGCCAGATTGGGTCATTACTGATCTCATGGCATATATGCACATCCATTTCGAGGATATTAGGCAATTCGAATATTTACAATTTTTTCACAAAAAAGCTGAACTATACCCTTGTCGTTTTTGCCAAAAAGTAGGGTTTTTCGAATTTCTATTTAATTTGCCCCGATGCCCCTTTTGAAGCCAGATTGGGTTATGCCATGAGATCAGTAATGAACAAATCTGGCATCAAAAGGGGCATAGGGGCAAATTAAATAGAAATTCGAAAAACCTTACTTTTTGGCAAAAACGGCAAGAAGAAAAGAAAAAAAAAAAAAAAAATCGAAAAACGCCACCATTTGGCCCAAATATTTGAATAGCCTATTTATCCTCGAAATGAATGACCAGATCTGGCTATGAAAGGGGGCATAGGGGCAAATTTTATTTTTTTAAACACCACTTTTTTCGGCCAAAATGCCAAGGGTATTATGGTAGTATTAATATCCAATTCTAGTTCACATGAATAATTCAAACCCAAACATTGCCATACTATTTGGAATGTCATATTGTACAAAACCTACCTCATTGTGCTCCAGACTGCTAATCATGATATCAACCAGCAGTAAGACTCCAGTCCGCCCTACCCCAGCGCTGCAGTGTACGATGGGAGGAGGACCCACTTCTACCTCATTCATGCTGTTAGCATGGCGACACACTGACTGAAACTCCTCCAGGAAAGCTGATGAGACAAAAATATAGGGTGGAATATTTTATAAATTTTCACGTTAAACGATATATGACTGAAGCAGACCACCATAAACAAACACAAAGCGTGATTAATGAAAACAAAAGTCTTAAGCACTTTATTTCTGACAGACCTTGCGATTTCTCACAAATCACATTGATTTCATGCAGTTCAATAGCAAAAAAAATATAATGAAGTCATAATGCACCAAAAAGCGAATACAAATTCTGAATTTTCAGGTCCTAAATATCCAGAAAATCAGAACATTCTGGATTATTCGTAAGGGGTTGGGAGGTATGTGCTTAGTATATACAGGGGTGATAGTGAGCACTAAAAAAAAAATAGGTTTTTTGTTTTCCCGTCCACCACGCCCCCCTTGAGTAAAAAAAAAAAAGAGGATTCGCGGGGAAAAAACGGCATCTAACAACATTCCCCCCTTTCGAGTAAGAAAATTGGGACAAAATTAGGAAAAAAAAAGGGCAAAATAGGGAAGAATAGAAAAAACAAGAGGGAAATCGGGAAACCAGGATAAAATAGGGAAGAAGAAAAAAAATTGGTAAAAAAAAAAAAAAAAAAAAAAAAAATCTGGATTTTTTTTTTTTTTTTTTTTTTTTTTTTTTTTTTTTAAATCAGGAAGAAAAAAAAAATTGGGAAAAAATCGGGAAAAATAAAAAAAATCGGGAAACCGATTTAAATCGGGTTTTTATCAGGCCTGATATACAAGTCAAAACCATGAAGCACATAATTTCCCCCCTACAATTGCCAGGTCCCCAGGATGAACAATAAAGAAGGTGATCCTACACTTGCTTTGGCAAGTTACATATGGTTCAGATTGCAATTGGGTGTTTGATTAGATTTGGTGTAGTGTTGGGTCTAAAGGTGGACGTTAGGAATTTGCCTAGTGAACCTGACCACAGAGCAATTGAGTGGTGAAATGTGAGGTCATCAAAAATCCATTTTTAGAATTTCTCATTTTTTTTCTTCATTTTCCAAAAGAGCTTAAAAATCATGTCCAAATGTCGAAAGCCAATTGAATATGTTAAGTATTAGCTGAGAAATTCTAAAAATAGATTTTTATGATGTCACAGCTTCGGTACTCTATTGTCTCTGGAGTACCAACTAGCCACACACCATCTTACAAACTTTTTTTTTTTTTAAATTTATTTATTTCCACATGTGGGGTGGATTGCCCTTTCAACTTAAGTTGATTTTCAAAGGAGTCCACACACATTTAAAAACGGTTACAAATCATATCAACAAACAAGCAAAGAAATAAACAATTAGATACATGAAATATACAACAACAAAAAAATAAGCAAATAAACAATTACATTAATTAAATACATGAGATATACAACAACAAAAAAAATTCAGTATGGGTACATTTGGGTAAAGATATGTTTCCAGTCAAGGGAGATAATGTACTTCTTAAATTGTTGAGCTGTGAGTGTGTATACAGATGATGATTTCCCGATTACATTCCATAATTTGGATCCCCTATATCTAAAACATCTTTTTCCATAATTTGTTTTTATGCTAGAGAGGAATGGGGGAGACTTACATAGGAATCCATGTACATCATCGGGGCATCCTTGGTTGGGCCAATCATTGTACTGTAGATGCCACACAGTCCTCTGTTCACCTGATGGGACGTGCCGTAATGTCAGTCCACTGGTGATGTAACATCCGGAGTCGTTGCTGAACTGTGCTATCACACGGAACTATACAAAAACAATGGTCAAATATTAGTCTGAGTTGATCACATGAATTCAGTGAATAAATAAGGGCTATAAAGTAAATAAACTTTGAAAAGGCCATGTTAAAATGAATGGCATTACAAACCGAGAATATTGATTACTACTTCCCATTTCCCCCTATTCATGACTAATAATTTACATTGCACAATTTTATTGCATGAGCACTGATGCAAAGAGGCAATGTAGCTATCTTTTTTTGTCAGCAATTGGGGAATATATGTGGACCATCCTGTAGCCCCCCTCCCCCCCCCCCAAAAAAAAAAAAAAAAATATATATATATATAATAATAATAATAATAAAAATAATAATAAAAATTAAACTAATAAATAAAAAATAAATAAAAAATAATATTTAAAAAAAAAATAATAAAAAGATAAATAGTTCAATTATCAGAACAATGAAAATGTAATTGAGTGTTTCTCTTTCACATCACAATCATTTAAGAAAAATGCTTGCTACATTGCTGTGAAACAATTAGTATTGTCAACAAGAGCTAAGCTACTGTCATAAACAAAAGACATGAGCACGCTTACTGGTCCAAATTCTGCTGTATTCTTCTTGGGTGAAGTACAATCAGGCCAGTATTTGAAGCACTTCTCTTTGCCATCCTCCTGAAAATAAAATCATTAATAATTAAGGTTGTTTGTTAGAACTGGAATAACAACATTCCATGTAGGAAACAATGCAGAATTAGTAATAACAAATTCATGCCCCAACAACTTCCTTGTACATGAATGAATGATTAATTGAGGTAAATTGAGTATGTGCAATGGCCCATGTCTGTTGGTATTCTAAATATAGACACAACAAAGGGAATGAAATTTAACACATAACACATCTAAAACAAATTGGTTTTGCAGAAGCATTCTTGCCTCAGCAAAAAGCTTTCTGTACTATATTGAGAAAGAGTTAGCACACTTGACACTTTCATACTCAGTCGCTTTAAACATATTTGTAATATCTCTTTACAGTTTAAGAAACTAATAATTGGAATTAAGTATATTCAGCAGGGAATCTCAAACACACAAGGCAAGATATTTTTGGGGTGAGTGTCTGATCCCTTTTAGATCAAAGTAGAGATATCAAACACCTCATTCAAAGCCCGTCTGCACTAGTTTGGCCAGGAGGGATTAGCCCACCCTGCTGGTCACTGACAGGTCGTTATCTCATCAACTCGGCTCTCAATTAATATGAGGATCATGGGGGAACAACAGGCACCAATGTTTTCTATATAGAGGTAGCAAGTAGCTACAAGTAGTACAGTGGGGCTTTAAGCATACCTTGAGTTTAGTGAGCATAGCAATGACCTGTGTTCCACTCTCCCAAACCATCCTCCACCAGTCCTGTACAGTGTTCTCCATAGGGCCCTGAGCAGCGATGTAGTGCAGCAGCTCACCAGCGACGGGTACCTTGACTCGCGAGGCGTTGATGTAGCCTCCGCTGTTATGATGGGATGATGACAGCTCTACTCTACAGTCCTGTCAATCAATGTCAATCAAAGTAGACAGGTGGTTAATTTCATTAATATTTTTCATTTGCCAGATGCACTCAAGGTAATTGAACAATTCAACAATTTGGCAAAAGCAGAAAGAATTGGCATTGATTCTCACTTGCCCCAGACAAGTATCATACCTCCTGATGTCCAATAGAAAGATTACTTACAAAGTCATAGCTTCACATTTCTAAAACATATACCGGTACACGTATCACACAGAGAAAAAATTGCACTTTGATTTATCAGAATTTATCATGCGAAGTTGGGTAAATTAAGTATCTTTCTTGTAACTTTGAAATATATAATCTAAAATACACAAACATTAAGGAAGTCTGCTTTTGGATACAATTCAGAAATATTAAGTCATATATAGGCAATTTCAATACACCTTACAGAAATATCATTCATACTAGAACATTCCTTTGAAAACCAACTGTAATACGCATTGGGAAATCTGTTGTAGTTTTAAGGACTGATCGTTACCTCATACGGTAGAACATCTTTGAATCTGTTTCTGCTGACATTCTCTGGTAGTTTAGATGTATAGCACACTGCTCCTTCTCTCTTCTTCGTAATCTGCTCATACTCTGTGAACACCTGACCTTCTCTCAGTTGCTTCTCAAGGATCTTTCGCTACAAAAGAAAACACAAGGAAACATCAATTAATCATGGTATTGAGATGAACGTTCAGAACGTTTAAAAATAGATATATTTCTTGAAACAATCTACCCACATGTTGATTATTGTTATGCTTTCATTTTCACATGTTTACTATTGCCAATGTAAATATTATCTTCATGTTCACATTCCTGGAAATTAAATAAACAAAATGACAAATGAATAAAATGATAACAATGAACTGGCTTTCATCCATATTTTCTTTCTAAATCAAAGAAAAAATAATTTACTTTCAAAACTCAATAAAGTGTTATCCAAATATTATGACAGCATATGCAGATGAATATTTGAACAAAAGTTCTGCCAATCAAAAAAACCTGAAAAAAATTTAAGCATAAACAAATCAACTGATGTGACACTAAAAAGACTGATCTACACATAATAGAGGAGATGGAAGATTTTTTTTTCCAACACAATTTTGAATATTGGGTTTAAATATAATAATAATAGTGAACATTTATAATGCGCCATGTCTGTCAAAATGACACTCCTGGCGCAGTTGTGTGGAAATTGTATGATTGTGGGCATACGACCATCAAGTGATTCAAGAAAGAAAGTAAATACACATAAGTTAAAGTTTAACTGGATAAAATTTTATAAATCATCTTCAATAAATGATATAATTGGTTCTGCTCACTAGGTACATGTACATAGGTGACCCAACACATCCAGAAAAATTTGTTCCACGTTTTATCGAGTTATGATATAAGGTTAGGATTAGGGTACAAAACTACAAATATACATATATTCTATTTAAGGTAAAAATTCCAATGCATGAGGTACTTACCCTTGCATCTCTGGGATGTTTGGTTTCTTCCTCTGGTTGAGCAGGCATGTCCCTTGGTCTGAGAAGTGTTAACCCACTCATGGCAGCCAACTTGAGAGGACCAATGTATCCTCCATTATCAGTCCCTAGATCCTCCAGCACTTCGCTCCCTTCGGAATCAGGAGACAATGGCAGTGTGGGTGACTTTGATGCTACGGTTTGTTTGTGATTGCTGCTGCTAGTGGCTGGTGGAGTGGATGAGGCTTTAGATGTGGAAGGTTGCTGTGTAGTACTTGGAGGATTGGTGGATGGTTTGGAGGATACAGAACTGGCTTTTAGTTCAGGTTGCTTAGGCTTGTGGCTGTGGACGTCATCTGTTGACTGTGGAAGAGCTGGAGTGGGGGAGGATGACTGAGTTGTGTGATCGTTCAGAGGAGTTTCCTGAGTGATATTGTCCTTGGGGTTAGCATGCATAGAGGTGGCAAAGCCTTGTGACTGATTAGTTTTCCTCTCTGCCAGTATTGTTTCTATTTCTGATGTGTGATGCTGCTGCTGCTGTTGCCCATGGAAGCCCTGTACAGTATTGACATAGTTGGCCTGATCGACATGAAGCATGGCGTAGTGACTGGGGTTGACTTCCCTCATCTCTGGGTGGAGCTGAGGCATTGAGTATACCCTTGTGGGTGAGCCAAGCTGACCAGTACCGTTCATCTGTCCAAAGCCACCCGTCACATAGGTCAAGTGGTTCTCTGGAAGCGATGGTTGCGAGTTGTAGATGTCTCCCATGCCATGAGGAGGTAGATGGAAGTGGCGCGTAGGACTCCCAACACTACCTGGAGACATGTTAGAGTCAATGTCACTGTGATCTGCAAATTCACTTGGTGGGCTGACCAAAGGCCCTGCATATTCCTGGAATGGACTCATGATCCTCGACTTGTCTGGTGGGGTAGGCAGATTGTCCTCGTACCCTGTGGGTACAGCTATCATAGACAGATCAGACGGTTGGGCTTTGTCCGTGAGATTTAGAGTCAATGCTGGTTTGAACTCCCGTTGCTGAGGACTGTACTGCTGTTGATAACCTTGCGAAACATGTCTGCTGTACATGCCGACCTGCGCGTGATAGTCCTGTATCCTCATCTGTTGGAATGCTTCTATGGGTAATGACTGGGACAAGTCTGCATCAATATTGACATTCCCGCTTCCATGGAGATTCACCTCATGCATAGCTTCAATGGCTTGTAACCTCCTACTCACCAGATCAGGGCTACTACTGCTCACTAAATAATTATTACTCTGCCTGGCAAGGTTAGGGGTACTAGCACTTCCTCTTGGATAAGGCGGTGGTGGTTTGTACTTGTTTTTCAACAGTTTTGCCGTGATATACTCCTCTGTGGTTTGAATGTGCTCTGACGTCAACTCAGGCACACTAATGGTATGTACAATGTTCCCATGGGGAGTCTTTATCAACAGGCCATGCTGCAGTGATTCCAGAGAGTAGTCCATGTTGTTGCCGGTGTAGTAATTGTTAGGCGTGCCTCCATAGCTGAGTCTGAACTGCTGCCTGTAGTGATTGTTATGATTATGTTGCCTCAGTTCTGGCTGAGGATAGAGCACACTTTCCATATGTCCATACCCATTCTGCTTCCCCAGATTGCCCACACTCTGGCTCTGCTCACTCACAGTTAACAACCTCTGCTGCAGCCTGGCCTGGATAAATGCCTCATAGTCAGGACTCTGCCTATATGCTGGCAACGATGCTTGCAGATGGGCACGCACTTTCTCATTGTTTGTTAGGCTGGGGTTGGAAGAGTTTGGTGACACCTGGTTGTGCAGTCCGTAATTGAGCGAGTTCACACTGGGGGCACTGTACACACTGCCGTTCTGATCCAGCATGACCAGGTTGCCATTGGAGTAGCTGTAGTCGGTGGGAGGTCTGTCCAGACTGAGCTGGGAGGTAGTGAAAGGACCCATGTCATAGGCATGCTGGTTGTCAAGACTCAATTGAGATGTGGTGAAGTTGGTATTCCCTGTTTGGCCGATGATGAACTGCTGGTTACCAAGCTGGCCATCTGCCATCATGTGATGAGGAAGGTTCTCTGTTCACGGAAAGAAAAAATACATAATTTAAGTTTTCATACCAATGATCATGAGATGATTTAATTAAATATGAGATTCATAATTTTTTCCATCCATGGCTATATTCTAATTTCAATTTCAGTTAATTCTTATTTAAATTCATCTCTCTCTCTCTCTCTCTCTCTCACTCTCTCTCTCTCTCTCTCTCTCTCTCTCTCTCTATCATCTCACCACTTTATATAAAATGAACTGCCAAACGTGAATTTCAGATACGATGCAGAAGCTAGTGATCGGTTATTTGAGGAACCCAAACTTAGTTGCAGAGCTGCCAACCTTGTGCGACCCAAAAAAAGGAACCATGATCATTATGATGGCCCCAAAAAAAGGAATTTCAAGCAAAAAAAGGAATTCATTAAAACGAAACTTACAACCAGAAAAAAGAGAAAGAACGAATTTGGAGGAAAAAACGGAAAGGTTGGCAGCTCTGTAATTGGTAATTGTCTACATGCCCAGTCAGATGAAACCACTTGCAAATAATCTGCTAGGGCTCATAATAGCAAAATAAACGTCAACACAAAAGCAAAAATAACAAAGCCTTATAGGGCAGGTCCAATCCAACAACAAGCTGCATTATTTAAAAGCAGATACAACAAACTAAAATATTTTCAAAAATGAGGAAAATCAGATTTATGAATTGACATGAAAAACCAAAACTATGGAAAACTATGAAATTCACTATACAATCTTGAACTTTTTGTGATGTCATTTCCTCACTAGTTATCATTTGCTTTTTCTGTTTTGAAACCATAAATAACATTAACATTTTGATTTATCATTATTGATTTACCAATAGAAGCCGTTCTATTTACCAATAGAAGCCTAATTGGTAAATCAATAATGATAAATCAAAATCGTTTTTAGCAACTGTCCACCAAAAAAATTGAAAACCATAAATAACATTCCCTTTTTAATCCCACTGAATTGGAACTGAATCATAAGTTAAGCCCAACCCCAATGTGAAATTTGAGCTATTGTTGCTTCCATCTTACCTTCAGATGAAGCTCCTTCTCCTAATATGAGACTATCTCTATTCCTCATCTTGCCAGACATCTGCTGTCCATCCATTGACAGCCTTCTTTCTGGGTCTACCACAGTGATTAGCTTGTCTGCCGGAAAGCCATCGACGAGAACCTCTCTGCTACCAAGCCTAATATATGAGAATGAAAATCATGATAATGAATATTCAGGTTGCTAAAAGTATGAAGACTGAAGAATCTGTGGAAAACAGCCATGTACAATGTACATGTGTACACTTCTAGCTTTTGGTAATGATATTGGGTGTGGTTTTTACCCAGGGCTGCCTAACCCTCAGTATATCTTCTCCATACAAGAGCTGGCAGTGGCTGCACACTCAGCATGGCTCAGTACATGCAAAGAGAAAAACATCTGGGAGCATTCCTAGCAATGCACCCTCTATTCAACTAAAAGCAGAATAAATTAAAGAGCAGTGGAACCTCTATCTAGTACCTAATTATCATAATAATGACAAATTCCCTGCCCTCTCAGAGCCTAACATTATCAGACTCCTGAATAAGCAAGCATGTGCAGTGAACATATTTGCACAAAAACATGTGCCAAAATAAAGCAATTATGGTACACACCTGTATGAGAACTGTGGCTGATGACACAATAGAATTTACAACCACAATACTGGATCAGAATAATAACATGCTCACAAACTTCTACATATCTTGATCCATTCTCTTCAGTCATAGCCCAAGGGATGGATTAAAGTGATTTAAATAAACATTAAGAATTCCTAGCATTCCGAAAATTCATGATGAAATGTTGATTACAGTTAAATGGAGAGGTCAAAGAGAGGTCAATATCATGTCCTCAACAACAACAAAGGAAACATGACTTCAGTGAATAAACAGGAATAGCCCCATTTGCACTAGCAAAAATTATTGTATAACAAATAAAAAACATATTTTGTCTCATCTCAACATCTAAATTTGCCCTAGCTGACAATAAACATATATGGTGTACTATAAAGCTGACCTCTCCAAGATTTCTTTGTAAATTATTCCTTTATATATTGTAATCCATTCTACATGTCCATCTCTTCTGCAATAAAATTCTTCTCATGTGAATGCCCTGTAGGATGCACAGAGATTGTTTTTTTTTTTTTTTACTCACTTGACTGTTTCAACAGTATACTTGTGGAACTGCTGCTGGAGTCTGCATATCCTGCACACATACTTGGCCGTCTCAGCGTCTTCCATCTGGAATTGCAGGACATCGTGAGAGCGGGATGTCCCCACTCCAAAGGCACGCCGATTGTGGCCCATGCTGACAACCTCATGCCACCTAAACAGGATAAGGATTTCAAGAGTAATGAATATACATTAGCAATGTTTAGAGTAACATAGACATTGGGAATTAGGAATTTGCAAGTTCAGAGATTTAGGCATCTCAAAGACTCAAACAAAAAAAACAAAAAAATCAGAGTAAATATAAGAATTATGAAGGTGTTACTTACAGTAATTTTTAGGAGAAAAAAACACCACAGAATGTCTACTCTATCTCCTACCCCCCCCCCCCCCCAAAAAAAAAAAAAAAAATTCTTAGGAGGTAAAATCACCACAGAATGTCTACTCTATCCTCTACCCTCCCCCCTCCCCCACCACCTCCTGAATGTAATACAGTAAATACATCTTTGAGATAAGCAGGTGCTTAACTGCCCTTTTGAAGGAATGCACGGTCAATACATTTCTAATGTCAGAAGGTAGAAAATTCCAAACATCAGAGCTATTGGCCCGAATTCACAAAGGAGGTTTGTCGACAAACCTCCTTTTGTTATTTACAAACCAGGTTTGTAAAAAACGCCATATGACGTACATATACCTCGGTTTGTCGACAAACATCCTTTGTGAATTCGGGCCATTATGTCTAATAGATTTATGAGCCAACACTGTACAAGGATTTGATCTATGTATATTACTTGCTTGTTTTGTGGGATAGGTATGAATATCATTATTATGGCGAGAGACAACCAAGAAATGTGTGGCCACATACAACCCATATACCGGGATACACATTTTTATTTTATAACAGAATTTAATCATCATTTCCACCTGTAAAATATGACACACCAAAATATCCGGTTTACGACCAGACATTTTCAAATCACAAATGGTTGTAGGACTACTCATCATTGAATGCATTGGGTAGACAAATAAAGGGGGGAAAAGAAGGAATTTCTTGCCTACATCATCAAGAATAACCTTAAACTTGAGACAGACATTATCACCCGAATTGACAATCATCTCATCTCTAAATTTGGTCATGTGTTTACATTATCACTCATACAACACTAAAGATAAGGCATGCACTTTATTTGCACACACTATCTCACGGCATTACAGATGTGACATGTCAAAATACAGAATATGTTTACACTTTAGAACTCTCTGCACAATCACTTTACATTCCATCTCTCCCGACTCTCTTTCATTTACAACAACCCTGTTGACAAACAGCTCAAAGTCTGGATAACCTTTTGGTCTGATCTGAAAACTTGAAGAATGCTTTAGACTTTGACCCTCTCTGACACCTCTCATTGTCCTCAGAGGTATGCAATGGTGGTACACTAAACAAAATCAATCAGTATTGACTGTGAACTCTGCTCTGGAATGGCTAACAATCAACAAATGAATCAGACAAACTTCCTCTTCTAGTTACAAGTACTTAAAGCCAGTTAAAGGTACTATTCATATCTCATACTATGTTTAAATGGGAAACTTGAATCTACATGTAGTTGAAATAACTTCAAATGATACACATATTAGTGAAAAATGCTATTGCTTTATTATCATGACTTGTGGCAAGAGAGAATTTTGCAAATTTCATCCCTCACTTTAAAACTCCATTTGATGAATTTTCTAGGGGAAGTGACCTATAACTATAATAAATATTTACTCACTCAAAATGAACGGTTTCTTGTCTATTCAGATGTTTTACACTCAGGCCTGAGAAGGATGCACTGATGAACAATTCATTTCCGGAATCATCCTGAAATGGGAAGAAAATCAAGCATTTACATTTATGTACAGTAGGCGGTATTTACAACATACTACTTTATTTACCATCAAATGTGAATTATTTGCTCTTTGAATTATTTTGCATTAACTTGGGTAATACAGTAAGTCCCTAATAGAGAGGACTTCTACTAGGGCTGCACAAATATTGCCTTCAAATGATGTCATAAATTACCAAGAAAGAAATCATAAATATTGGAAAAGAGAATGCAAGCTTGACACAATCTATCAAGCTAGTATTTGGAAACAATGGAAACATCGTTTGATAATAATTAGTATTTTCAAGGATGACCATTCCCCACTGCTGAATTGTTTGTTTAGCCTGTGTTTAACAATGGATATTGAAAAAATTAAAACAACATGACCCATTGTCCAAGCATTATGGATCTATGAAGGTTGTATGTGAGGGGAGGAAGGCTGTAGTGTACAGTACGTATCAACATACATTTTGCTATATTAATAGCACAGGTTCCACTACATTAACTCTAAAGGGTCCATTGATATCAAAACTGCTTTTGGGGCGAAATGCAGCTCACAGGACCACAATTGCAATTCTTATTAGATTTAAGCCAGTAGGAAAACTACTACGGCATAAATACTACTAATAAACAAGGCCAGCACACAGGTGTCAAGTTAAAAGGTGTTCATGTTTGAGTTGGTTGTTATGTTAATTGCGTGTGTTATGCTGGTGTGTATACCAGGGACAAGTCCCTATGTATACTACATGTATGTCCCTAAATTATACACAAAAGTGTTGTCATATTACCCCAATTTTAATCATGCATTCATTTATTTCAGGTAATACAAATAAATCAATGAATTGTGTAACCATCCCTTAAATAAATACTACACTCACACCATATTACAAGGTCATTATTATTTTCATTACACTTCGTAATCTTAATGATGCAATGCATGAATGCAAAGTAAATCTAAATAAAGCATAATTTAGCATATTTGGTAACCAATGAAGCATTGCCCTTTTCAGAAATATATTTTGGTTATTTTTGTTCCTCTAAATATTGAAGGAGGAGGGGGAAAAAGCATAGAATGGTTCAGTTTTATAGGATCCTTTAAAACAGGTCTTTTGAAAGAGCTTCACTTCCGGCATTGTCAAATCACATATCTTCAACAAGAGTCCCTGAAAATGTTAAACTCTAAACTAAGAGATTTTGACATCTGAGACAAAGTTTTATAAATCACAATGAAACAGTGGGAAAGTTTATAGCAAACTACACAGTACGTAACTTCCTCCATCTTCTACTACTTCAGCTAAAAAATACCTGTTTTTAAATTTGTATTTAGGTTTTGAGTCATCATAGAACAGCTCCCATCAAGTATTTCTTGGACTTTTGTTTGATAGATGTACCAAATATAAACTTTAAAAAATATAACTGTATAAGCCTAAAACCCATTAATTTCTGAACAATAAAAAAATGCTACACGCAAAACTGCAGTCGAGGCTAGCTAGGTAAAACAATTAGGGTTAAGTGGAAATTATCAAGCGTAAAACTATGTTATTACAGGGCTGAAAAATTAAACAATAGGCCTAGAATTCTATCTACGCAATTCTCGTTACTATGCAGTGACTTGGTAACGCAATGGGTAGCAACAACTATACATTCTTAGCATATATTTTGTGGTTGAATACCAAACAAATTAAATATTTTTTCTAACAATTATCCCCTAATACAATGAAAGAAACACATGTGGTTTAGATGTGCAGTAGCATGACAAAGAATGGCATTGCATACATACAGAACTATGCAGTCACCACAAATGATTACACTTGTATTGCATAGCTGGATATATGATGTCATAGAAAAATCCATGAAAATTACTCATTCAAATTGCGCAAGAAGGCTGTATTTTAACGACAGAAGAATAATACTGAACAAAAAAAATCTGATAATGTATACATTTCTAGTTTCGTGTAAGAGCAACAAATCAATAATGGAATAAATGGAATGATAAAAAATTCTTCAAAATGATAATTAATAAGAAATAGAGATACAAGTCATAATGTAAATGGATTATCTCTTAATTGCCACAGGTTATGTCAACAGCCAAAATGTTGACATTGTACATGTAGTATTGTACTGTGTATATTATATTTTTGAACCAAGAAAAAAGCAAGTCTTTTTCCCATGAAATTCAAAACAGGGTCATGACTGTGAAGAGTGATATTTTTTTATGAAAACAATTTGTTTTCTTCTCACAATGAACAATGGGGGAAAAACAAAGCATGACTACAATACTAAAACCATGTCTTATGCAACCTTACATGTTTATAAACTTGTAAGAACTATAGAGGCTGCTAAAAATAAATGTTATTATTCAAAAAAATAAATGATTACTCTTTGGAAAGATTGTTCTAAGCACAATAGACTTACTTTAGCTGGGAAGCTCTCTTGTCCATAACCTTGTAGTTTAGCAGCCTGTTCAATGTACCCAAGTTCACTCTGACATGTTGACATGCCAACCTTGGCCTGATGTGCATTCATAACCTTGAGAAGCAACTCCGACAAACTCACGTTTTCTGTGGTCATGTTCTGTAGAAAAAGATAACATAAATAATGATATTTTAAGGGGGAGTACATGAGCAATTATAGAATCATATTTTGCTCAATATGTCATACTAAAGATATCTGCTTCAAATACTACTACTGTATACAAAATACTTTTTCCACATTTTTCTACAGAGGGACTTTTTATAATAACCCAAACTTCATGTACAGTACTGTACAAAGAATAGGAAACAGCTCTTTTGTGTTGAAAAAGATTAAGGAAACTTATCCCCTCACAAATAAGGGGTATAAACCTTACATTCAACAAAATTATCAAATAAAAGTTTGAAATAGCCTCTGATGATAAGGTGATTAGGATGAGTAGGATGGGTGAACAATCACAAACACTCTCTTGCCTTACATCATGGATGAGGTTGGGTGAACAGATGGTATTTACCGGTATTGTCTTGGCCCAGATATAGAACAAAACAATAACAAAAGTTGTACAATACACACTCTGGAAGAATCCCTCACCCTTTATGCACCCCGTAATCCGATGTGTACATTTCTATGTGCATGCATACATGTATGGAAAGAAACAAATTGGGGTAGAATGTTTCAGCCAGGTTTATGTTAATTTCTTTGTTTCACAGCCGTGTAATCCAAGCCTCCCTATGGAAACCACTGGCTGCTTGTGCTGCTAGCCTACACTGACGCGTGTCTTGGGTTACATCCTACTACTCACAAGGCCTGTCCTCATCAGTCCCCATCAGCTTGAGTTTGCCGAATAGCCCTAGAGTTTCAAGCTGATGAAAACACGATTTGTAACTCCCCGAATCAGAAATAGCAGGCTATTTGGCAAACTTGAGCTGATGATGACAGGCCTACAGAGACTCCTATTCCTACAGATGTTCTGCAAATCACGTGCAATCCACATGCCTGTATTTTAATGTCACTACCCAAAATCCATCAGATTTATTGAGCATACCAAATCAAGTTTTCTTAGAATACAAGAACATGACATCTTACACTTTCATAGCTCTCAAAGAGCATATTAACATTCCTTCAAAGAAAGGGATTTTGGAAGGAAGAAATCAAATTATTTTCTTTCGCTTCTTTTTCGGTGTACTGATTGACCCATTATCCTTGTTGGGATAAAGATCTTGATTTACAAGCACCAAAGTAATTTCTCCAAAGAAATTTGGAATTCAAGAGCAACATGTATTAACTCAACAATAGTTAGCTTAAATCAAACACTGTTTAAAAATCGAAAATTTAAACAAAAGTTTTTGAGAAGACCTAAAATAGAGAAAATGGTTTAAGAGAGATGGATCTGCCAACAGATGGACCAAGGTACAACTGTACAATACATTGTCTACTCATACAGAAGAAGGGGAAGGGTGGTGGATGGGCTCATCATGCTATTCCAGTGATAATAGACAAGCTATGTTTATGCTATGCTCTATAACATAGCCCTACCTAAATACATTTTCATAGTGAATATCGATGGTTGGTGACATTTCTGATTCAGCTAAAGAAAAAGAAAATATGGTAAACCACATTACACTAATAAAACAATACCTATTGAGCAAGTACATGTAGGTCCTATGTATTTTTGTGCGAATGTACAGTAGGCCCCACATACATTTCCATATAATACCCATGATGCCATGAACTCAGTGCTACATTGAGCTGCTTGCATTCTGGCTGCAAAAACAAGCAGTTGATGACCTGTGAACCTTCAACCTGTCACGGATTGGAACAGTAATGGGGAGAAAAAAAGAGAAAGGATGAGGGACCGAGGGAGCAGGAATCGGAGGAGTAAAAAGGCAGACAGACAGAGAAACCTATACCCCTATGAGGAAACCCAGACATATACAAATATGTGGGGAAAACTTCAAGTTCTGAGACAGAGAGGCACAGAAACATCGATAATGAAAAAAGAGAGAGAAAAAAGAGAGAGAGAGAGAGAGAGAGGGGGGTGGGGAAGAAAACAGAAAATTACAGACAGACAAACAGATGGGACATAGAGAAATGGGGAAAGGGTACTGGACAAATATGAACATCAAACTTATGGAATGCACTTGAAGATCATGAACAACTGAGAAGACATCAACATCCATGTACTTTCCCCATCTATAAATTGTGATGAAAATCTACCACTTTTCATCCCCACAGCTCCATCCATCTCCCTCACTCCCTCCATCTCCTCATCATATGGTCTATCCCTACAGGACTGGAGACACAGATAAATTGCCTGACACTATCAAGGTCAAAGCTAAGGTCAACTCACCTTAGGCAGCAGAACATACTCATTCTGGTAGAATTCCACAGTGTGCTTGGCAGGGTCAGAATTCCCAATCTCAGCTGTCATTGGGGAAAGAGAAAGCGGGAGAGATAGAAAGAAAAATAAAAGTTAAGTCACATGCAAGAAAGACATTCCCTAGAAAGCAATAGCATTCACCAAAATAAGGTCACAGCAAGAGTCCACATCGGACAAGGAATAGTGGTTTTAATTTTCAGGAAGGAATGTTGTTCTTGGTCTAGTATTTTTAGATATTTTGGGTGATTTTGTGACCACTTTCACTGAGAAGGCAAACCCAATCGTGACTCACGGGGGGACACATGAATTGAAATGCCCTCAAATTTAAAATCTAAGAGAATTTGATGAATAAGGTCTTGATTTGGTGTGATTTTGATTTATCAAAGCAATCTGCTTTTACCACAATATACACTATATGCAAGAAGATAATGGAGCTACAAAGTATTCATACGTTAGAGTTATCAAGGCCAAAGTTCAAGAAATTTCATATCACTTTGTCAAAAACCAACATAGGTTTACCAAAAGTTCTCTGACTTCTGACAAAGCTTTACAGTACATACATACATGTACTAGTATTTTGTATTTTACACACATATATGTACATGTAGATAATGATCTTCTGCTTGTACACTCCCTGCCTGTTCTTATATTCATGCCTGTTCTTATATTCATGCTACATGTATATGCATGCAAAGTAAATGTAGAAGATTTATAAATCATTTTAAACATAACTGAGACATACAAAATTACAAACCTTGTAATGCAAAGCTGGCTAGAGTCACTGCTTGTTCCTCATTGCATGGTAAAATACCCTCTATGAAATCACTCTTCAACTGCAAAAAGTACATATATCTGAAATAAAGACAACACATACGAATCAAATAATAACAGGCACACTGTATAACTTTATGACATATATATGACCCCTGTGAATAGTTACATTGCATTGTTTCAACTGGAAAATATGACTTGAATTCTTGAACTTGAACTTATCCTAATGAACTTGCATTTTTGCACTTTTTACTTCTTCATAAATTACTCAAACAAACATTTGTCTCAGTATATGAGCACTGTAATGATACCAGAACATGAAGGAATGTGGTGTGTATACCGTACTTGTAAGAATACAACATTTTCATACTTAACAATACATTGTACATGCAGATACAGTTTGTTCTTATTTCTCCCACTAAATCTCTAACATGTTAACAATGTACATGTAGGTTTAGTTAGGTTTAGTTGTCAAATACAAACATTGCTGAGGTGCTCTGCAATAACTAATAGAGTTTTCACATTCATATTCTCTTTTTCCTCCAAATGTGTGAGTCCTACATGTACTTCATCAGAAGGGTATGAATAACTGCCTCAAACAAAAGCAAGTCTCTGTAATCTAAATTCTAAATCGCTTGGCAATTTTTAATTCATGTTTGGCAATACTGCAATCTATGTTATTGTTTGGGCCTACCTGTACATAATGTACAGTAACATGGTCATACATGTATGTACTGTACACATCCACTTTCATAGTGAGATGAAAAGAGAACAGTAATTGTAAGACCTACATTCTACATTCTCTAATCGGCTTTTCCAGTGTTGAGTAGGATAGTGTTGAAGCTTATCGCTTTTTATTTGAATTTCTAAGTTTTCACAGAATACATGAACCTTCCTCAAGTTCCTCCTATAAAGTACCAGAGTAAATGCACATTTCTTCATGGAAAGAAGAAAACTATAGACAAATAAAAACACACCAAACTGTAGTGATGGTCAATGTAATATTTCCTTGACTAACGCACAAATAGTAGATCCATGGTCCCACTAACCAGTGAGGAATGCAGTAAGCTACAATGTAATATGCTACCACCACTTGGTGCATTAGTGCTTTGGGCAGGATTTGACGTGTACATAATACTTCTTGATAGAACACAATGACCTGTGAGGAAGGAATGTGACCCGAGTCGTCAATAAAAGATTGGTATGCAATGGACAGTTGACTCTTTTCATTACTTTTCAAGGAAATAATCCTAGCATACATCTAACCTGGCAGGACAAGGTAAAGGAGCTTATACATTTTGTATTCAACAATCATCTGTACTTAGCTAAGTACTACAAAAGTGCATGTACATGTACATAATAGATGAAGACATTGGGACAAAACATATTACAAAAACATACACTTGAGTTGTAATTTACTACATAATTTGGTACAACCTCAATAGAAGAAAGACCAACAAATAAAGATAAAAATTTATAATAACACCACATGAAGTGCTATTCACGTGATATCAACAACAAAAAATATGTCACCCATTGTTCAAGTTGAAGAAATCTCAAAACAAACCTCCTTTTATGTTTTTTTAAAAATAATTCTGAGTTAAAACTAAAATGGATTTGTTTCGTATCTACCCACTTATATTACATGTACATGTACATGTACTTCATGAAATATTGCAGTGATGAAAATATAGAGAGGGAGAAAATCAGTAGTTATCACCAAACAGAATGATTCTGTCATTTAAGGAAAGCGTGAAAAGAAGTTCTTCATTGACAAAGGCTTCAAGCCTTTCCGAATTCCGAGAAAGTTCATCACATATTTCTGGTGAAATTGAATCAGTGTGGGAACTCGGACGCTGGACTGCAATGCCATGAACTGGAAAGCTTGAGGACATTCAACAGCTAAGCAGCTGGCATGCACAACGATTAACCTTTCTCCCCTCTCATTTCACAACAAAACTTTCTACATGTAGTTCTGAGCCTTTGTAAATGGTTCAAGGACAAGCGCATGCAGACCATAGCATTCCATTCTGCTCATGTACATGATGTACTCATGAAAATAGGAATGTTATCAATAATAAATATGATATTTCTGAACATGCTTTTATCATCATTAATTGACTACTACTAGTAGGCTTCACGTGGCTAATCTCATATAAATATAAATCTAGTCTATCAACCATGTGTAGGCCTACATTAGGTATACTAATTTGCAAATTTTAAGACAATATTTCCTAAATACACAGGCAAGGGCCATTATCTCAAAGTTTTTGGTTTTACAGTACCAAAATCTGCAATGCTTTTTGTTTGCTATTATAACAAAAACTCAGTTTTACATAAGGAGTACAATTTACTTGTTTTTAATTTCCAAAGACCATCAAACTGTTCAAAACTTCCTCTCCCACCACTTTCAAAATTACTGCAGTGTACATTGTACGTTCCCACATTCATATGAAAATGGAACGTTCGCACTACGCCTTCATGCATACCTAAGTTATTGATCATGCATTCTAGCACTGTATGTCAACAGACAAGTCTACAACAAATTCACACATTACGACATTCACCATATGGTATGCCCTCGTTTTCCAAGATTTACTAGTGACTCATCATAATCGCATGCAAAAATCTATACTTCAGGCCTACGCATCTATTAGTTCAAAGTCCATGCATGTATCATCCCCCAACATACAAATGTACTTCTTGAAGTTGTTCATTTTGGTTTTCATGGAAAAGGGAAGTATTGGATATCTTGGTATCAGGGACGACATGTTAATGAAACCAGATTCAGTTTATAACTTGCGGTCGTAAGAAAAATATTATAAAAACAATTCAGACCAATTCTCCAACAGTCCCATTGAACCCAATTGGCCAGAAGATATGAGAGCATAATACCAACACAATAGATTGCCTCATTTTCACCCTTACCTTGTCATTTCATGCCGGAGCGTTTGTATGTTGGTTGTATAGAGCATGACACCTAGACGGAGCATAGAGTCATGGGCATTCTTGTCCAATTGTTTCTTTAGCGGTTTCTCGAGGTCCACCCATCGTAGCTTGTAATTCTTGTTGCTGTACTGGAGGCCAAAGTAGATATTCTACACAAGACAAAAGTTCACATATAATAATATAAATTACTTCACCTGCAATCCTGCATAATTTTTTATTTTGTATAGGCCCTACTCACTACTGTACATAAAATATGTACATGTAGACCTTCAAATGTAATAATAATAATAATAATAAATTAATAAAGGTACGGTACATGTTCAAGTAGGTACATCTATGGTAGACCTACAAATGTATACGTGTCACACCTGTACTTAGGAGCCTCTGGTTCCCATTCACATTAATAAATTTTACTTTGAATTAATATTTACAATGTACATGTACATGTATATATAACTTTATTTATTTATCCATTTACTCATTTATTTATTATTTACATTTCTCTATGTTGTGAACATTGTTATCATAATTAGTATTATTATCATTTTTTGATATTTTCTATTTATTTTTGTATTTTTTGTATAAATTGTTGTTTTGTTTTGTTTGTTTGTTTGTTTGTTGTTCATTGTTGTTGTTGTTGTTTTTTTGTTTTTTTTTTTTGGGGGGGGGGGGGCAAGGGTAACTGTAACGTGTATTTTAACTATAAATTGTATAGCCCCACATTGTACAGCCTACTTGTCTATATACTCAAAGCGTTGTGATTGTACATGCATGTAAAGCAATCATGTACACCAGGGGGCCGTTTCTCGAAACCAACTCCATGACAGTCATATCTTTGTCGGCGACCTACGGAGATGTCATGAAGTGGATAAACCGTTTCACAAAGCCATGACAGACATGAAATCGATATATCGCGATACTAGCAGCTCAAGAACATAGTCTTTGTCACAATCCATTTGATTTATCACGAATAACCCAAAACAAGTTTTGGGGCTAAAATTGTTAAAAAAGAAACATATACATAATTACATATAAACTCTCCTAAAATAAATAACAAATAGTGTCATTATCAAACGTACATCATCAAACGATTTGCATATTTCTGTAAAGATTCTTAAATTGAAGAAAAACCGGTGAGTGTTTTTTTCTTGGAAATCAAATCAAAAGTAGTTGAAGGATACCGTAATGTGATAGTTTATCAATACATACTTTTTTTGTTTATTGTGACGAGAAATTTTAGGCAAAATACCTTTTCTCAGCCAGTTTTTATTCTAGAGTCTCATAAATACTCGTTATATAATTGATTTGATATTGAAAATATAATTTGGAAGAAGTAATTAGAGAGGGAATAATAATGCACATACATGTAGGCCCCAAAGGTATGATGGTATCCTACATTGTAAGAAAGACTATGAATCGACTATGGACAACGGTGTGTAACATTCTTATCTCTTTTATTTATATGTTATAGTTTAATGATTTGTGATTTAATGTTTATATTCAGCTTTTTAAAATTTCTGTATAATTTGTATTATCACTTCTTTACATTTGCATTTCGCATCCCAGAGAATTACGTACCGAACTCGTCTATATTTTTCTCAAAATGATAGTGAAACTAATCGTACATTTCGCGGCCCATGAAATAGCAACAAACTGCCTTGTGATGGCGCTTAACAGCAATTAAAAAGATATGACGGGTTCGGAGCAGAGACAACTCATTGTCGCGGAAGTTGTTGCTCATCTTGGCAAAGACGGCTTCGTGAAACACTTAGCTGACAGTGTCGAGATGTCGTTGATCTTGTAGTTATGACGGTTTCGAGAAACGGGCCCCCAGTACATGTACATACAGTACATGTAAAAGCTTACAATGCAGAAAACACTATCACAGAAAGATACTAAATAAACAATAGAGACAGCCTGACACTGACAGGTATTTATGGATTTAAGGTATTTATGGATTTAAGGTATCCAGACTTGGATCGATTTCACAGAAGGAAGGAAGCATGCTTGACTGCAGTAGGAGCACTGGTCCTTTAAAAAAAAAAAAAAACCCGACTTGCCCACTGGCACTGCACTGCATGCCCCAAAACTAGAGGCATTATCGCGCAGCCTACCAGGAAAACCTGCTGGAATGTTGAGGGGTGCCCTGAGGTCAGGAATGGAATGAGTTTGGCATCAAACAATACAAGGAGGGCACAAGGATGCTTGCAAGTGGAAAGTGCTCTACAATAAATCATCCCTCATCCATATTGCTCATATTCTTCATCCCCCCCCCTCTCTCTCTCTCTCTCTTTCCCCCTCGGTTTTTTCTTCTGCGCTATACAAAATGATTCCTATTCCTGTAAGTAAAATGGAACATTGATAGAGTGATAAAATTACTCTCTTGGGTTTATGAAATGAAATGATCTACTGAATTATGTGCAACATGATGTTTCATCAACACATAAGTTACAACATGATGAATACCAAAAAATACAAGGGCAATTCAGCCAGCAAAGAGAATCAAAATTTCTTTTTGGAAAACACTGTCAATTGAAAGCTACTTGCACTAATTGGCAATTTGGCATACAATTTTAAAGCATTGGCATGAAAGAGCCCTACTACAATGTACCTGTACATAAAACTATATGGTACCGGTAGTACATACAATTTACCTACATGTACACCTACACAATAGAGTTTACGCTCATCATGTAGGCCTATTGATTATGGATGATGTCATGAGGAATTCCATCAAATAGCCCCACCTCCACCAGTCAGAACAAAAAATAGCAGTGGGCGTGTGATCTGATTCATACATGCACATCAAGGCTTCTGCCTTGATTAACAATTTTGTTTAACCTTGTACATAGCGTTGTCCAATGCATATTAGTAGGCCTATAGATACATGTACACAAAGGCATGATTGTTGCATTTAATACTGTACGTCTGTGAAATGATCTACGACTCAAAAATGAAATGCAGTATTCTTTAAATTTGACAGGAAGTCAGAATTATCAGTGAGATAAATAATATGTGTTCATTATCTATTTATATCTATCATCTTTTATCTAAAATATCTATCAACTACAACATTAAACATTCTTTACATGAGTTCTCTTTTAAAACAAACAATGAATGATTGTAATCACTTTACCTCTTCCAGTTGCAGTTTCTGAGCAATGGTGTCCAGACAATCCTGTCCCAAACTTTCTGGTGTTAAGGTTATTTCCAAAACAGCACTGTCTAGTAACTGTATCCTGGCAACAAATGAATTCTTTCCAGACACATTATACCTCCGAGTTTTCTTCAGTCGAAGACCAAAAGGCATTTTGCTAGAAATGGACAACAAACTGTGAGTTCACTAGAGTCTGTTTATCCTTCTCCTCATTCAAGGCACTAAAACTATTGAGTGTTGTTCTTTGCAGAGAATGGCAGATGATTACATGCCATGGTTGAACGTTAAAACTTCCTTGTCAATTATCAGACACTCATCTTTTACAGGCTCAGCTATGCTAGGTATCCACTATATAAATTCCTAAATGCAGAGATGGCTCAGATAGGGGTCCCTTATATTCTCCGTGTTAACAATAACAACTCCTCTCCTGTTTCTTTTCCTCAGAGAATGTTTATCTGCCAATGACTCTGGATACCTTTATCTGAAAATAAGCAAACAGAGTAATCATAAGCAATATTGTTAATATTCTGGAAACAAGAATGACTCAAATCATAAACCAACATTACATTTTGTAGGTCATGATCAATCAAATCATTGAAGCCTTTTTGAAGGCCTCTTAGTCTTAGTTTGACCTTTGAAACATACACAAAGTGGTCAGACCAATCTCTACAACATGCACAAGTCAACATTTCAGATGAAATTTACATGAAGTCCTGCATGTATGACAGTCCATTTGAATATGCAACAATTCAACATTTCATTCCTCCTAGATCCAAGGGTGCCATTCATCTCATATTTAAAACTTATGTTCTACCACTTGCTGTATTTCAAATGGGCATTCTGCCAAAAAGCACTGAATTATAACTAAATAGCCTTGAACTCAAATAATAATATCGACCTTGAAATTCATCTCAATGATTGGTCAAAAACTTGGTTTAGTTTGCATTTCACATGAAACTACTGATGTTTTTGTACTTACACTGTAGATCATTGTAAAAGCAAAGTTCTATTTAAATGCGAAATGTGTAACATATGGTTCCAAATTCTCCATTTTCATTTTAAAATCAATTAAAACAAAACATCTTTTAACAAATTAAAATAAATTAAAACAATTTTTTACAGGTTTACAAATTAGTACGTAGAATGATTACGTACATCCCTCCAAATGATTGCAAAAATCTAACAATGGCATTCCACACCCGTATATTGAAAGAAATCAATAACAGCTGTATTGATCCTGGACCCCCTTACAGGCATTTAATACAAGCGGTACACAATGGCTGCATGTGTGAATTTAAAGTACCGGTATCAGTATTCAATATACACATACTGTAGGCCTAAAACATAGGCCAATGTACTGTACAAGATGTACATTTTTGTAAACACAACAAGTTACAATCCATAAACTGTACTACATTTTTTGTCATCGTATTCCATGCAACATTTTTTTTATAAAGTGATCATCCTCAATGAAGTGACTCTGCGATGTTTGTTTGTTTGTATAAGTTTCGCTGGTAAAGACAAGTAGGTAATGATAGCATATAGCTTATTCCTATGAGGTTCCAGAAGGCCTGTCTTCATAAGCTTTAGTTTGCCAAATAACCTATTTTAACTACCCCGATCGCAAATTATCCAGTTAAATTGCGTCTTCATCAGCCGCAGTTGAAATTACCAGGCTTTTGGTCAAGAAAATATCCCAAGAAATAATAATAATAATAATAGTGGGTTCTTGTATATATATTGTTAATGATGAGATGAGATGTTGTCATGACTCATCATTGTCATGTTTAATGACTGATATCATGTTTGAGAACAATTATTCACATAAATCTGACTATCTGAGGGAAAAAAACATAAAATCAAGTACACCCCCTGTACACTGTATAGTCTACATGTCTATGAGGGGCACCCCTAATTTTGGACACAAATTTGGTACATGTTTCAAAATATTGAAACTATTAACATTTTTGTTCTTGTTACTTGAATTATATTCACTGTAATTACATACATAATTATTTGTTACATGGTTACAAAGCACAAAAATGCAAATTCCATCATTGTGTCAATTTAACAATGATTTCCTTTATATCACATATTTACACCTGACAAAAGTATTGTTAAAAATGTTCACAGAACTCAAGATAATAAAAATTACCATAAAGAACTAGACTAGATCTAGATTCTATATCACGGTTTTTTAAAAACATTCTCAAATTTTCTCTATTTTTATATTTTACTGAACAAATAGTGATTTATAGATCTAAACATTATTTTCAATTTCAATTGAAGAATTTTTTTTTAAAATTTATAATAAAAAGTTTAAAATTAAAATGTTCCAATTGACACATGAGGAGTTTAGCAACACTACTGCACTAATCATGACTGTCGTAAAGTCAACATCAAATAGGTAATGCCAAATCAGCCTTTTTCGTACACTGATAATTATTTTATGTATTTCACTTCAGGCAATGATCAACTTCGCGAACTCTCGGCAGAGCCGAGGTGATCGTTTTTATCATGTAATGTAAATCACATGTGTCCGTCAATTCATTATCATCAAAAACACGTGGATGGTAAGTAAAGGTAGGTCTGACACTCCGATAACAAATTTCCACATTTTTACTTTTTTTAGTTAAATTCTTGACCGATTTTGACGTGTGTCATAACACTCCAGTCAAGACTCGCAGTTAGATATTTAGAATTAGAAAAAAGACTCCTCAGGCTCAACTTTCTCAAGTCAAGGAGCTAGGAGTCCAGCAAACAAAGGCAGTAATCAGCATCAGCATCAGCATCAGTATACGGAAGTGTGAGGTGATCCTGTTGAAACTTCCGGTCGTTTCATTGAGTGGTGCTTCGTTCGAAAAAGAACCTTAACTATTTTTGCTCGCATGGCGGGTGGACGCACAAATAAATTTTATGGAAGCATTTGGTGCTGAGAGGACCAGTGCTTGTCCAATCTAATCTTGAAAGAAGTGATTGAGGATGAGGAGATGACAGATGTAACTTATTTTAGGAAGACTATTCCAGGATTCTACTACTCTCTGACTGAAGCTGTTTCTGTAATGTAGAATCTATGCAAGGTTTGTTGTGTGGGAACATGTGATTACGTTCATGATTGTATTTTTATTTGCATGGCTCTCCACACAGGCAAATGCACGTCAAGTAAGGCTTGGTATCAATATCATAATTCATATTTCATAAAACACCAGATGCACCTGGCCTGCACCAAGCCCAGCGTAACGATGACTTGTAACTCACCTTCTTCTCCCGCTAAGACTCCGGCGTCGTGATGAGAGCAACCATGCACGTACACTATGGCAGACCACTTGTTTCAAAATATTATTATGACGCGATACACTGCCGCAAAACACGGCGACAAATGGGTTTGAACTTACCGTCATTCACCGAAACTCTTCGGTACGTCTTCCTCTGTAAATTATCCAGTATTTTATGCTTTGACTTCTCACTTTATAACTCCAATTTCTTGGTATTTTTTTATGAGATCCTACAACAGTTTCTGTGTAACGACGACGCGACGGCCAAGCGAGCAACGATACCTGATACTCGATCGAATAAACATTTGATCGGATTTGATATCGACCAAAATGCAAATAGTTTGAGTCATGCTCAATGCTTTGTTGTTATCTCGTTTCCTTTTTTTGTGGAATACTTATACTTCACATTGTAGGGCGTGACTATGTTTTGACTATGGGGCAATTCCACGGTAACGGAAGGACACTCAGACAAGATTTTTGAACTTCAGGTTCATACTAAAAGAAATGTTTTATTAGTATGTATTAAACTATGGGGAACAAAATGTGTTTCAGTCAAGTGGAAAGCTTCATCAACTTCACAAAGTTTGGATAAACACTAATTAACTGGAAAAACCATGTCCATTTTTATGTCCTTCCGTTACCGAGATAATTAATATGCACATTCTTAAACTACTTAACTATAATGACAATTTTTTGGGGGAGAATTAAAGGCACTTATATAGGTATTATATCTGTACTGTTTCACATCTTATACTAATAAAACAGTTCTTTTAGTATGAACCTGAAGTTCAAAAATCTTGTCTGAGTGTCCTTCCGTTACCGTGGAATTGCCCTATGATGCAATCATAATCATTCTTCTCAGTGCTCTCACATTAAGCAAGTATTAGTAATTCAATATTTTGGTATTGTTTACATGGATACCAAAACCCTTTTTAATTCCTCAGGTAACGGGTTATATGGTTTCGGATGAAAAATAATAATAGATTAATTTTAGAAAAATAGAATTAAAAAATTGGGCGCCTTTTTACATGGACCTGCTTTTTATCTTCACTCACATAAAGATCTCATCTTGGTTCCCATAACTCTTTTGGTATGTCAATTTGCATCTTAAAAAATGACAGAACCGGCGTATAGGCCTACACCCTCCCTGATTTTGGGCCCAATATAATTCCCCCCCCCCCCCCCCGGCCTCCCCCTAAAAAAAAAAACAGTCAATCACCGTCAAATTTAACCACCATTTTTAATGCAACTCATACCCATCGACTCGATCACTTTTGAACTCTAACCGAATTTCCAACTTCAACTATGGAACCACTAGGCTAGATGTACATCAACCCAAATCTAACCTAAACTATATCCCAATGCAATGGCAACCTTTACACACATCCAAATTATAATTAACCCCGGATTAAAAGGTCGCAGGAGCGAAAATTGTGAAGATGAATTAAGATGACCAGATAAAAGATGGACAAAAGTCTTATAAAAGATGAAAATAGTTTCCTTTTAATTTGTATATAACTATGTTTTTTTGTTATACTCTGAGAGGAAGAGGCACTGCGGCTGACACTGTGTCACGTATAGACAAGAAGCAATTAATCATGCTTTTTTTTAATCTTTTTTAAAAATTTATTAATTTATTCTATTTATTTCTGATATTTATACAGGGTGGCACATATCACCAATTTGGTTGTCTTCCATGAGGCCCTGTTTGGTAATAATAAAAACAAGTAACAGCATCAAAAACAAAATAGATATTAATACACAAGCATATAAATAGGTAAAATACAAATTAATTGGTATCCACTTGAAATAACTGATCATTCAAGAATCATCCTTGATCATTTACAAGAAATAGGTGAATGGAATTTTCAAATTAAATACAAACTTTTAAAAACGTTCATTTAATAATCGGATATAGCCTAACGCACGGGTTACCAAAATTGTTATATACATATTTACATTCAATTGCTCTTTAACTAATACACTTAGGTTGTTTACAAGATAGCTAAAAATGGATACATTACATGTATGAATACATGATAACGATAACCATGTCAACCAAATTTCATAGTTTTGCAAATAGGAAAAAATGGTTACCTTCGCACGACTCCCACCAAAAGTTGGGGGTAGTGAGCACATTTTTTTTTTGGTCCTCCAAAATTTTAAAATTTGCACTCCCCCCCCCTTGAGCGCCAGGGGGTGGGGGCCCAACCCCCCAAAAAGATAAAAATCACGTGTATTTACATGATTTTTTTTCTCAAGGGGGGGGGGGGCGGGCCCCCCTGGATCCGCCACTGGCCCCAGGATCAAAACCGGGTCAATTTGCTATATTAGTGCCCTTTTGTGGGGCGTTAATCCTCATTACTGTCATTTATGACTTAAGGGCGTAGGTCCCCTATTTGATAAGCATAGTACCATAAACATGCTTTATCAGTCACGCAAAACACACATTGGCAAATTATGATTCAATAAAATCTGAGAATGTATACTTTTATCTAGATCTATCATTTTTAATTTTTTAAAATAAATAATTCAATAAATTGGGTAAAACAAAAATATTCCAACTTTATGAGCGACAGTGTAGGTGCCATGTCATGCATTGATTTATACATCATCACTGCACGTCCAAACTGGAAACGTGCAATCAATCAAGCTTTGAGAGTGCAATCTTCCTCCTTTATTTTTTTTTTTAAATTTTGTGAATTTCACACCTCCGTCTACTGTTGACTTCGACCAACCAAGGGCGTATCGAGGATTTTTTTTTTTTTTCAACTAAAGAGAAAATATTGAGCGGCGAATCATGTATAGCCAGCCGGTGAATAAGCGGGGGTGGGGGTAAGGGGTGGGGTTAGGGGGTGGGGGTAGGGGGGGGGTAAGGAGCACTTTTTTTGTTGTTGCTTAATTCGTGAGAAAATATTCAGCATTGAATCAGCCAGCCGGTGAATAAGCGGGGGGGGGGGGGGGCATAGTAAAAACACATTTAAGGGTGTCTTTAAATTAGACACACTTGGTATCATGTACATAATGTATAAAACATTCTTTCAAACAAAGTTGTTTTGCTTGTACAATCAACTAACATTACACTGTCCATTTTTTCTAAAAAATTTCTCCTCATGATAAATGATGTTGTTTATTCTGGTAGGTGCGTGCAACGCTTGATTGGTCAACATAAATCAGTTATAATAACGCAGTCAAGCTCATGTTTCAGCAGTTATTGTAACTATATAATGAGTACATAACTGAAGTGTAAACCACAAACTTTGTGGTTTACACTTCAGTTATGTACTCGTGATTGAATATTTTTTATTATATAATGGTGAATTTATGAACAGTTTCAGTTATGGAACGTTGTTGTTTGATTTGCCGCTCTAGTTAAAGATAGTTTATCCCTTTTGCAGCCCAATTCGTGAGAAAATATTTAGCGGCGAATCAGCCAGCCGGTGAATAAGCGGGGGGGGGGGGGGGGGTCATAGAAAAAACACAGATAAAGTGTGTCTTTAAACTTCTAAAACATCCCCCCCCCCTAAATGCGCCCTTGTGACCAACTTACCAATTCCCCTCCAGATGCAGGTTTAAGATCATCGGGCTCTCAAGAAAAGAAACTTTTCTGAGTGGATACAATTTTGCTAATTATATATATGTAATTCTTTTTAACGACTCAGACAAGATTCAGCCGGACAAAAAATATGTTGATGCATTTTGAAACGGTCAAGAGATGTCGCTACTGAAGAGTGCGCTCTTGTGGGTATGTCCCTTTATGCTCGAGGGAACGGAGTGACGTATAAAAGAAAAAAAATCCAATGAAAGGCTATCTATATATACAGAAGATCAATCTTATCATGGCGTGAGGGTGTAACAAAACATACAAATATGACGACCATAACCTTGATTGCAAATTTGTAAATGTACTGAACAACTCACACCACTTTTATCCTCCATTGAAAAAAAACAAGGTGGAATATCCGGACCCCTCCAATCAGAAAAATCAAGCATTTTGAAAAGAAGAACAACACAATAGCAAGTATAGTTTCATCAAAAACAAAGACGTCTTCCAACGTCTTCCCTCTCTGAAAAAAAATGTATCAAGAAAAGATAGATAAAGTGAGCCTCACCCCCCCCCCCAAATCAGTGTTATTCAGGGTACGCATATGCATATTCCCTCCTTTTGAAAACACCCCCCCCCCCCCACCCTAATTCCGGTGTGTTCTGTTTTAAAGCCCCTCTGCACTACGGTGGAGGGATTAGACTTCCCTGCACGGGTCACGACTAACATGAGAAAAAGGGCTTCGGGGATCAAGTGGTACCGCTTAGGCATTGTTTGGCTGTATAAAGGGCGCACTATATACGCAGCATAAGTAGTGCAGTGGGGCTTAATTCGGAAAATATGGATTACCTTTTCAGTTTCCATCCAGCTTAAACTGGACTGAAAATCGATGTTATACAATTTACGTCTTGTACTATTGTAGAAATTGTTCATATGGCTCAAACAGGAATGCATAATATAGGGCCTAAACTCAAAGGTAAAACTTGGGCCTATTTTCTACATGACAAAACAATTAAAAATTAAAGAAATCACAATCTTGATTTTGAGGGTTAAACGTTTTAAAATTTATAAAAATCTTTTTCTTCTTCTTCTTCAGTTCTTCTTCTTCTTCTTCTTCTTCTTCTTCTTCTTCTTCTTCTCCTTCTCCTTCTCCTCCTCCTTCTTCTTCTTCTTCTTCTTCTTCTTCTTCTTCTTCTTCTTCTTCTTCTTCTTCTTCTTCTTCTTCTTCTTCTTCTTCTTCTTCTTCTTCTTCTTCTTCTTCTCTTCCTCCCCGTGCTCCCCCCCTCCTTCCGCGAGATTTGGGTTTACGTTTGTTTGTGCATATTTTTCGCTGCTCCTAGAAAGAGCAAATTAGCCCGATATGAGCTGTCACAGCGCATGACAAAGAACCAGCAAACACAATTCGGCGAAGTCATCGTTGGTACTGCTAAGCGCTAAGTCAAGCTAGAAGTAAATAGTGTAAATCATGGTAAGAATAATGGACTTGTTAAAATGCTTCGCCTTTATTTATTCTTTAATGTTTAATCTGTAATTATCTTTGTAATTTTGTTTAGTCGTCTATTCGTTCAATTTATTGAAGAGCATCTAGAGTCTATCACTTACCAGTCTCACATGACGTCAGTCCCATCTATCCAGAATCATGTTAGCCGGAGGGAGATTAAATTGACGAAGAATCTGGATTTCAGTTTTCATCTGTTTATTAGTAAAACAGTGTAAATCAAGATAGACATATATCTATAGAGAAGATGCAATATGAATATATGACATGGTATGGTTACTAATACTTGAGTTGAAGAGGCCAGAGCAGAGCAAGAGTGGTGTTTTCAGCCACTTAACTAGAGTAAAGTACCCGGTAATCGGTCAGCTCCGGTTTTCGGCCAATTGGTTGGATACATGGTAAAATCACTTTAAAATACATCGCATAATAGCATAACACATATCCCACACATACCATACCATGCCAGTGTCACTGAAGAACCACATTTGCAATGAAAAATATATCCTAAAATATCACATTTTAGCGATGTAATCGGCGGTCCCGCTACCCAAATCTGAAAAATCGAGTTTCTTACGCGTGTATGTAAGAAATATGGGTACCATAAAATGAGCTTTATTTCAAGTATTTTTCAGATATAGAGCCCGATTTTGTGCTGGTCGCAAGCTCAAAAGTATCTCATCGCATGTATTAAATCAATGCAGCCGCACACCGCGACGCACACACGATATGTCTGTCTAATTCAGATTCCAACTTCCGATCACCGCTGTGCCTGTATTCGGCCAGGCGAGCACCCGGGAGCTCCGGCGTGGGATACCTGCTCCGCCCGCTTGTGCTATACATCAGCGCAGAAACGCACGGCGCGCGCGAGCGCTTCCTATTGACTTTGTACATGCGGCCGTAAACTGAAACGCTCGGCCGATAACCGGCTCCAAAACAGTGAAAATTGAAATGAATATTGTCATGGCAATTCGTGATTTTTTTTTGGGATTCTTTTTTTGTTTAAATAATAATAATATTTGCTTCATGATTTGAAAAAGAAATGATAATAAATAGGAAGTAAAGAGTCCAATAAATAGGATTTTGTCTTAAGTGGCCGAAAACCGGGTACTTTACTCTAGGCAAATTCATGCAAAAAAATATATTCAAAAAATTGACTTGAAAACACATCAGACAATTAGTCTGAACCGAGTCAGGAGCAGATTTGAAGAAATTATATTTTTAAATGTTGTAAAACCAAAGATATAAGAAGAAAACTGACCAAGTATCTGTACTAAAAATCGTACATGTAAAATTGGTCGTACACATTCGACAGCTCTTAATGACGCGCTCGGTTGCGTTACGTGCGTTCTCGAATCCAAAATCATAGGTACACACACACACTCTCACCATACCGCGAATGGTCCGTCGTGGGGAGCAAGCCGGCTGAGAGTTTGCAGCGATACCAACGCAGCTTCGGAGCTCCGCAGCGCGCCATTTTAGCGGGACTCGGAAAGGTTCGCGGTGGGAAGGCAGCGGCCTAGCTTTTTGCCCAAACAACGCTAGATCGGCTGCTGGCAAAATGAAAATAACTACGATCGAGAACATCGTCGGTTTCTTAACTTTTCAGTGAGATAATTCTGAATTCTAATTGAGACTATATAATAAATTAAATCGACAAAGAAACCTCGGTAGAACTCTTTTAACTATACAAAAGCTTGTTTATTTCTTCATTTGACATTTTGTTTTTGACCATTTTTTCGTGCGCGAGTCAATGCAAACTATGTATTACCAAACTTTCAACACGCAAGGAACGGGGAACACTCGCGGACCTCGTATCAAATTCGTTGCAAAAAAAAAAATCAAGGGTGATTTTGAAGCAGTGAAGAACATTGGCGCTGCAATGCGCAGAAATATACTTGAAAGAAACTTAAAAAATAATACCTGAATTTTCTGAAAATCGTATTTGTATTAGTGTACCTAGATGTGACTTGTTTATAAATCAGATTATATGAAGATTTGTCGGGAAAAAATGTCAATTTTTTCCGTTTGGTGGTCATTTCTAGGCTAATATTTTAAAAGTTACTTCAGTAATGGTCCCGATGTTTCTCTTATCATACTCGCATGTTATTCCTACATAGATTAAACATAGGATGGTTAAGGGTAAGACCGGATAACATTATAAAAAAGATATATCCTTCCAACCCCCCATATCCAAGTTTTGGGCTGATTATTGCCGACCCACCGCAGCAAGGCCATTCAGATTTTCGTACGCGACCGAAGCGCCCTCTAGTGCCCCATGAATGTGCCTAACTTAACAATAACAAAATTTTTAAATTTTTACCTGATTTTTTGGCGTTAGACTAGTTCAGAAGTCTATCAAGACTTTGACCCGTATCTTCGGCGTGGAGATACCCTACTAAAACATACCGATAATCGACTAAATCTTCACCAATCATTCAAATAATGATCATGATTTAAAAGTTGTCACGTTTCTTACCTATTTCGTGTCAGTTTTCTCATCTTTTTTGAAGTATTTTTCCTAAAAACTTAGATTTATAATATACACTTCCTCACGGGATTAACAGCATTCTGCTGCACCATACAATTGCATACTGTACTGACTGTCGGGGGTACGGGTGCGCGCGTGTGTTAAGTTGGCGACCGTAATGATGAATTGCTTACATGTAGATTACAGTCGCTAACTTAACACGCGCGCTTGCACCCCACCGTCAGTACAGAAAACATGCAATTGTATCGTGTAGCAGTTACTTAAGTACTCGTCGCAGCCTTAGTGTACTAAAGAAAGAAAAAAACAGCGAAAAATATAGTTTTGACCCTTGTGACTATAATGATATTATAATGTGTCATTACTACAAATGGGAAAGGATGCGTGTGCCCTCTTTAATCAAAAGGCAAAAAATGGGGAATGAATAAGAAAAAGTCAGAGAGCCAGAAAAAAAGAGAGGGAGAGGGGGAAGACGACATGAAACAAAGTTAATGGGACAGGCTCCCACACCACATACTTCGGAAGATACGACAATAACCCGAAATATGTAATTCCTGTTGCAACTATTGACTCCTTCAAGTTCTCATACTACCCAAGAGCAATAAGGAACTGGAATCCTCTGCCAGGCTCAGCAGTTAATGCAACAGGAATAACCAACTTCAAGGAGGCTGCTCTACCCTCCATCAGAATGATGCAGCCCCCTGTTGGTTCCCACGTCATATAAGCTTATTAGCTTGGTTTTTAATTGCACTGGACTTAGCATATTTTACTGTAAATTAACGAGTGCTTTGTCCACACACCATTCCTGCAATTCATGACACTCCTTGTAGTTACTCGCCTCACCTACATGTACCATCCCAGTATAGCTTCCTGAGTGAGCTGCCAAAGGGATTACCCAACCAAGTACCATCCCCCTAGTCAGTGGTTTGTTTGGGCAGAAAGATACTCCAAATCTATATCTCCAATAAATGGCACTCTCAGCTCAGTCAGTCGTTTAACATGTTTAGAAAACAGCTGGATATCGTAGGGATAGAAAAATGGACTTCATACACCAATATAATTGGTACATGCATATCATTTGAATCTGGAATAGAGTAAGTGAGGAAGAGAGTTATACAACCATGGTTAAGACATATAGAGTGGTATGGTAAAATGATAAATATCAATACTTTTCTCTTTCAGGGTCAAAACCAGTCAGGAGGACCTGGCGGGGGTGGAAGGAATGGGGACAAGAAAGATGACAAGGTAAGTGTCGTTTTTCCATTGCAGTTGTTAGTTTAATATTGTTCTATTTTTCATTGCTATCCTATATTTCAGTGGACTTTTGTCCAGTTTCCGCCAAATTAGATAATAAAAATCATACAAATTCTATTTTTCATTTTGTTCTTGAATGTGGGAGATAATTTTGAGGTCACATTGGTACATTTGATATTATTGTTGTATAAACCAGGAAACAATTTATGCATGTTTCTCCAGTTTCTATTGAATTTCAATCTTGTGGCTCTCTAGGACAAGAAGAAGAAGTATGAGCCTCCAGTTCCCACCCGTGTTGGCAAGAAGAAGAGGAGGACGAAAGGACCTGACACAGCAAGCAAGCTACCACAAGGTACACACTTACATTGTTTCATGTCGGACAAATTGCCCATTGGAGTTCATGTATTTGGTGATAATGTGGATTAGTAGGAGGACATTTCTGTGCCCAGGACATGAATGACATTTAATTTAATGACATTTAATTTGATCACCCGCCCCCCCTTCCCCCCTTTTTGATTCATGCATTGTTTGTGGAGAATGTTAAAAGGCTTTTGTGTCATACATGTACATGCTCCTTGGCAAGGGATTGAATAAGACCTGTAGAAAGGATAATTAATTTGCTTTACATTCTCTCTTGTTTGCAGTCACACCACACACAAAATGCAGACTTCGCCTTCTCAAGATGGAGCGCATCAAGGATTATTTGTTGATGGAGGAAGAATTCATCCGCAATCAGGAGAGACTCAAGCCACAAGAAGAGAAAGATGAGGTTAGTAACTGCACCTAGTTCATTTGCAGTTGAATTAGTTGATAAAAATTCCTTTTTCAGATAAGATTTCAAAAGGTATTGGTTGCAACAAGTTTCTGATAGTGAAATGATTTCATGCTTCCTTAAGCTTTTTGATACATATTTGCAATTTGAATATATATAACCATGCATGTTACCAGGATGTTGACATGAGGGTACTTTTTATTTTTATTTTGTTAATTCATATATTTTTGTTAGTACTGGTATTTAGAAGTAAAGTAAAATTATCTTGAACATGGCGCTAGTGTAAATTTGTCATTCAAAACTCAAGACATTGGGTCAAATAATGACCATTGGCTTTATAGCCAGCATGAAATGATTTTAAAGGTCACAAATGTGAAAATGGTATACATGCACCCATCGCTTTCAAACAAAAATGGAAATGGACAGCCAAAGAAACAACACTAAGTTCATTTTTTGCAGTAGATTAATATCAGCTGGTGATAGGCACCAATTGAGTCAAGAATGCAAATGAGATGTATTGTATTGTTCTGTGTTTGCAGGAAGAGCGTTCTAAGGTGGATGATCTTAGAGGGACCCCTATGTCAGTAGGTTCTCTGGAGGAGATCATCGATGATAACCATGCCATTGTCTCGGCCTCAGTAGGCTCAGAATACTACGTCAGTATCCTGTCTTTCGTTGACAAGGATCAGTTGGAGCCAGGCTGCACCGTCTTACTAAATCACAAGGTAAGATAGATAGACTTATTCCATTGAACTGAAGGATATTGCTCATATAGTAATGCATACTTTTTTTTTACTAATTTACCCTGACCTGTGAATAAGACACCTACTTAATATTGTTTTAAACAGCTTACAGTATACCATTTTATATTCTCCCTCATTTGTGATTGTATCTAATATTCATTTAGTTAGTTGTAGTGTTTGATTGTGAACACCAGTTGGCCCCCGACTTTTGTTACAGGTATTTAACATTGAATTACATAAATCCTCCATTGTGGGTTTGATACAGAATTATAAAATGTTTAACTCTCGTTTTCTTACTGGATATCTCTGTCGTAATGCTAGATAAAGTATCATGATGGACATCTAGAAATTTTTATAGTTTGCACTTGTAGAATAAAAGGAGTTAACAGATGTTTACAAGATTCTCCTTTGAAGCTATCAGAATCCCTTGTTAGCTGACACAACTTGCTCATGGCACTAAATGTTCTATGTTTATCTTCTTTGCAGGTGTTAGCTATTGTTGGAGTGCTAGGGGATGACACAGACCCCATGGTGTCTGTCATGAAGCTGGAGAAGGCGCCTCAAGAGTCCTACGCGGACATAGGAGGTCTCGACACCCAAATTCAAGAGATCAAGGTACGTTTGTACAGTTGTCGTAGGAATCCCTTTCTGTCTCTATTACATTGTATATTGTGTCAGTGTAATAACTTGTGATTAAATTTCTGATATATTTTTCTATGAAATATGCAGAATCATCTGGATATTTCATTAGATGTGCATTTCACATGCTCTTTTTTTTTTTTTTCAAAGTATTTATTGAAAACAAATCTCATTCATAATAGTAATAGTACATGATAATAATAATAGTAATAATAACATGTTCGTATAGACATAGAATATGTATAATAAAAATATAGTGTAATAGCTAACTCATCAGCAATAAAAAAAAAAGTTAACAAAATATCTGCCATTTCTTATTATGAAGATCGAGACAATTTCTCTTGAAAGCAATTATACGTTCCATATTTTCTAAATGTTTGAGAGCTCGTTGAAAAGAAGGAAATATTGGAATAATGTTTTGCATTTTACAAGTGAATATAAAATATTTTGCAAAAATAATAACTGTATTGACGAAATAAACATTATTGATTATAAGAGTACCCAAAAAATATTCTTCATCTGTGAACAAAATTTTTTGTATGTTCTTTTCTTTTAACCATGCACATATAACATTCCAGAAAGATCGTACTTTTTCACAATTTACAAATAAATGAGACAACGTCTGTTCATGATTTTCGCGTAAAGTACACATTGAAGAAGTACTTACACCTATCTTATAAAGAAAACTTTGTGTTGCAATTTTTCTATGAATAAGTTTAAATTGGAAATTTCTCATTTTATTATGTATTGATGACCTATAAAGTAATGTATAACGGGATTTCCATATTAGTGAATCGTTTAAATTATTTTGTAGATCCCTTTGCCTTTCACATGCTCTAATAAATGTATGTTTCTTTACTTGTTTGATATACTGCTATTGATTAAACTGAAATTTCTTAATACATAAATCAAATTGGTATTAATGAATGATTAGTAACTCGACAATAAAACTGAAAATTGAAGAATTATTTGTATTTTGCAGGAATCTGTTGAGCTACCACTAACCCATCCTGAGTATTATGAAGAGATGGGCATCAGACCTCCCAAGGGTGTCATTCTATATGGTGCTCCTGGAACAGGTGAGATAATCTTCAACTTTGTCCACATTTCAATATACAGGCTATAGTCCTGTTTACTCTGAATAGTAATTGAATATCTATTCCATTAAAAGATGGGTGTGCAACAAATGGTGTATAAAGATATGATTACAACCTCAACGTTAAAATAACACATGTGTATTGATTCAGTAACATGTAAACAAATTTTGGCATCTAACAAAGATATTGATTGGAACAAAGATATCGTGCTGAGTGATCTTTAAATATTCCATTGTTTTACAATGTTCTGATCTAGTAAAACATTATTTTTTTACATGATCCATTTGATCTTGTTCAAATTTTGAAATTCAAAGTTTATTCAACATAGTAGGATTATAGTAGGAATTGCCTGTTCTTATAAACCATGCAAAGGTATGTGAAATGTATAGGTAATTATAAATATGTATCCATTTAAGAGTTATACCCCACATACACATCCTGAGGAACTTCTGATCAAGATATGTTTGCATAGTGCTATCTTTTTGTTATTCATACATTGTTTTTCTACCCATTATTTCAGGTAAAACTCTCCTTGCTAAAGCTGTTGCCAATCAAACATCAGCCACATTCCTTCGTGTTGTAGGCTCAGAACTCATCCAGAAATACTTGGTAAGTCTTAGCAAATTATAGTGAAAATATATAGATCTTATGATTAACGGATCACTGAAATGTGCTTGTTTTGCTCTTGTTTCATACCCTATTTTTTAAATTTTACTTTCTTTGTAATCACAATTATTGTTATAGGTTTTCGAAATACATGAATAAATTATTAACTTCCAAATACAAACTACTTGTCATTTTCTCCAAGTAAATTCTAAGTCGAAAATCTTAGAGAGAAAGCTAGACAGTCGAATGTGGGCAATAATTAGAACATGATCTTGTAAATATTTGTTTTTTAATTATTCCTAGGGTGACGGACCGAAGCTTGTAAGGGAGCTGTTCAGAGTGGCTGAAGAGCATGCTCCATCAATAGTCTTCATTGATGAGATCGATGCTATTGGAACAAAGAGGTATGAAACCCTTCATGTGTCGTCGGGTCTTTCTATTATATCAACTGACCCATTGTTATACAGCATTTATTTATGTGTTGTTATAACTATGTACAGTCTGTAGTGAATTTCATGCCTGTGGTTCCAACCAATCTGAGGCCAACAGTCTTGATACCGGTATGTGGTTTATCATAGAAATTGTCATACCATATATATTACAGGTTAGTTGGAGAAAATTAGTTCTACCTTCAAATGTGTAATTCTGATGTGAATGTTTTTAATTGAAAAATGATGTTATCAAAATGACTATTCGAAAATTGAGTCCAAGTTTCATTACAGGAACCTCATAGATAGGTTTTTTAAGGCATTGGAATTAGACTTGAAACTTTTATTGTTGTAATCTCTACAGGTACGAGTCCAACTCTGGAGGAGAGCGTGAAATCCAGAGGACCATGTTAGAACTACTCAATCAGTTGGATGGGTTCGATTCTAGAGGTGATGTCAAGGTCATCATGGCAACCAATAGGATTGAGACACTTGACCCTGCTCTCATTAGACCAGGTAAACAAATAAACAAAATATCCCCAATTTCAAGCAGTATAAGTCATTATATGTCTGTTTATCCTTAACATCATGTAAACAAAAATTGTCTCAAAATGTTGTTGTTGTTTTTTTAGTTCAGATTATAAAAATAGTAGAGGATAATTAATAATTTTCTCATCTGTAATGTCATTTTCTCTCATGGAAGTACCTTATTTTTGTTAATATCTTTGATTTTAATGACAACTTTGGCTTTTATCCCTCCGAAAGCTTGAACATTTTCAGCAATGAACAGCTTTAATAAACTTCCTTATCTCTTTGTCCCGTCAGGTCGTATCGACCGTAAGATCGAATTTCCCCTCCCCGATGAGAAGACAAAGAGGAGAATTTTCAACATCCACACCAGCCGCATGACGCTATCTAACGATGTTAACCTTGATGAGTATATCACCTCCAAGGATGATCTATCAGGAGCTGATATTAAGGTTAGTTTATCTGGGTACTATTCTTTACATCAGAATCCATGAATGAAGAAAAGAATTCTTTATGAATATGCTGTGAATGAAACTGTGCCGTGAACTTCAATCAAATGCCAAAAGAGGCTTTGGTATTTTGTTGCTAAATGGTGTATTTTGCTCTAAGCAACTCACAAAATTGCATATAATTCCTTGTGGAAGTCTTTAAGATTTTGAACATTCAACTAACTAGGTTTCATTCATCTCTTTGTGTGTGTAAACATCTGAAGTGTATCCTTGTCTGTCATATTCTAGCATGTTCTATTGTGTCTCAAATGTACTTGATTCAAATGACAAACTACTCCATTTATTAAAAATGTGTATGTTAATGTTCCCAGAGCAAAGGATTGTATGTCATGTATTATTTTGCAAATTTGCAGTCATACCCACATGCTTTTATCTTGTTTTATATCTTTCTTCAGGCTATATGTACAGAGGCCGGTCTCATGGCATTACGTGAGCGTAGGATGAAGGTGAACAATGAAGACTTCAAGAAGTCAAAAGAGAATGTCTTGTACCGAAAGACAGAAGGCACCCCAGAAGGACTCTACCTTTAAAGTTTTAACAAAAAAAAATCTTAGTTGAATGGGAGAGGAGGAGAGGGGGATGGTGTGGGGAAGGGTTGGGGGGGGGGGGGGGGGTGGAGTATGGTTAACCCATACATGTTAACTTATTAAAATGATGCAGTGTGTCCAACAACCACATAGTGCCCTGGACTGTGCTATTGTTGCCCTTGCTTAGAAACCTTAGAAATCAAGCATATGATTACTTTTTCTCATCATAATTACAAGGTTCTGTTTGGGAACCTGTAACACACATCTATGGTTGAGATAGATAGCACCCTGTCCTGTTAATTAATTTTTTTCCCCACAAAAAATTTCAAAATTATTTCTTGTTACAGGTGTCAAGAAATGAACCCTGCATATTAGACTCTATGTAACTATGTCATGTCATTCGTGTATTTTAATTCCACCTAGATTAGGCAATAAGTATAGTGTTAGAGGCCAAAGCACAAGGGAATAGGAATGACCTTTTCTACTTGGAAGATAAAGTATTCACATTGGGAATAACATTACAGAATGACACCTGACAAAATAGCAAACCATCTCAAAATGAGTATGCAATTAAGCATAGTAGCAAGAGAAAAATGATACAGGCTTACACATCTTTAAAATCATCCTAGATACATGACATTTTTATTTATGCATAAGGCTGTAATCATTTTCTGTCACTATTATGGGTGAGGGGGGGGGGGGGGGGGTAGGCTGGGTGTACATGTAACATTGATCATATTTTAATCAGGTCATGCGTTTTTACCTTCGGGAAAGATATACATTTTTTTGTATGCTCCAGCATAATGAATAAAGGAATAACATGTATTTTCTTCAAAATGTGGTTGCACAAACAGTAAGTAGTTCAGTGAATAGAGCAGTGGTCTTCTGGTACAAAGTAAACACTCTTGATTGGGTAGTATATTCTTTGGATGTCCCCTAGCTGCATTACCAACATTCTAATTCAAACTCAATTTATTCATCAATTATCATTTGTATAACTGATGTTACTCCCTCCTACAAAGGAATTTAATGAAAAGCACTTGAGTTTCTAAGTCCATCCTCAAATTTAACTTTACAACTGAGGAATTATAGAGGAATTTGTTAACATTGTCGGTATGCCATGTACTGTCCATCTTCAGAAGGTTGGGTTTCAAGTCATGTAATTCTTTTTCAATGTGATAGTTTAAATTGTATGTAACAACCAAGTCATTAAATAAAAACACAAAATGTGCATCTCTGTATTTCAGAGTAACCTTTATTACAGTACATTGTTCACTATAACCATTACAATTCTGAATTTACTGTTTACTGTTTACATTCCCAACCAGAATGTCCCTGAAAAAAGGAAACCCAAGTTTGTTGCTGAAGAAAATGAAGTGGGGATTTTCGAAAACTCCAATATTTGCCCTTTTTGGGAATAAGCGGGAGTCATAATAAATCTAAGGACATGGTGGGACTATCACAATCAGAAAACAGAGAGGATTGAAAATATTCATTTTTTGGCAAAAACGATGAGCCATTTTTGCCAAAAATGGGCGATTTCGAATATATCCAAAATTTGCCTTTACTCCCTTAGGAAACGAACGGGAGTCATAATCATTCTAAGGACATCTTGGGACTATCATGATGAGAAAACGGAGAGGATTGATAATTTTCATTTTTTGGCAAAAACGATGAGCTATCCCCTTGCCATTTTTGCCAAAAATGGGCGATTTCGAATATATCCAAAATTTGCCTTTACTCCCCTTTAGGAAACGAACGGGAGTCATAATCATTCTAAGGACATCTTGGGACTATCATGGTGAGAAAACGGAGACGATTGAAAATTTTCATTTTTTGGCAAAAACGATGAGCTAACCCCTTGCCATTTTTGCCAAAAATGGGCGATTTCGAATATATCCAAAATTTGCCTATTTACTCCCCTTTAGGAACAAACGGGAGTCATTATCATTTTAAGGACATCTTGGGACTATCATGATGAGAAAACGGAGACGATTGAAAATTTTCATTTTTTGGCAATAACGATGAGCTAACCCCTTGCCATTTTTGCCAAAAAGGGGCAATTTCGAATATATCCAAAATTTGTCTTAATCCCCTTTTGGAAACGAACGGGAGTCATAATCATTCTAAGGACATCTTGGGACTATCATGATGAGAAAACGGAGAGGATTGAAAATTTTCATTTTTTGGCAAAAACGATGAGCCAACCCCTTGCCATTTTTGCCAAAAATGGGCGATTTCGAATATATCCAAAATTTGCCTTTACTCCCCTTTAGGAAACGAACGGGAGTCATAATCATTCTAAGGACATCTTGGGACTATCATGATGAGAAAACGGAGACGATTGAAAATTTTCATTTTTGGCAAAAACGATGAGCTAACCCCTTGCCATTTTTTGCCAAAAATGGGCGATTTCGAATATATCCAAAATTTGCCTATTTACTCCCCTTTAGGAACAAACGGGAGTCATTATCATTTTAAGGACATGTGGGACGCGTGGTCCACGGTTTAAATTATAGCCAACAAAAATGAAGAAGTTGAGACGCCATGGTGAAGTGCAAATGAAGTTTATTTCGTTTATAAATAAAAACGGAAAACGGAAACCCCTGCATTGTACAGAAAAATAAAACAAAAGCATCATAAGTACAATAATCACATAATTAAATCATGCAAGTCATCATTTGGATTAAATTTCTGTAGACAAAATGCAGTACAGTTCAGTTCAGTTCATATACATCGAAATGCAATTAAGAAACCAAGAAATAAAATACATAGTATTCAATATTATCTGTAAATGCATGTATAGATATCAAATAGTCTTAACTACAATAAATTGCATACACAACATAAATAATCCTACGCAACTCACCCTAGACTAAATGTCACACGGGTAAGAAAAAATCATACGTCATCGTCAATTGTAGCTTTGTAGCGTAGTTTGTAACCTCAGTAACCTCAACTTACGCCTCAGCGGCTAAAGTAGAAAAAAAACATGAAACATCAATTATATACTATGGACTTTTACATTTAAATCAGTATTTGTTGTAAAAATCCCCATGATATATAAACCGAGTCTGATGCTTACAGACTACTCATCAATCCCGTAAATAACAGAAGAATACATTTAACATGCCTCGGTACGTTTCTACCGTACAGTGAATAAAACATCTCATTACATAATATACAATTAATGAACAGACTCGTATATTACGGCATCATAAACACTGGTAGCAAAGTAAAACTCAATAGCATCAAATATATTCAATTATCTCTACATACCTGTTTAAATGGTGCAACACAAACAGGCTACATTGACGGCAAAACTTAAGCGTGTCGGAGTAAATGGAGACAGACCAGCATCGCTTAAAACAAGTGAACGAATGTCCGCTATATAAAATACCCATCAGGGCCTTGCCTGACATAGCGCGCATTCGTAAGGACTACTTTTCGAGCATGAATGCACATCCTTCTGAACTAAGTATAATGATCAAGTTTAGGATAGAACAATAAAACATACATGAGAAAATATCATAATTTCATTACGGTCCATTTAACTTTACCTACAAACAATTTATAGATAAATAATCAAGGGACTACTTTGTCCTTAACGTAAGTACACAGACCCACGTGACCATTAAAGTAATGAGGCTTCGGGTCTGACACGTATGTTTTAAATTAGACACACCCAATATGCTGTACGGTGTTCTTAAATAAAAAACCAAGTTTTGTAATGGTAAAAACGAGTTTGGTCACTACATTAAATCCCCCCTTAGTAAGGAAGTCATGAAAAATCACTTACTTACGATCAATACATATCAACAATAATACTAACAATATTCAGCTTGTATATAGCACTTATTATATCTCACATATCTTTGACAAAATATTAATTCTGGTCATTGGATTCAGTGCTTTCCAGCACACACTATTATGTACAACCTCTACTCCCTGGGGTGCATTCAAACCAGGTGTTACTTATTACAATATAATATTACAATACAATACTTATTACAATACAATACTTATTACAATACATGTATCACTAACCAGTGAGATAAAACATTAACCAATCTAACAACATACTGCAATATACCGCTTGGGAAAATGGACGTGTCGTCCAGATCTAGTTTGGCGAACTGGTGGAACGACCTTGTCTTCCTGCACAACCTCGTGGTTAGCGCGCTCTTCCACATATGCGACCTTTAACCGGTCAATGCTTACTTGATCGCGCTTCCCGTTAAGACCGATGGTAAAGAACTTTTCATTGCGCTTCAACACCATATATGGCCCTTTGTAGGGTTGCTGCAAGGGCTTGCGGACAGCGTCTACTCTAACGAAAACATGCGAGCACTTAAACAGGTCACGAGGGACGTAACTTCGGCCTTGTCTCGCCCTAGTCGGTGTGGCCGTACAAGAGGACATGTGCTGACGCAAACGCGAAACATAATCGGAAGGGTCAACTTCAACGCGCTTTGGTGCTACGAATTGTCCGGGCAATCGGAGAGTAGTCCCGTAGACTAACTCTGCTGGCGAGCATGACAAGTCTTCTTTAACCGTGGTACGAATACCAAGAAGTGTCAAAGGCAAATATTCGGTCCAATGTGTCGGATCCTCATGGGCCTTCAAAGAACCCTTGAGTTGTCGGTGGAACCTTTCGACCAAACCATTTGCAGCTGGGTGGTATGCGGTAGTTCGAATGCGGGTTGTTCCCAAAAGTTTGGTTAACTCCGCAAAGAGTCGAGATTCGAATTGACGGCCGCGGTCAGTGGTGATAGTGTCGGGCGCTCCGAACACTGCGATCCATCTGTCAACGAAAGCTTTGGCGACCGTTTCGGCGGTGATGTCGGCAATCGGTATAGCTTCAGGCCATCTCGTGTATCGGTCAACGCAGGTGAGTAAATACTTGTTACCGTTCGAAGTAGGTAACGGACCCACCAGATCAATGTGCACGTGCGAAAATCGTGCGTCGGGCGTACTGAAGGTTCCAAGGGGCGCCTTCACATGTCGAACTATCTTCGACTTTTGGCAAGGAAGACATTCCTGAGCCCATTTACGGACTGTTTTGTTCATCCCAGGCCAAATAAAACGCGAAGCAATAGCACGCTGTGTAGCGCGTACACCTGGGTGAGACAATCCGTGAATGGCGTTGAACACGGCCCGCCTATGATCCTGTGGAACGAAAGGACGCGTGAGACCGTGTGAAGTATCACAAATGATTTTGCCACCGGTGATCAAGATCGGTACGGTTTCGAGAACCATAGAAGTATCGGATCCGGATTTAAGGAAAGCTTGCAACTCCGGATCTGCTCCCTGCGCGTTAGCAAGAAGATCTAAGTCAATCTGAGTATCAATATGCAATGCACTGATATCAGGTCTGGACAATGTGTCGGCTACTACATTATCCTGCCCTTTTACATAACGAAGGTCGGTGGTAAATTGCGAGATAAAGTCAAGATGCCTAATCTCACGAGGACTATGGCGATCCGGCCGTGCCAAGAATGAATATGTCAAGGGCTTGTGATCAGTGTACACAAAGAAAACTCGACCATCTAGCATATAGCGGAAGTGCTTTATAGTAAGGTACACGGCTAGCAATTCACGACCGAATGTACTATATCTCGTTTCTGCGGGTGAGAGTTTACGCGAGAAAAAGGCTAGCGGTTGCCATGCGTCATTATTGAGTTGTTGTACAACTCCGCCAATAGCGCGATCGGACGCATCTACCATCAAACTAAGAGGAAACTTGGCATTCGGGTAGGCCAACAGGGTAATCTCTGCCAATTTGTCCTTGACCTCGACAAATGCAGCGTCGCAAACCGGTGTCCAATCTAGCGGTTTCCGTGAACGTTTCGGATGAGATCGGAGAAGATCGGTGAGCGGCGTCAGGATCTGTGCGCAGTCGGGAATGAACCTGCGATAAAAGTTCACAACTCCTAGAAATGCGCGTAGACCTTTCAGGGAAGTGGGTACGCTACATTGGCGAATAGCTGCCACTTTGTCAGGAAGCGGACTGACTCCGGCCTCATTAATTCGATGACCTAAGAAATCTAGCTCTGTTTGACCGAACAAACACTTATTTAGATTAACTACGACACCAAACTTTCTGAGTCTGTCAAATAGTTGCCGCAGGTGGAATTCATGTTCCTCCCTACTACTACTAGCTACTAACAGGTCGTCAATGTAAGCGTATACATTCGGCAGACCTCGTATGACTTCGTCTATGAATCGTTGAAATGACTGCGCTGCATTTCTCAAACCGAATGGCATCCGAACAAATTCGAATAAACCGAATGGAGTACATATCGCGGTCTTCCTTACATCATCGGGCGCGACAGGAATTTGGTGATATGCTCGAACTAAATCTACCTTCGAGAATACCTGCATTCCGTGGAGACTCGCTGCGAAATCCTGTATATGGGGCACAGGGTAACGGTCGGGAATTGTTGCTCGGTTCAACGCTCTGTAATCACCGCAAGGGCGCCAGTCCCCTTCCGTCTTTTTGGGCACCATGTGTAATGGGGAAGACCACTGGCTGCTGGACGGGCGAATAATATCCAAATCGAGCATATGCTGAAATTCATCTCGCGCTATCTTGAACTTTTCCGGGGAAAGTCTGCGAGGCTTTGCGCTGATTGGCGGACCGCGCGTGTCGATGTAGTGGACTACATCGTGCTTTAATGCTTGCGCTTTGTAGATAGGTACAGTGACGTCATTATACTCCGTGCGAAGGAGTTCGCAAAACGGATCTGAATTATCGGTTGTATTAAACACGGGGCTAATACGCGGACAGTTCGAAGGATTGCCCGTTACGTGTAATCCGGTTATGCAGTCGATTAACTTACGGCGGTGCATATCTACAAGTAATCGAAAATGGTGTAAGAAATCTGCACCAAGTATTGGTACCGATACATCGGCGATAACAAATACCCATTGACATTTGCGACGGAGACCTAAGTTCAAAGTCAGCGAACGTCGCCCATAAGTGGCAATGATGGAGCCATTGGCTGCCTTCAATGTTATGGTCGATCTACAAGTTCGCTGCTGTTTCGTAGGAGGGAATACGGAGACGGCCGCTCCGGTGTCAACCAGAAATTTCACGCGCGAGTTTATGTCAACAACATAGAAAAGACGACTATCTGGCTGACCAGTTGGGTTTGTCGCCCCAACCCTCTGGTCTACTAGTTTTCCGAGTTCTGTCGCGTGCAAGGTGCTCGGCAATGGTGCGCGTTATCACCATACTTGCTATGATACCAACAAAGTTCGTCACTATCGGTCGTAGCGTCAGATGGCGTGTCGCGTTTATTTACATTGCGCTGGCGGCTGCGACTACGACTTCTGCTTTGACTACGTTGCATGTGCCCGACAACGGTCGTAAGCTCCCGGACCAATCTGGCGAGATCGGTCACCTGACTTTCGAGAGCGCTCGCAGGTTTAGCCTTTTCAACCGTTGCCGGTGCGATGGCTGAAATGACGCCGGGAGAGTCTGGCTGTGCCTCTATAATTCGATCGGCCAACTCTGCTAAATCGCTGAGCGTCAATGCTTCACTAGTAGAAGCGAGTATGAGCCGAACATTAACCGGTAGTCGTTGGAGAAAAAGTTGTTTCAGTATTCCCTTCTCCAACTTCTGTTCCCCTAAGAACTGTTCCATTCTTCGCAGGAGCTGCGATGGCTTTCGATCACCTAACTCTTCCTCCGTGAGGAGCATTTGCACCCTGCGCTGTTCTGACGCGCTCACACGCGCAATCAGTTTAGCCTTAAGGGTAGAATATTCATCCTTCTCCGGGGGACTGATCAAAATATCACGGACATCTTGCGCCACTTCCTGCGGAAGTGCAGCAATAACATAAGCATACTTTGTTGCTTCGGAAGAAATTGAACGTGTAGTAAACTGCGCTTCCGCCTGAGCAAACCAAACTAAGGGGTCCCCTTTCCAAAAGGGAGGGAGCTTAATTGCAACCGCGCCTACCAGGGGCTGCGCTGCCGCTCCCGCGGTACCGGCTTGCTCTTTCCCCGGCTCTGTCATAATGCCAAAATTCAAGATACAAAATACAAATTATCAATATTTAACACAATAGGTATAACACAATAAGCACACTCACTAATAACAGTCAATAAAGTTCTACATAACCATCGTATATCTGCCGTTGCTGGGTATCAGCTTGGAGTTACTTGGTATCAGCTAGGCAGTCAGTCTGGTCACTCTCGTCGAATTCCGTAGGGGGCTCTGTCACCACGTGTAGTTCATCTGCATGCAGCTGTTGCTCATCACGTAGATTCTGCTCGCTGTGATCATGCTATAACGTCAGTCTGCTATGATATCAGTTCTTCGAAGCTCGTTGGCTCTCCGGATTGTGCCGGGTCTTCGATCACGTCGGGATCACCAATTTGTGGGACGCGTGGTCCACGGTTTAAATTATAGCCAACAAAAATGAAGAAGTTGAGACGCCATGGTGAAGTGCAAATGAAGTTTATTTCGTTTATAAATAAAAACGGAAAACGGAAACCCCTGCATTGTACAGAAAAATAAAACAAAAGCATCATAAGTACAATAATCACATAATTAAATCATGCAAGTCATCATTTGGATTAAATTTCTGTAGACAAAATGCAGTACAGTTCAGTTCAGTTCATATACATCGAAATGCAATTAAGAAACCAAGAAATAAAATACATAGTATTCAATATTATCTGTAAATGCATGTATAGATATCAAATAGTCTTAACTACAATAAATTGCATACACAACATAAATAATCCTACGCAACTCACCCTAGACTAAATGTCACACGGGTAAGAAAAAATCATACGTCATCGTCAATTGTAGCTTTGTAGCGTAGTTTGTAACCTCAGTAACCTCAACTTACGCCTCAGCGGCTAAAGTAGAAAAAAAACATGAAACATCAATTATATACTATGGACTTTTACATTTAAATCAGTATTTGTTGTAAAAATCCCCATGATATATAAACCGAGTCTGATGCTTACAGACTACTCATCAATCCCGTAAATAACAGAAGAATACATTTAACATGCCTCGGTACGTTTCTACCGTACAGTGAATAAAA